TAGCAACTGGAAGGGATTGCCGAGGATAGGGTTGAATGGAGAGTGCTGGTAGGCGGCCTATGCTCCTCCACGAGGAGTAATAGGCATAAGTAAAAGTACATTCCCTACACGTAACTGATTATAACTTAATTCACTTGATATTGTTTTACTTGAATCTTCCCATTGATGTTTAAGACTGCAATTGATCAGTCTCTAATTGGAATATGTGCATACTGTGCTTATTGCCTTAATTTACAAGTAGCTAAGTGGATAACGCGATGGCGTTTGAAGCGGACGCTACTGAGTTCGAGTCCCAGAGTGGATATCAACTCCAGCTGACGAGTCCCAAATAGGACGAAACGCGCGTCCTGGATTCCACTGCTAGCCAGTATCCATCTTTGCTTATGATGATTATAACTTAGTTTAATATTTTTACATTTTCCGTCACTAGCAATGGTACTCAATAAATACTGAATTAAATCATTTCAAAACGAATCATAAGTTATTATTCATTCTCTTTCCTTTGTTGATATTCATTTCTTAAATTCTAGTTATGGGTTTATTATATTATTTATTTATTTATTTTAACACATAAGTATAAGTACAGGGAGGCACCAAATACATATGCGTCACACGAATCTCATTTGATTTGTGTGAGGGCTGTGATACTGCTCGGGTGCCCAAACCGAAGCAGGTGGTTTTCTTAGGGGGCCACACCCCGAGCCTTCGACCTGGACGTCTGACCCACAAGGCAGTGGAGCATCGTGAGGAGATGCAGTCCCATGGTAGCCAGCCGGTGACCAACGATTGGTTCATACGCCATTTGTTCTTTCAGGATACTGGAGCCCATGTGCACCATTGATTTGATTTGGGGTCCGGTTAAAGCGCCGGACATTCGCTTTTCGTCCTCTCATTTTCGTAAACAACACCCCCGCCACGAGAAGGCAGTGAGTAGGACTTCCCTGGAAGAGGCTATATACGCATGGCCATGTGAGAGCATTTCGAGAGGGAGAGCGGACTCTCCCCACTCTCGGCCGTACCAGGGCATTTGGGGGTTTATTATAATTGATTGATCACTGGGTGGTGATCAATGTCATGTATGTCAGGTCCTTCTTAGTGCAGATCGAAACCTATCGACCAGTGGCGACCCGGACAGCTTAGTGGTAATATCTCTGACTGCGAAGCTGGGTGATACAGGGTCGAATCCTCCAGAGAGCGTCAGTTCCATTACAGACTACAGGTACACCTTGTTGACAGGCGCCAAGTAGCATCAACATGGGTTTATTATATTTATTCAGTTGATATATTAGTGGTATTATTTTTATCATTAAATCACCTTTTGATACATGCCTTTATTAAAGTAGGCGTACATTAAGTTGTCGTGCTGGTTTGCCTTTGCCAAGTAAACTGCTTGTTAAGTCAGTAAACAGTGAATGAATTCCCCCCCCCCTAGTATAACGTTATACCTAAAAGTTTACTTGTGAATACCAATAGGCAAGAACAAAGATGATTCTTGATTGAATTTTCTAGAATTTCCCGTATAAATTGACGCTTAAAGGACATGAATGCTAAACGCACTAAATAACCATTGAGTCATAACGATTAAAAGGTATACACCAGATCTTTTCATTTAAAAGGCTAGTGTTTTCAGTCATACCACTGTCTGGATGGTTCCTGTTTTTCCAGTGCATCACTGCATAACATCGTATTTCATATCCTCATTGAACCTCTAATCTGAGCTCTATTAATCGACCAGTGTTTACAGTAGAAATGTTATAACCTACCACCCTTAGAAGCCTTTGACTTCCATATGCTACTCAGTTTATTTTAAATAATGTTGCTTATTTATCAGGTAAAGGCTGATGTACGCATCTTTGGATTGTAACGTTGTTTTAATGAGAACAAGTGATATTACTCGGTTCCATAGATTGAAATAGACTGTAACCTATTGATCTCAAGCTAAATGCTTTAACCATTAATTCATTAATCTAACTGACAATATGTCACATACAGATACCAAAAAAACATCAACACACTATAGTTATACTCAAGAGGTATTATTTAAGCTTCTTATCTTGGCTTTCAACTTATACACAACCATACTTATCTAGTCAAGTAATTAAGAATAAGCTGTAAATGATGATATACTCTAATGACAAAGTTGCACAAATCATTTCTAAATGATGCATAGATGTGTGTACTTCTATTCAATAATTAAATACAAGATCAACATTTGATAGTCAGTCAGTCTTGAGTGTAGTTAGAGGTATGAGGGCGGCTATCGTTTCCCGGTTGCCCACACCGCGGAAGGGTTCTTCTGGAGGTACCTGAAAAGGAAATTGGATTAGAAGTGGTCATAGTGACCTGAGAACGTGACCGCAGTACCCAAGGAACAGCTGCTTGAGGTCGGTCACATACGACCTTTTCATGAGTAGTTTTTGTGTTAGCTCCGTACTTGTTGGGACCTTACCGCCACAGACGAATATCCGTGGGATAAGGCGAGGTGTGCATTTTTAGGGTCGAACTTTTCTAACCCCACCCCTCCTTGTGGGAAGGCAGCATCGCTGTCATGCTGGTTGTCTGAAGGAAACACCTTACTGCTGCTACACCTCTGCACAGTCAGCAGTACGACTTCGCCTTCATACCTTGGATTTGTTGCTTTTAGTCTTAACACTCTTCAACCGACCTGTCTGGCATGGTGGGACCTTGAGAAACGATTGTTCCAGTCAGTATGGCTTGGTATCTTCATCACCTTTGGAAAGCCGGACCACCACGTCAAGGTAGCAACAACGGTCGGGCAATATTTGATAACAATGAGATAGTAGATTGAAATAATTCTTCGTAAACCAATCAATACACATGTTAGTAAGTTTTGATCACATAATATAGATTGGATATAACAGGCATAGTCGTTCAACAAGGTTGATATAGTATAGTTATTTTTTCTTTCAACAAAGTACAACTGACATCACAAACTGGATGATAAGGTCTTGTTTTTTTTGTAATGCCTAAAGTTTAATTAGATACACCATACTACTATAATTAGATATAAATAGTTTGTTCATAATTAATGGCTAACTAAATCAGTAAAAGTGATTCAGATTTATTTATACAAATACATATTGGATTGGATAGATATCCGTTTATCAAATAAAGGACGTGTTTACTGTGCAGCAGTTCGTTCCATCCTACTTTATGGCAGTGAAACATGGCCGGCAAGAGTAGAGGATATTCGTAGGTTACCAGTATTTGATCATAGATGTCTTCGAAACATTGCTTATATATCCTGAGACCACCGAGTAAGTAATGCAGTTGTTAGGAAATGGGTACTAAGTAAGGATGGCAAATCAATTGATGAAGTAGTGAAACTTCATCAGTTGAGATGGCTGGGATATGTGTTACGTATGCCCAACTGTCGACTGCTCCGACGTGCGATGTTTTCTGGTGTGGGAGTAGGTTGGAAGAAAGTTAGGGACGGCCAAACCAAAACATGACACAAATCTATGAAGTCAATGACAAGTGGACTGAGCCATGTTGGTAGGTGTAGACTACCTGGTTGGGTTCTGTGAGACGACAGAAACCGATGGTTAGAGACCCTGAATGACGGCTCAAAATCGTTTGCAATGGCGCAGGTGTGCATCCATTCATTGTGTTCCCCTAAACTCTAGCCTGAATTCTTCATGTCCTTTATTTTCTTTCCAAATTTATTTCACTGGATTATACTCCTTAAATAACATCTTCAAAGCCTAATCTTTCCGATTACTGCTTATACTCTTACCACCTCTTCCACTATGGGGTTTGATTGGACAACTGCATCTCTGTGTTAATGTGGTATGGCATCTCGAACTGATGTACGTACGTACGAAGTTCCATGTTGTTAATGACTGACTGACGGAGATAGAGCAAAAGTTCACAAAGTGAAATATTTTATGCACTTTATATACTTCTGTATACACTCAGTACCCATTCAAGGTCACTAGGTCAACGATTAGTCGAACGAATATGCGCGCAAGACCGATAGGTCCTGCGTCCGAATCTCGCGAAACCATATCGTGCATGCGCACTCCTGAGAAGTCCCACAATGGGACGAAACAGCTGAACAGTGCTTCCGGGTTCTCTATAGCGGTCTAGCTTCAAATGATTCGTAATCTCAACTATTAAAATACGGAACTGTTGAGAATTATATACTCACATCTCTACAAAAGATAGGATCTTCGACCATGTATTTATCGTGTTAGTTATCCTTAGATTATGATTGCTTATATTGATTGAAAGTCATTGCGTTCCATATTATCGTAGTACCAAATAGAATGTGATCTAATGTTTGATGAAAACAGGTTTCCTAACTCCATATTCACCAACCCAGTTATATCACTGGCATTCGCTTTTCATCCTCTCAATTTCGTAAACAGTAATGCTGTGAGAAATTCCCTGACAGCGGCTGTATACGCGTGGCCATGTGAGAGCATTTTGAGAGGGAAAGCGGACTTACCACGCTCGGTCGTACCAGAGTCCGCTCTCCCTCTCGAAATGCTCTCACATGGACACGCGTATACAGCCTCTGACAGGGAATTCCTACTCACTGCCTTCTCACACCACGGGTGTTGTTTACGAAAATGAGAGAACGAAAAGCGAATGTCCGACACTTTAACCGGATCTCAAACCAATGGTGCACATGGGCTGGCTCCAGTATCCTGCGAGAACAAATGGCGTATGAACCAATCGTTGGTCACCGGCTACCATGGGACTGCATCTCCTCATGATGCTCCACTGCCTTGTGGGTCAGGCGTTCAGGTCGAAGGCTCGGGGTGTGGCCCCCTAAGAAAACCACCTGCTTCAGTTTGGGCACCCGGGCAGTATCACAGTCCTCACACAAATCAATTGAGATTAGTGTGGTGCATATGTTGAGGGACTACAGGGATCATTGTTTAAACCTTCAATTGAGCAATTACAAATAGAGTGCTTTAATCCCTCAACTACCACTATTTGAATACATAACCCAGTTACTGATAAGTCAAATATCCAACTCACAATTTATATTTTATAATACTAATTTAATTTCCTAATATCTTATTCGAACACCAAATGTAATACTGTAAAACCATGGACTGTAAGATGTTACATAACAGTTATAAATTCACTACAATATTCCCTAATGGATTATCTCAGTAAAAAAAACGACATCACAACACAACAACAGATCACATTGAAATCGGACTAAATCAAAACCACCTCGGTATGTTCAAAGTAATTATTACTTATTAAGAATAATCAACAGTGAATAATTTCCCCATAATAATAATAATAATAATAGTAATAACTCAGATATAATCTAAGTAAAGAACAGAAAAAAAACTAATATACAAATGCACAATAGTATGAAATGCATATGATATAATATGATATATATATAACCTATCAGTGAGATGATAGGGGGATGTTTATCTTGATTATATTGTTCAGAAAGTATCATAAATATTCTCATCTATACATGGTAAACTATGCAATTCAAAGAACAAAACTTGATCTAAACAATCTATCACATGTAATATAATTCCAAGTAAGAGAATTATCTACAATTAATCATAATAGATCTATTCACGATGATCATGATGATGATGATGATGATATTGTTAATTGTCTTGGATATAATATATTCGTAAACATATGTAAAACTTGTTTAATTTCAATTGGTGTAATAGGTGATGATAAATTAATATTTAATTTTTGTCGATTAAATAAAATCATATCAATAATATCTAATATATCACCATTTAATAAATAAGCAAGTATATGTAAACCTTCATAAGGTGATGATGATGACGACGATAACCCAGATGACGATGATAATGTCGAGTCAATTGTCAAAGATGATGATGATGTGGAGGAGGAGGTGGTGGTGGTGGAGGAGGAGGAGTTGGAGGTCGTAGAACAACATGTCATACTATTATGTAATATTTTCAAATATTGTTCATTTATAGTTTTCACTGTAATTTTACTTTCATTATTATTATTAGTAGTAGTAGTAGTATTGTTAAATGTACAATAGAAAAACCAATAAAAAAATTTTTTTATATTACGTGATTTAGTTAAATTTAATAAACTAGCTGATTGTCTTAAATGATGAAATGATAAAAATTTCTCAATTGATTGATTACATGTTATTAAATCAATACGTGTTAAACGTAATAATTTACCTTTATATAATTGATAATAAATTTGTTTTAATTTGAATGGATACATTTGCCAAAATGGATCATCATTATGATTATGATGATGATGATGATGAGGAGGAGGAGGAGGAGGAATAGTTGGTAAAGGTATAGATAACTGATTCAATAATTTATTTAAACGTATCCAATTTGAATTGTTACTAGGTAAAAAATAATTGGAAAATTTCAAATTTTGTAATATACTACTTGGTTTTCTTATATTGTCATCAACATCGTCGTCGTTGTCGTCACAACCGTCATCATCATCATCATCATCATCATCAATGTCACGACGACTGTCATCATCAGGATCATGATTATCATTGATAAATGATGATAATTGTTTATCATTAAACATATCAAATCCATTTGTTGTTTTTATCAATGAACTAGTACATATAGTACGAAAATATTTTACAATTCTAATTAATCGAATAGGTTGATTTTTGCATAAATTTAATAAATCATATAATTCTGGTAATTTAGTTGTTGGCAAATATAAAAGCATTTGATTAGCATTAATACGAATATAATCATAGATTAATTCTAAAACAAGATCAGATGTATGAAATGGTTCACCGGAACTAATTAAAATTTTTTGAATTATCTCTTTAATGGAAGATTTTAAACAAATCTGTAAAATGAATTTTTTTTTTAAAAAAAAAAGAAAAAAAAAACAAAACATTTTTACGACATGACAACTAGGAAAACAAAAACTGTTAGTTATAATAACTATATCAAATTGAATGAAAAACAAACAAACAATGAAACAATCGAAATGACAGTATAAATCAGGAAGGATCAGTTCTAAAATCTTAATCAAATGGGTGTTGAAAAACCAAGTTATCATTTTTATGACTAATTCTTCCTCTTACTTACACAGTAGAATTTTATGTACTTAGCTTTGAATCATCGAATTGTATCACGAGTCAAATCCTGAAGGGGGACAGAGAAGAGAAAAACAAAAGAACACACTGCATCGAAAATTCAAAGCAGACATGAAAAGGATTGCTCAGAACAGAGTTGGATGGAGAATGTTAGTGAGTGACCTATGCTAACAGGAGTAAGGAAGTTTCAGTCACAATATTTTTGAAGGGTAGTAATCTTACCAGTGGCTAAAAGGAATTAAGAGCGATGAGACTTGAAGTCATTCCCCAAAGTAAACGATTTCGAATCTAGGACCTAGAGGCCAAAATTCAAACGCCCTAACAACCAAACACTAACAGATTCTAGTCTTATATAGAGATCTTTTATATCACAGGACCATATCATAAAGTGACCAATTGTTCGCTTTGTACACTCAGTCCCTGCATCGGTAAATAATGTGACGTGGAAGTCAGCGAGATGACATTAGTATGACATGATCGAGTAGGTTGCATATTCGAACTCGACAACTCTTAGATCAGGTAACTGAGTGATATCACTGACACTGACATCTAATTTAAGAGCTGAAGATCAGTACACATATCTCTATTTCGTAAATACACTACCTCAGTATCAGTTACAATAGTTTATTACCATACCTGGTTATGCCTTAAATTAAATGCCAGATTTTTTTAAAACAAGACCACTGGGATACGCGATACCAAGTCAATGAAAACATAACGGTTATAAATACGTATTTCATAAACTTACCATTATACAGTGTCATATAAGACAATAAGGGAACCAAGGAAATTCACGAGGTGTATGTAGAAATAATTCTGTAAGATAGATATTTCAAAAATAATTCTTCAACGTAGTAACTAATATTTCGGTTTTTCTGTAGAAAATAAAAAAGGTGACACGAGTAAACATTACATACAGTGGGTAATCTGGAAAAAATTTTCATTCTGTAATTTAAAATAAAGCACTTAATTCCTTCGAAGAACTACTTTCTCTGAACTTTAGGTGGAAATGTCTAATCCGCAAGGGTGGGGCAACACTAAGAGATAAAATTCCATTATTAGTCATGATAAGAGTAGGTTCATATTTTACTGCTGTGTCCAGATCCTGGGGCTTATAATACACTATAGGTTAGCAACCAAGGTATTTTAACTCCGTTGCATTAACACGTCTGGCTGGTTTTGAGAAGTCGAAGAGTAGAGCTTTCCTGGAAGAGGCTATAACGTGAGACCAAGAAAGTTTTCGAGGGCAGTTAAAAAGGCTTACGGTGAGACTAAAAATTATGGACGACCTATGAGAGACGCAAAAGTGACTTTGAAGATGTCCACCTAATAACTAGCGCTAAATGAGATTTATAAATCACTGCGATGAATCAAAACTACGACTTGCAAGTGATAGTTGGGATTAGCAATTAGATTTAGGATTTTCATCACAAACTGACATAAGCTAAAATGCCAAAACGCTATTTCGCCAAATGGATGGATGAGTTACGTGACAAAATTCAAGACCTGTTACCTTATATGTGAATAGTTTTTTCATAGCTTATAGTCTCACCGGATTCAAAGTCGGATGAAGACGCCTTGCAGATTGTTAAACAGGAAGAATTGTTCTCACATTCACAGAGTATCATGAACACTACCCAAGCTCCCAATTTTGGTGAGCTTTGGGGATATTTTGGGGAAATACCCATAATTTTGTGGAAATTTAGGGGAAGAAATCCCCAAGGTCTGGGGAAATTTTGGGTAAATCCCCAAAGGTTGGGGAAATTTTGGGGTTTTTGTGCCATTTCCCCAAAGTTTATAATGGCGGCTTCCCCAAAATATCCCCAAAATAGGTAAAATTTTCCCCAAAATTGGGAGCTTGGGTAGGATGAGAAAGATCTGTACAGACCAACAACTACCTTAAGGTTCCACTGAACCGGTAAGACACCGTATGCCTCAAATAGATTTATATATCCGAAATTTTTCGATGAGAATTTAACACCGAAGTATTAAGAATTACCGAATATCCTTACTTACCAAGGTAACCACCACTCGAGGCGTAGCGCAAGTCCATCTAGAGCGCGCTTCTGATTCTCAATACCTAGACAAATTCAACATTGAAAAGATACTGTTTACAGACCTAAGAAAAATGTACAGTTCTCCAATGAAAAACTTTTAGAAATTCTCTTGGACCACCTTATTCGGCAGTAAATTTTAGATATTTAACATTTTGAAATCAAAAATGTGAACACAGTCTATTCTGCTATGCTGTCTCTAATTTCTAGGTGTTACCCCTTAGTTTCATGTTGTGTTTCAGCTTCAGTAGGTGTTTAACGAGATGCTCAGGAGTGTCTGGAGTGCTGCCAATCGTTATAAGGCCACCGTTGAGACATCTGTACTTTGATGTATAAAAACTCAGTGACGGGGTGCTCTTCATAAGTTTTGAGTTTGAGTTACCAAACTAAATTCGTAGCACGCCTCTGAATGCGTTCCCGTGCAGTCTTATCCTTTATCAGTAAGAGAGAAAATTTTATATTTTCATATACTGAATGTGTTAAGTGGAAAGTTCTACCGTAGAACTAGTCAAAGTGCGCCTCAACCTTAAAGGTGCAAGGTTTACTCGACAAGCATTTTTGTCGTAGTTCGCGTAAGACTTCAGATCATAGGGCACGAACACTCGTAGCTCCCTTCCAACTTGGGATATCGATACTAGGGACTGACTTCTGTCTTAAAGATAATTAGAAACATATCTCAAACGGACTACTTAACAGTGAAATGCTAGAAGTCAGTTGTTATCTACCTAACTGTGATGTCGAGTCAGTACTTCCTGAAAGTTCAGGTTATAATCATGACTGCATAGTTCCCTATAAAGTTTTTTATCACAGACCAAAAATAATAAATCAGACGATATTTTCTGAGGAAGTTCACTTATGTTAATTAGGAAAATGCGTTCCTAGCACTGAACCTTGCGGGACCCTATCAGGACATCCTGTATCATGAGAAATGAATATCATCCTGACCCTCAAAATCGATTATTCAGATATGAAACCAGCCAACCAATGAACAGTGACGATAAATCTAACCGTTTGAGCTTACTGACAAGCATATATGATTGACCCCATCAAAGGCTTTTAAGAGGTAAACGTATGAGACATTAACTTTATTTTTGTGATGAAGCATGGTTGTGCATCTGTCCACTGCGATCGGCAGGTTGGTTTTTGAGTGATTCCTTCTAAGACTGTGTTGCTGGTTGGTGAAAAGTATAATTAGTCACGTAAACCATCGTATATCAGAAACCACATAACTCCTGAGGGTATTGAAAGAAGTGCTTTAGGGTTCGCTAAATCAGACTTCTTTGAAAATTAGCGTAATGTGAGCCGAGTTTCCGTTACTTTATGTCGGCTCAGCAAATTTGAGAACAATTGAAATGCTTGAAAATATTCTTCTACCAGAAGTTCGACAGCATCACTTCCGTTGTTGATTGAACCACCATGACCTAGCAATTGCAAAATTTCGGTTTTGGCTTGTCGAAGTAAGGCTGGATAAAGAAATAAGTTTTTTCAGGTCGGAGGCAAATTTGTTGATTAGATTTACTTGATAATCGATTCTGTCTTTTCTTATTGCCTTTGGTATTGATTCTTTACTTTTTACTTTGTCTATCTGTGCTGTCTTCACCAGTTATTTTACTTTTCGCCCAGTGGTTCCTTTAGCGATATTTGATGGCCGTACGTTGCTTTTTATTTTTGGCGACCGTTTGAGAAAGGGACAGTTTCGTAGCATATAAGATCATGTCCATTTAGAAATCCCAATGATCGGCTGCATCAATTTGAAGGTTGGCTTCCCAGCCCGCCTGCTGTATATTAATCTGCATAAATGGCACATCCAGCCATCTGTAGTCCCACTTCCTATTATATGTAGGGTGATTTAGCTCAGTTTTGCTGACAAACTTGAAGGCTATGACGACGTGATTACTTTTACTCAGGAAAGTCAGGATTGAAGGTTGTCAGTCGGTAATTCTTAAGTTTCATACGAGCGAAAAGCAACCTACCCACATTAGAATTTCCGAGCAGATAATCGCTGTCTTTGTCTTTTATAGTCAAAAAATGGGATAGTCAGTGCAAGTTTGCTTTTGTGCTTGATCCTTTCATCTTGTCTGTCCGGATGCATGTAGATTTCAGTTGGTAACCGACGTCAGTTGACACTAAATGAGGCCGCCCTGTTGGTAATCACATCACTTGTTGAGTCGTTATGTTCTGAAACTTCATGGACTATTTAATCAATTTCCACTTTGGAATATCATAGTCTGAATAATCAGTGTTAGTTTCGAGTTTTTTCTTTCTTTCGTTATTGAGGCACAGTGGATCTATGTACCTGTAATTTACGAGTTGATTCTCCTAAACGACCTGAAGTGTTCAGCATTCGTGACAGTGACGTTTGATACCTTCTAGCCCCGTTGGCGGGACTTCAGTCGCCCGCAGTAAAAGTTTTAGGGACTACAGTAGCATTTAGAGTCCGTGCCCGAGACACAAGTTCGCTGTGAGAGTCTAAGATCGCCAACGTTATGGTGATACTGAGTTTCTGGATATCCTTACAAAAGGTGGTGCCTGTTCCATCGACAATAGTAATTTTGAAGACCTTTCTATCTCACCTTGAGTTTTTGTTTGTTTATTCGCTTCAGGGTCTCCTTTTAACAGGGTTACTGGCATTATTTCGTAGAACTGTCAAGAGTAGGATGACGTTCCTGAGTAACTCTTTAGTATTCATGCTGTATGTCCTTCATACTCACATGAGATCTCATTTACTAAGTCTGCTGTAAGCAGTTACCGTGAGGTATGTGCATGCTATATGTCACAGATGATAACAAAACGGCATTCAGGTCTCTTGCATGTTATATTAGTTACTGTAGTGAAATATAAGTTGTTAAATAAATCCAAGAATACGTTCATGGCTATGGAAGGAAAAGAACATACACAGATACAACAAACTCAGAAAAGTAACCTACAGGATGTTAAGCTTAGGACAGATTCTTTGAATCAAAAATGGTACTTTTGTTGCGTAAGGATATAGCAAAAGTTTTGGAAATGAAAACGACTAAACTTCCAGTTTGTAAAATGCACTTCAAGTATTTGCGGAGAGCGAAAGTCTGCCGTATTTTGTACACTGTCACATATATTAACACTAATCTTTCATCAAAAGTTTTGATTACGTTTTAAAACAAATCAATCGAATAAAATTCAGCATTACAACTAGTGAGAAGAACCTGATATAAACTTATGCGATTTGTGTTCTATGAATGTTGTAGTTTCAAAAATTTCAATTTCGTACCCTGATAAAGATATGACATGTGATGACCGCAAATTTTTTTAACTGACTATACATCACCAATGTGAGTGAGGAAGTCTATTACAGATGAAGAGGAATGGTGGTATATCAGAGCACAAATTGAATTCATATTATAAACTTAACGCAGAATCTGAATCACTAAATCGTGATATTCAGATGTTATATTTACTTTGATGACTGCAAAAATAAATGTAACTTTACCAGAATGATGTATTGCAAGAAAATACTAAAGATTATCGTCTAACTATGTGCAGTAACGAAGCACGTTTACGTATTTTTTGGTTCGAACTGCACTATGCTTGAAGATTTATAAACTTTTACTACTGGTTTTATTGTGAATTTGGCTTGGACAACTTAAACCATTACACTCATATACTCAGGCTTTTACTTCTACGTTGTATTAATTTGATTAGTGGACAATATTTATACGAGGTCAAATGAAACACATATATCTATCGATAGCATCATGTGACTACTCAATGTCATTTATAATGAACTAAATGCATCAGCTGAAATACCGAGCGAAAAAGTGGATTAATACTATGTAGTCGCTATCACACTTGATGGGGAAATTCTGGAAGATGTAGAATCCTTTACGTACTTGGGTAGCATCATCAATGAATGTGAAGGATCTGATGCAGATATAAAGGTGAGGATTGCCAAAACAAGGAAAGCATTCCTACAGTTGAAAAACATATAGAACTTAAGGCAACTGTCAACCAATATCAAAGTCAGAATCTTCAATACAAATGTTAAGACAGTTCTACTGTACGGAGCTGAAACTTGTAGAACTACTACAACCATCAACAAGAAGGTACACGTATTTATCAATAGCTGTCTACGCAAATACTCAACATCCACTGGCCGGATACTATCAGCAACAGCCTTTTGTGGGAGAGAACAAACCAGCTTCAAGCTGAAGAGGAAATCAGCAACAGACGATGGAAGTGGATAGCACATACATTAAGTAAATCACCAAACTGCATCATGAAACAAGCCCTGACTTGGAATCCTAAAGAGAAACAAAAGAGAGGAAGGCCGAAGAACATATCACGTCGAGAAATAAAAGCAGATATGGAAAGGACTGCCCAGGACATGGTTGAATGGAGAGTGGTGGTGGGCAGGCTGTGTTCCTTCACGAAGAGTAACAGACGTAAATAAGTAATTCTTAACTATTAACTATAAAATAATACTCATCTAGTTGTAAGTGAAAATCGTCAACTTGAATCTTTACACAATTCATTTCAATAGTTAACATCCACTTTCATTAAACCCACAAAAAGGACAAACGTAAAGAAAGTAATAAATAACAATGGAACAAATACTGTTTAAACATATTCATATTCATATTATTATTATTATTATTATTATTATTATTATTATTATTATTATATAATAAATACATTCGTTTCATTATTATAAAGAACATGTAAATGATTTAAAAGTACATTTTGTTTTATAATTTAAAAAAATATCAAAACAACACCCTCCAACAACAACAACACCTTCCTCCCCCCCTACACACACACACAATTACAATTTGGTTTCCTTTTATCGACTTTACTTATTCTGTACATTGAATAATACTACTACTACTAATAATAATAATAATAATTGATAAGTAAGAATATTTATCAACTTAAATATTAAAACAATACAAATTAGTAATAATAATGGTGGGATTGAATTCTTGATGTTCCATTATGATTGAAATCATGAATATTTATATAATCAAATATTATCATCAGTATTACAGGTGTACTAATGTTATCGTCACCGTCACCATCATCATCTTCATCAGTATCAGGATGAATACCATCACACTTATGTAAATACATTTGAAGGGCAACCTGTAAACGTGTATACATGATAGTAGATTAAATGTGTGTGTGTGTGTGTGTGCATGTTTATGTATTGTAGGAATAGTAATAAATGATTTCCCCTTACCCCCCCCCCAAAAAAAAAGAAAGAGATTGTTTTCATTTACTTACAATTAAGATTAATTATCCTGAGTACAAGTATATAATTGAATGAATAAGGATGAAATTGATCATTTATTTCATGAATAAGGTTTTGATATAGATGAAGGTGTTATTTCATGTGATGTTGTTAAATATCCACTATGTAAACTACCTGATGCTGGACCAGCTGTTAAATATGTAGTCATTGATTGTGGTACATTAGCAATAAATAAAGAATGACCTTGATCTCGATAATCTGCCCAATTAGGATATGTTTCAAGAATTGAAGTAACCTTTAAAAAACAAAAAAAAAAAGAGAGAAAAATCTAAGCTAAAAGTTTGACAGAACCTTAACTAGTGACATCTTTTATCATTGAAACATACTAACCCAGTGAAATTAGAAGCCAAGAGATTCGAAGATATATTTGATAGGCAATCGATATATCGAGAAGTAACTGAACTAAGCTGGTTAATGGTTGTAGAAAAGGTTGAAGATAGCGTACCCAATTGTGATCTGGTACGGATGCATGATCGAGAGCCTTCAGCCTAGATGAGTCCATTAAAACTAATGCAATCAGCATTAAATGTCAAAGTGTTATAGAGCTATTGGTATAGGGGATTTATTTGAATTCTTCATCTATAGCATTTTCACTAGTTGATACTTATTTCAATACAATTCAATTAAACATGTTTAATATTGTGATTATCAATGTCATATATGATTTATTCAGTAAATATACAAATTGTGCTTATAAGGTTGTTGATGAAACTTAACAACAACTCTTGAAGAATTCAGAAGAAGTTGGACAGAAAATACACTAAACTAATAAAGCTATTTTAAGTTAGATGAAACGATTCATTGAGGAGAGTGAAGATCGTAGAACTTATTAAAATGAACTCTATTACTGATTTTAAAAAAAAGACATAAAAAACTTCTTGTTTTTATACAGTCCAAATGATTGCTAGTGTAATAAATTCAGTTAAAGTTTCCTCTGTACATCATTTTAACAAAATATTTAAGGGTCGAGAAATGTGACATCTCAAAAGTCGAACTTCTAGTAACTATCGGTGATGAATTGTACAGTGGAAACAGTCAGTCAGCTACAATATAGGACCAGGCACATATATGCATCGGTCCAAGTTGCCATACCGCATTAGCATAACAAGATGAACACCAGATTCATAGAAGTAGTTAATTCAGTAGTTGTAATATATAAAAGAAAAGAAACGAGAGCGTTGAATTCGGTTATTGATCAAAAAACACGTAAAAGACCTCTTCTTTTTATACTGTCATAGGTGACGTAAGTTGGTAAAAGCCAAACAAGCTTTCCGAATCCGTGCACAAATTTCACCAGGCATTAACCCATTTGGGCTGATCAGACTTCCAAGATAAGTGAAGTTGTCAACGCGTTCGACTACTTCACTACTTATCCTTAGTTCAGCTGTTGACGCAGACCAGTCCTGAAGCAACAACTTGCATTTAGAAGGAGAGAAACATATCCCAAACATCCTGGCATTGTTGCTCGGTGCTACCAGAAGACTCTGCATTTTATCAGCGTCTTCACCGAACAGGACTATATCATCTGCGTATTGTAAGTCGATAAGTTGACCTCTTGGAAGGAGATCAATGCCCAAGAATTCAGTAGACGGAGATAATAAAACAGAATTTAGCATAAATTGCGAGTATTTTGAAGTGGATAAGATTGAAAGACATACTCATAATTTTTTTAACCATAATTCGTGCATTTATTAGACAGAGTGGTATATATATATATATATATATATATATATATATATATATATATATATATATATATATATATATATATATATATATATACGGTTTGTTAAATATGTACATAATCACACTTACCTTAGCACCATAAACAGCACTGTATTGCATAGCTTTTAATGCTTTTATGAGATAGGCTCGGGTTTGTCCAGGTTCTCGTACCGAAGATGGGAAACCATTTTGGAGCATACGTAATATAAAACCGATAAGATCATGTTTTAAAGCCTAGAAATAGAGAGAGAGAGAGAGATAATGAACAACAAATCACCACAACAGTATAATCAGTTAAGTTTACAATTAGTGACCACACAATCCAAACATCGACAATATATTATCTCAACAGTATTTTCGTCACATAATGCATACGGTAAGTGAGGTAATGTGAAGTTTTTGTATTTCACCTTGTATGCTTGAATTTTATTGTACTTCTGCCTCTTTTTTTAGTCGGTCATCATCAACGTACAGCCTTCCTATTGACTCAAGAAGCCATAACCACATTAGCACAATGACACTAATCAAAGATATAGTAAAAGCTAGATGGAGTCATACCATCTTCAACAATGTAGCGATGTCAGTCTGACTGTAAAAGTATAAGTTTACAACGCGTAAGTGAGAGCAAGTTTGTTGTATGTTTGTGAAAACTGACCCATTTGAGCGCAGAATGTTTTACAATGCTTTGTGTTTAGTCATCGTTGTCTCCAAAAGATTACTGACATCCAATGCCGTTACCATGTTAGTAATACCGAAGTTTAGTGATGACCATTCAATCGGTATCACAACCCTATATCATCGACTCCAGTAGCGTGAGCATCTTTCACAGATTTCATCGTAGTGGTTTTCATAAAGTTTACTAAATGCTGACCCTGGTACGAGGCAGAAAAAGCGGAGAAGTGTTTAACCTGTGAAATGTCATCGTGGTGTGAAAGGTAGATGCATAGGAATAAAGGATCTGTTGGTACATCAGAACTGCTTATTTAGAGTACTGAAGACCTCACAGCTCAGTGATTTGAGACGTTTAGAATAGAAGCAAGTGGCGATCGTATTATGGTTTTGTATTACATTTACTTAAACTATACAAGCATGATGATTGTCATAAATTTAGAACACGATACTGGAAGGAGGTGAAAAATTGGGGAGCTGAAGATAATTGTCCGACTGATAGCTACTAAGAACAAAATAATTAAAATAGATTACTATTATTATAGTCGTTATTTTATTAAAGTACAATGTGGTCATAAGTGACTAGCTTCGTGAAGGAATTCTTGGAGTTCTAGTGAGAAGTCGTGACCAGTGGATCTAATCCGTGTTGAGTAGAGACAGGTATTTACCTCAGTACAATAGAAGATGGTCGCTCAATTTAGCGGATTGAGTGAGGTTAGACATTAACACCGTTGTATGCCGACTCAGTGGTCTAGAGTTTAAGCGTTCTCGCGTTAGACTGAAGGCCCTGGGTTTGAATCCCTTTGGTGCGGGATCGTGGATGCGCACTGCTGAAGAGTCTCACAATCGGACGAAACGGCCGTCCAGTGCTCCCAGGTTTTCCATGGTGGTCTAGCTTCAACTGACTCATGATCTTAATCATTGAAATTACTACAATCTCCACAAAACCCCTTCTGATATTAATCAACATATGCTCAATAGTGATTGGCTTCAAGAGGTATATCCTGGAGTTTTAGTGAGAAGTAGTGACCAGTGCAGTCCAACCAGGTCTGTTGTGAGATAGTAACTCACTGAAGACAATGATGGATTAGTTGAAGTTAGACATTAACACCGTTGGATGCCGGCCGGCTCAGTGGTCTAGTGGTTAAGTGCTCGCGCGCGAAACCCGTAGGTCCTGAGTTCGAATCTCGCAGGGGATGAGGTCATGGATGCGCACTGCTGAGGTGTCCCACAATAGGAGGGAACGGTCGTCCAGTGCTTCCAGGTTTCCCATGGTGGTCTGGTTTCAATTGACTCATGATCTCAATCAAAAAACTTTATTAGTGTTTTTTATATCCAATCATCGTTATAACAATTAATTAATTTATACATTTAAAATTTGCTTAATTTTAACAGTTGGATTCATAAGTCGATCTAAACTAGACCATCATTGAAAATTTCGGAAGCTCCGGATGGCCGTTTCATTTTTGTACGCATGTTTAATTCTCAAAACGTACACAAACGCTTCAAAACTTTCATCTAGTTAATTATGAATTGCCATTACTTGTCAACTGATCACTCTTTTATATTTAAATGTTATATAAACTTCTTGGCAACTTCTATACTGATCAATACATCCAACTTATCAACTTTCAGGAAGTTCTACTGGCAGTTTTCTTCCGGTGGGGTTGTTGTTTACGGAATTGAGAGGACATAAAACGAATACCGGATCCGTCCAAGGGAGTTAGAAAATCATGATTACAAACCAATGGTGCACATAGACTTTAGGATCCTGAGGGAACAAACAGCGTATGAAATAACTGTTGGTTACTGGCTGACATGCGACTGCATTTCCCAACGTTTCCCCACTGCCTTGTCGAACAGACCTTTAGGTCTAAGGCTCCGGATATGGACTCCTAAGAAGACCACCTACTTCAGTCTGAGCAGCCGGGCAGTATCAAGTCCCACACACACACAAATCAAGTGACTTGTGTGGTGAGCATATGTATTCGGTGCTCCGTTGTACCGATATTTAAGTGTTCAAATAAATAAATTCATTAAACTACTGTCATATTTCATTATATTTTAGTTATTATTAATTTTTATTTCCTAATCTAGTATCATTCCAATATTCCGTTTAATATGAATAGAGTTGTGAGAACAGCTGATAAGAAATTATGAATTAAAATAAATTCATACTGTGGTGTGTGCTACTAATTTCTATAGATATAAGTAGTATGTATCATCAATTGAAAGTGAAATATCTGGCAGCAAAAGGTTAAGAAAATCGAAGAAAAGAGAACGAGAACAGAATATGATTGGTGTGGATACGAAAGAACAATAAATTCAAAGACGATTGATTGACATTTTGTAAATGAAATATTTACTATACGGTTCTCAGATTTTACTAAGAGATTCTGTCATTGTGTGTTAAAGAAAGAGGTTCAGAGGTTCTGAAATCATAGTGTATACGATAGAAGAAGTCATCCATATGACTCCATAATAATCGACCACTGGAGCCATGATAAGGTCGTGAAAACTATTTCAGCCTCGATCACGTAGCTTCAATACTGTTTTTGTGCACTCCGATTGTTGGGTCCTTAAAATGCTAACTCTATGTAGACATTAGTATGCTCTCCAATCATCCATGTTATGGGTGCTTTTATTATCCAGTTTGTAACAATTGTCATAATTTACCTTAGTCTCAATGTGAATCGAGCAGATGTTTAAATGGAAATAGATAATAAGGAGCTCGAACCTGCAACCTAACGATGAACTTTTATAAAGTATAATAAAACACAAACTTCTACATACTTGTTCAATTAATGGATCAGAATATGGTGTATCAAATAGACAAAATAATGTTTCACCAATTAAACCTAATTCTTCACCAATACAACGATTAACAATACGAATTAAACCACTAATTGTATTACTTTCTGACATGGACTGTACACATAACTAAAAAAGAAAAGAAAAGAAAAGAAATACAAACAAACAAATCACAATGAATACACTAATGAATATCAATCTGTATATTCCGTTATTATTCTGGATCACATATTCATAGTTGATTATTTCATGTAGAAATGATCTAAATTCCATGTGTATTAAGCCAAATTGTTATAGTGATGTTATTATGTAATTGATTATTTTCATTTGTTCTTCATATTTAAATTGACTGTCATGTTTAGTTGACATTGAATCATATGATTGATTGACTTGACACATTGATAAGCTTAGCTAATTGTAGCCAGTCAGTCAGTCAATCAGCTACAACGTAATACCAGGCACATATATGCATCGGTCCAAGTTGCTATACCTCACTCATTAGCACAACAAGATGAACACCAAATTCATAGAAGTAGTTAATTCAGTGGTAATATATAGAAGAAAGAGTGTGCATAAGGAGATAGTACATGAAGAAAGAATTAGTTGGTAGAATGTAAGATATAAAGTAATTTAAATCTTACAGTTTAAGAGAAAACAGAGTTTACACCTACGTCCTGATCGTTGGTGCTACCTTGACGCGGTGGTCCGGCTTTCCTAAGGTGATGAAGATACCAAGCCATACTGGCTGGAACAATCGTTTCCCAAGGTCCTATCATGCCAGACAGGTTGGTTGTAGAACGGTAAGACTAAAATCAGCAACTCAAGGTTCGAAGGTGAAGTCGTACTGCTGACTGTACAGAGGTGTGTCGGCAGTAAGGTGTTTCCCTCTGACAAGCAGCATAACAGTGATGCAGCCTTCCCACAAAGTGGGGTGGGGTTAGAAAAGGTCGACCCTAATAATGCACACCTCACCTTATCCCACAAATATCCGTCTCCGGCGGTAAGGTCTCAACAAGTACGGAGTTAACACAAAAATCACTCATAAAAAGGTCGTGTATGACCGACCTCAAGCAGTTTTCCCTTGGGTACTGCGATCAAGCTCTCAGGTCACCAAGACCACCTCTAATCCAATTTCCTTTTCAGGTACCTCCAGAAGAAACCTTCAACGGTGTGGGCAACCAGAAAGTGATAATCGCCCTCATACCTCTAACAGCACTCAAGATACATCTACGCCATTGTGTTCGATTTCGAGCCATGTCACACAGAGTCTTCAACTATTCGTTACGATAGTCACGTGGACCCCGACCAAGTAATCTGCATATACCAGTATTCCTTAGACTAGATGTTAGTGACTTCAAGCTCGGATGTCACATTTTGGTTTGACCGCCCCTAACATTCTTCCAATCATCCCCAACACTAGCCAGTATTGTGCGTCGTGGTAATCGGTGTTCAGTCATACATCACACGTGGAATGCAGACTGATTTGAATATCATATTTTTAGAAACTTCCTGATACTTTTACAATTTCTCGGATCCAGAATTTCGACATTTTCTTAATCGAATTTATCTCCATGGTTGTTTACGTGTACGGATATAACAGTGACGATACATTATTCTGCTTCATGGATAATCTGTGCTCGTATATGATATTTCACACGATGTTGCTATGTTCTTGTATTGTGAAATACAGTTCTCCCTCTAACTTTTAAGAGAATATCAATACAAATCAGTAACTAAGCAGTGATTTATAAAGTAGGATAATGTGATTATAGAACTATAGTGCCACGTTTTTTAATCCTTAAAGTGCATGTTATCGAATAACACTTGGTGATTGGTTATTACGTACACATTTCTGTTATATCACAGGTCACCAGCAGATCAAGTAATTTAGTGGCACATTTATGACTGCGGCACACTTAAATAGACATCAATTCCTCAAACATAAGTCATACTGACAAGTAAAAAGTAGAGTGAGACATAGACATTGAGCTTCTTCTCGACTGCCTTTAACTACCTGATAAAATTTGTTAAATGATGGGGTGATAGAAATTGCGTTCTATGTAAAAAGAAAGATAATGATGCTGGTTGTTAGCTTTTGCAAACTTGCGTCACTTCTGGCTTATGCGAGATACCTTTCTGCCAACCAAAGGATGTGTTAGCTGCACAGTAGTTCGCTCCTTCCTACTGTATGAATGTGAAACATGGCCGTTAAGAAAAGAGGATATTCGTGGGTTAACAGTATTCGATTATAGGTGTCTTCGAAGCGTTGCTATTATATTTTGAGATCACTGAGTAAGCAAAGTCTGGTTTGGGAATAAGTTACTAGGTAAGGATAGAAAATCGACTAAAGAGGTAGTAAATCTCCATCGATTGAGGTAGTTGTGACAAATATTACGTATGACCAGCCACCGCTTACCTGTATGGGCAATGTTATTTGGTGTTAAGTATTCACTAGAAGAAAGCTAGGAAATCAGTCCATGAAGTAACTGACAATTGGACTTATACATGTTAATAGGTATAGACTACCTTGTTGGAGTCCACGTGATTACCCTAACTAATATTTAGAGACTTTGAATGACATGACTCAAGATCGTTTGCAATAGTGCACGTGCATTCATTCTTTGTCTTCCTCCAAATTCTAAGATTCCAAACTCTTCATAACCTCTTTTGTTTTTATTTTACTAATTTAGATATTGAATCGTATCTTCGATGGCTAACCTTTTTAATCACTATTCATTTTGTTACAACCTCTACTATTCTGGGATTTGGTCTGACGGTTTCATATCTCTATGTTGATAGGGTATGGCAACTTGAATTGATGTACACACATACCAGGTTGTAAGTTGTGACTGACTGGTCCTGACAGTGGCTCCTATTTTGACGTCGTAGCTGGGCTTGTCTATAGTAATGACTTAATCAAGCTATAGCGGTCGGGTAAGTAGTCTCAATAGGTTATACGATGCCAGGTAGGCCGGTTGCAGAACGGTAGGGTGGAAAGCAGTCAACGGTTTTTCTCCTCACAACAGGAAAAAGAGGTTGGTGAAGGTTAGGTCCAGAAATTTCAGTCTTCACCTTAGTCCACAGGCTTCCACCTAAGGCGGCAAGGCCTACTGAAGTACGGAGCTAATACATTACAAACTTCTCATATAAAAGTTGTGTGTAACCCGCCCCAAGTAGTTGTTTCAAGGGCTCCACAGTAATTTTTCCTGGTCGCTAAAACTACTAATAATCCAGTTTCTTTCTAAGGTCCCCCCCACCAATAAGAAATATCCTTCGACGGTGCGGGCGACCAGAAATTGACAATAGCCCTCATACCTCTAACAGCACTCGTGATCGTCTTCATTATTATCGAATTCCCTGGTTACTTAATATTCAGTTTATTCCTACTATCAAATCTTCTATGAATGATGTCAGTCAACTTATTGTTAACAAGTAAATTACAAAACAATTTATATCGTGAAAACCAGGGAGTATTAGACAATTGATTGATTGATTCTATTATTACGAGACTCATTAGCAGTACGTATCTAAGACTACCTTATACTGAGACAACACACCTGTCCTATACTCCCATGTTTCACTATTTAGCTTGAGCGACTAAATAAGGAAATTTGTAAGAACTTTCCATTAAGAATAAAATATATCAATCTAAAACTTACTTTACTCGCTGACATCTGATGTAAAATGATGACAATCGCTTTAGCACCTTCTGGATCATCGACTTTAGCTAATAATTCTAAAACTCTATGTACATTACCAGATCGAGGCAAAGAATCCGTAAGACCAGGACGATCAGTCAGCACAGTTTTACATGCTCGTGTTAGTAATCTAACTAATAAAGTTGAATTTGGTAATTGATGTATTGCCTCGAAAGTAAGAAAAATAGATATGAGATACAGGGATAGAAGTTGCGAAATAATAATAATAAGCTTTTTTTAAAGCAAAGATGGATAGTAGTTAGCAGTGAAATACAGGACGCCCGTTTCGTCCTATTTGGGACTCGTCAGCCGGATGTACCTGTATCCCAAAGTTAATGTTCACTCTGGGACTCAAATCCAACCCAGTAGCGTTCGCTTCAATTGCTATCGCGTTATGCACTTAGCTACTGAGTGCTGATAGCCACCTGCTTGTGCCATGGGGTAAAGTTTAAATCCACTTGGTATTGTTTTACTTGTATATTCCCATTGTTATTTAGGACTGTAATTGATCAGTCTCATGTTGGTATATGTAATAATAATAAGTATGATAATGCATTATAGCTTCGGACGTATCTCAACTGTACTTTAATAAGAAAACAAGATATACAGCTAAAAAGTAAATTCTATATCGTCGAAAGTATGTCAACGAAGTGGATTAAATGATTGTGACAATCAGCTTTCTTTCAATCATCAAGTTCCAGGTTACAATTCATATGCACCCATAAACCAAACATGCAGTCAAACTTGTATATTGTAATGAATCATTAGACCTACATTGATTCCTTTATGTTTTGCCATTACCAGAGAGGTAATACAATTACAGTGAATTGATTAGTAATTTATAGGTGATAAAAACAATACATCGCAACAAGAGCTGAGTTAAACGATACCTTACAGTTAGGGTAGTGAAATAACTGTTTGTTAAATACTCATTACAAAATATGCAAATTATTCATAGTCAATTTGGTTTCTATGATAACAATGTGTATCAGCTCAAGTTTTTATATTCTAATCAAAACAATGAGATGAAGTCAACAAGAAATTAACAGTAAAGTAATCGAAATAATGATGTAGTGTATGCCACTTATGTCGACATAACACCAATCAGAAGTGAAATGTCTGGCAATAGAAGATTGGGAAGATCGAATCGAAAAGAATGGGAACATGGAGTGTAGGAACGATAAAGTTTGAGACAACTGATGGAGGATTTGTAAATGAAGTGTTGAATTCATGGTTTTCATATTTCATGAAAGAACTCTGTAATTTAGTATTAACATACAATTGATTGTCCTCATCTGTGTTCTCGTTCATTACAATAGTACTAAGTAATTCATAATGAAAATAACTAAATATTGAGTATATGTTTCAAGAAAACTAAATGAAAACAATGTATGTATGAAGTAGCACTGGAAAGCTCAAAAAGGAGATAATATAGGAATGAATCTGAGTAACTATAATCAATGCTAACCCATGATACAAATCAAAATAACCATAAGAATTCATCTATAAATGGATCTCTACAGTTTATACACAACACAATACATTATACTAATTGTTCCTTATATTAATGTATAATACATAACTTCGTGACTCGATTAGTTTTTTTTTCAGTGTAACTTCATTAATGAAGTACTGTCAGTCATCTGCAACGTAGGATCAGGCACATATCTGCATCGGTTCAAGTTGCCATACCTCACTCATTAGAATAACAAGATAAACACCGAATTCATACAATCAGTTACTTCGATGGTAGTAAAAAATAGACTTTATATAAGGATATGATACAGGAAGAAAAAAATTAGTAAATAGAAAGAAAGATGTAAAGTAATTTTAATCTCATAGTTTAAGGGAAGACAAATAGTGTATACACCTACATCATTGTGATCGATTCTAAGCCATGTCACACAGAGTCTTCAACTATTCGTTACGATAGTCACACGGACTCCAACCAAGTAGTCTGCATCTATCAGTATAGCTAAGACTAAAAGTTAGCGACTTCAAGCACTGATGCCATGTTTTAGTTTGGCGGCCCCTAACTTTCTTACAATCATTCCCAACACTAGTCAGCATTGCGCATTGTGGTAATCGGTGTTCAGGAATACGTAACACGTGACCCAACCATCTCAATCTATGAAGATTGACAATCTCATCAACTGACTAAGTAAGTATGTGGATTTCAAACGGTATGAAAACAATCCACTCAAAAAGACAGATATATTTGTGTAGTTAAAACTATTGTGTATTATAAAAATGAACTGAATGCAACAGTAGATTAGAGATCAAAGAATACACTCAGTAGTCGATCATAGGTATCCAATTCCTTCATTTAAGTTACTTCAATTTAGGGAATCAGATAGTAGTAATAACAGTAGTCAGTCAGTCAGTCAGCTGCAACGTAGGACCAGGCACGTATATGCATCGGTCCAAGTTGCCATACCGCATTAGCACAACAAGATGAACACCGGATCCATATTTATTTATTTATTTATTTGAACACATAAATATTGGTACAGAGGGGCACCGAATATATATGCGCCACACAAAACAATGATAATTTGAAGAGAAGGAGAAAAGAGAAAAAAAAAAGTAATGAACGTGGGGAATTATAAAAAAAAGGAGAGAGAGAGAACAATGGTGGGGGAAACGGAAAGGTACAATCAGAAGAGATCTTTCAGTTATGGAAGATATAAACACTTTTTATGAAGAAAGTAAGAGGTTACAGCACGATCGCCACTGGCTTCTATTCTTAGCCATATCTGATAACGTCTCTAGCCACTGCGTTACACCGTCTCTCGGACCCCAACCACGGAGTCGTGAAGGACCAACATAAGCTAGCCCTTTGCAGCTTTCTTTCATACCACGACACCATGTCATATACTGACCACCCCTCCGCTTTTTCCAACCAGTCCCAGAGTCGGCAAATAATGCACGACGAGGAATTCTCTGGGACGACATTCGTAGAACATGTCCAAGCCACCGAAGTCGGTGTTTCAAGATGGTGACATCAATTTCATTATCGTCTCTGTGACCGAACACTCGATGCCGAACCTCTGCATTACTGACATGGTGTTGCCACTGGATGCCAGCAATCCTTCGGAGACAACGATGATCGAACACAGAGAGTCGTCTAACATCCTCAACTCGGAGAGGCCAGGTTTCACAAGCATAGAGCAAAACTGCTCTCACCGTCGCGTTGTAGATCCGACCTTTTACAGCCAGACTAACATCACGAAGGCGCCAAAGGTGGCCCAGATTGGCATAAGCCGCTCTGGCTTTCACTATACGAGCATTGATCTCATCACTCACACCACCACCAGCACTTATGCAGCTACCTAGATACACGAACTTCTCGACTACTTCAATCTGCTCACCATCCAGAGTGAGTACAGGATTAGAATCCTGCCAGTCTTGTAGAAGTACTTTGCACTTCGAAGGTGCAAAGCACATACCATACCTACGGACACTGATTGCCAACTGATTAAGTGCGGATTGCATAGCTTGGGCATTCTCGCACAGTAAGACAATATCATCCGCATACTCAAGGTCGAGAAGTCTTTCTCCAGGCAACAGATCCACACCACCATTACTTACATCCGTCAGAGCTGTTTCCAGAATGTCATCGATGGCAAAGTTGAAGAGGAATGGTGAGATTGGGCAACCCTGCCTAACCCCACTGCTTGAATGGAATAACGGAGAAAGGTGGTTGTATGCCCTCACTCTGCCTGAGGTGTTTGTGTATAGGGCTTTTAGGATGTTAATAAACTTCTCAGGCACACCCTTCTTCAATAGACAATCCCAGAGAACAGTTCTGTCCAACGAATCGAAGGCAGCCCTGATATCAAGAAACACTACGATTGTTGGCCTTTGATAAGTATGGCGGTGTTCTAACACTTGGCGGAGGGTGAAGATATGATCAATACATCCTCGACCAGAACGAAACCCAGCCTGCTCCTCGCGAGTCAATCCTTCTCGGGTTCTGAACAACCTACGAAGTATGACGGAAGCCAATAGCTTGGACGCAATCGGAAGTAGACTTATCCCCCGATAGTTGTTACAGGAACGACGTGAACCCTTTTTAAAGATAGGGACAACTATCGACTCATTCCATGACGTTGGTACACTCTCTAGTTCCCAGATCTTTGTAAACAACGTCGTCAGTCCCTTAGTCAAAAAGTCACCACCATTTTAAAAAGAGCCGGAGGTAAGTCGTCTGGGCCCGGTGATTTGTAACGTTTCAAGAGTTGTAGTTCCTTGCGGACTTCCGCCTCATTTGGTGGATCAGTCGTCACCGGCCATGGAGGGCAGGACAGTCTGACCGATGTTGCCGGAGCAGCAGGCCAGTTGAACTGCCCTTCAAAGAATTCTGCCCATCGTCCAAGACGTCGATGGATGTTAGTGATTGGCGTTCCGTCATCCTCGCAGATTGTTTCGCTCACACCAAACTTCTTGCTGCCAGTGGCTCGGATGAGTTGGAAGAGCTTCCGGTAATTACCAGATGCAGCTGCTGCTTCCAACTCACTGGCACGCTCCGACCACCAGGCTTCTCGGTCCTTACGCAAGCTTTGCCCGATTTCATTACGTAACATCCTTCGTCTGTGGTCAAACTCACGGTCACCCGGAGTAGACCGACGGGCTTCAATCAGTTGTAAGGAACCAGAAGAAACCCAGTGCTTGTAAGCGGGACGTTTCGCAAACCCACAACAGACTTTACCCGCCATTTTCATGGCGTCATGCAATTGCAACCAATGCTCATCTATACTTTTCGGTGGAATGGTAGCTAGCCTAGAAGCTAGCTCGGTTCGGTACTTACTAGCAACAGAAGTTGCAGCCAGCTTGCTAACATCAATCCTTTGGTGGCGGTCACTTCGTTGTCCACTGAAAAGTAAGGTAAGATTGGCGCAGACCAGAGCATGATCAGATTCCAGATAGGTACTCCAAAAGGAGCGGCGGTCTTGTACACAACCGCGCCAGCGGTAGCTGATCGCGATGTGATCAATCTGAGTCCAGGCTTGAGATGCAGAAGGAGGACGCCAGGTGGCACATCGGAGATGACTGTGCCGAAAGTTAGTGCTAGCCAGAAACAGGTTGTGGTCTGCGCATAGTTGCAGTAGACGTTCCCCGTTATCTGTCCTGCGACCAACGAGTCCCCATCGGCCACCTAGACGACTCTCTTCTGTGCCTAGACGCCCGACCTGAGCATTCTAGTCTCCAGCTAGTACTACAATATCTGTCGAACGCACTTTCTGGAGAAGAACAGTTAGCTGATGGTAGAACTCGTCCTTGATTGCATCCGGGCTGCAATCTGTCGGGGCATAGGCGGAGATGACGAAAAGACATCGTTTCTCAGGCCGATTTCTTCTCACTTTGATGGAACTTTCTAATCTAACAGCACATAACCGACTGTTAATGGGGATCCAGTCGACTAGTGCTGCCTCAGCTCTTGCGCTTAGTGCGACACCAACGCCAGCAAGACCAGACGAAGATGCCACAGGGTCCCCGGATAAACGCACATAAAACAAGCTTTTTGAAGTGACAGATGGAGAGCGAACTTGTAGTACTTCACCAGAGTCTTGAATACGGGTCTCGGATAGACAACACACATCAATATTAAGACTTTCCAAAGACATAGCCAGTCCTATCTGTTGTACGACCTGCATAAGTGTGCGAACGTTGAAGGTAGCCAGTTTGAATGGTGCACGCGGTTTCAGAAAAACTGCTTCAGTACTCATGTTCGGTAGTAACATACAATTTTCAACCAGGCAGTGACTCGAGAACGTTTAGATAAAGCTGAATTTTCACCATAGGTGAGCTGCTGTCTAGGTCGAAACGCATATATAAAGTAGGAATAAGAGAGGGTGAATAAATGACGTGGTAGAGTGATAATAATAATAATAATAATAATAATAATAATAACAATAATAATAATAATAATAGTACGAGTTATTTCAATGTTAATCAGATAGAAAGGAATATTTTCCATGAGCAAATTGTTCATCATAGTTTTAGTGAGTGGGCTGAGATACTGCCCGGGTGCCCAGACCGAAGCAGGTGGTTTTCTTAGGGGGCCACACCCCGAGCCTTTGACCTAAAGGTCTAGTCCACAAGGCAGTGGAGCATCGTGAGGAGATGCAGTCCCATGGTAGCCAGCCGGTGACCAACGATTGGTTCATACGCCATTTGTTCTCGCAGGATACTGGAACCCATGTGCACCATAGAATTGGGATCCGGTTATAGCGCCGGACGTTCGCTTTTCGTCCTCTCATTTTCGTAAACAACACCCCCGCCACGAGAAGGCAGTGAGTAGGACTTCCCTGGCAGAGGCTGTATACGCGTGGCCGTGTGAGAGTATTTCGAGAGGGAGGGCGAACCCTCCCCGCTCTCGGCCATACCAGGGCATTTGGGGGCCGGATCCATAGAAGTAGTTAATTCAGTGGTGGTAATATATAGAAGAAAGAGTGTGTATAAGGAGATAGAATTAGTTCCTAGAATGAAAGATTTGAAGTGATTTTAATCTCTTAGTTTAAAGGAAGACAGAGAGTGAATACACTGACGCCATTGTGATCGATTCTGAGCCATGTCAATCAGAGTCTCCAACCATTGGTTACGATAGTCACGCGGACCCCAACCAGGTAGTCTGCATCTACCAACATGGCTCGGACCAGAAGTTAGTGACTTCAAGCACTGATGCCACGTTTTGGTTTGGCCGCCACTAACTTTCTTCCAGTCATCCCTAACACCGGTTACCATTGCGCGCCGTGGTAATCGGTGTTCAGGCATACGCAGCACGTGATCCAACCATCTCAGTCGATGGTGATTCACAACCTCATCAACTGATTTACCATCATTGCCTAATACCCTGCGTCTAACCTCACTATTACTTACCCGGTGATCCCAGCAGATTACCCGCAATATTTCTAAGGAACCTGTGGTCAAATACTAGTAACTTACGAATATCTTCTGCTCTTAAAGGCCAAGTTTCGCAGCCGTATAGTAGAACGGAACGAACTGACGCGCAGTATACTCGTCCCTTAATTGATAGACGGATATCTCGCCTACGCCATAGATGATGTAAGTTGGCAAAGGCCAAACGAGCTTTTCGAATCTGTGCTGAGATTTCATCAGATACCAACCCATTAGGGCTGATCAGACTTCCAAGATAAGTGAAGTTGTCAACGCGTTCGACTACTTCACCCCCTATCCTTAGTTCAGGTGTTGACGCAGACCAGTCCTGAAGCAACAACTTGTATTTAGAGGGAGAGACGCGCATCCCAAACATTCTGGCATTGTTGCTCAGTGCTACCAAAAGACTCTGCATTTCATCAGCGTCTTCACCAAACAGGACTATGTCATCTGCGTATTCTAAGTCAATAAGTGGACCTCCTGGTAGGAGATCGACGCCCGAGAATTCAGTCGATAAGAGCGTTATTTACATCAGTAGATCTATAATGAAGTTGAACAAAAATGGAGAAAGTGGACAGCCTTGGCGGACGCCACATGAGGTTGCAAAAGTGGATGACAGTTCGCCATAAGCTCTCACTCGACTAGTAGTGTTCGAGTAAAGAGCTTTCACAAGGTTTATGTACTTCTGAGGTACGCCTTTCAATGACAGACACTGCCACAGAACCTCTCGGTCAACAGAGTCAAACGCTGCTTTTAAATCTAGTAAGACCACTATTGTCGGACGCCGATAAGTATGCCTGTGTTCTAGAACCTGACGAATGGTGAATATGTGGTCGATGCAGCCACGACGAGGTCTGAAGCCAGCCTGATTTTCACGTGTTTGCAGCTCACGAGTCTTAGTTAGGCGTCCGAAAATTATCGAAGCTAGTATTTTAGATATTATATTAGTTAAACTAATCCCTCTGTGGTTGTCACAGGATGATTTTGACCCTTTCTTAAATATTGGGACGATAAGTGATTGTGACCAGTTAGATGGAATAACGTCTAACTCCCAGATTTTAACTAAAATATTAGTCAACCTAATCGCTAAGACTAGACCACCATCCTTAAAGACCTCTTATTCTCTCAGGTATATAGAATAGATGGTGATTCATCTTAGTTGGAACTCCTTATCTAGATGTATTTGTTTATTTACACAAATCGATACACTAAGGGTAAAAATACTCCACTATAACAATCAACACAATAAATATAAGTTGTTTTTTTTTTCTTTCTTTTTCTTCTACTTACCTCTATCCATTTTTCTAGACATTCATTTAAAAATAATTCTGGATTACGTAATGTCCAACCAGGATGTGATATATACAAATGTAAATAAACATTAGCTATTTGAATAGGACCAAGACATGAAACATATTGAGCAATTTCATTTGGTTTATTTTTATTCTCTTCATTAGCTTTCTTAGATATTACTTCTGTATAAGGTACTTTAAATGAATCTGATAAATTCCATTTGATATTACGATTATCAAGTTGTGAATTATAGAAACTAATAAAAATGAACCAAGTAAACCATGTATATATATATATATATGTGTGTGTGTGAAGGATTAAGATATTGAAATAAATAAAAAAACAAGTATGAATTCAAATGTTTACAAAATCTAATGATTAAATACAGACTACTTGGTTAGGATCTGTGTGACTGTCTTAACCAATAGTTGGAGACTTTGTGTGACATGGCTCAGAATCGATCACAATCGCGTCGGTGTATACACTCTCTGTCTTCCTTTAAACTATGGGATTATAATCGCTTCATATCTTTCTTTCTACCAACTAATTCTTTCTTCCTGTATTATATCCTTATACGTAAACTTTTTTCTATATATTACTATTAGTGAAGTAACTAATTCTATGAATTCAATGTGGATCTTGTTGTGTTAATGAGGTGTGGTAACTTGAACCGATAAATATATGTACCTGGTCCTACATCGTAGCTGACTGACAGATACACAAACTCAGGGGGACATAAATTTAATTGTATGAAAATTTAGGGTAAATCTTTAGAATGTGTTAATCTCCCTGAAGACCTTCTAACTTTAAGGGCAGAGTTTAAATGGTTTGAATTATTTTTTTTTTGGTTAGCACTTTTTAGCGAGGTAGTTTTCTACGGGATGCGGTCGTGAATCCGATGTCCAACCCTCCTCCTTTATCCGGGCTTGGGATGGTCTAGCTTCGAGAGATATTCCTCGGAGTTCTATTGAGCAGCTGTGACCAGTGGAGTTGGACTGTGTCGAGTGTGAGGCAGTTGCTCACGAAAGACAATGGAAGATGGCCGCACAATATCGTGGAATGGTGGAAGTTGAACATTAACACAGTTAGATGCTGGTTCAGTGGTTTAGAAGTTCGCACGCGAGACCGAAGTTTCTGGATTCAAATCCCGTGAACGGGATCGTGGATACATGCTGCTGAGGAGTCTCATACTGTGACGAATTGGTCATTGAGTGCTTCCAGGTGTTCAATGGTGGTCTAACATTGATCGATTCATTATCTCAATTTAAGCACAAAGCATTGTTGGTAGTTTTCAAAAGATTTTTTAAAATTCAAGTATCTAGTTTATTTCATACAATTTTCCCAACACTAGAATGATGTACACAGGAAATCACATAGGCAATAATGGACATAAAGAATTGGCCTATGAACACGTTCGAAATTCTTATCAAAGTAGAATGTTTACAGTGGTCTTCCATCTTTAATCAGTTAATCTCCAAAAACAACAGTGTGCTCAACAAGTTATGAATGTTCTGAGATACTTTTCCAAAATTTCGTCAAACGCTTAGTAGTACAGTTTGTGTATTTACTAAACAAGTTATGTATATCAATTATATACAAACCATAATTAAATTTAAGATAAATAAAAACCAATTAAGAAGCAATGCTTTTTATAAATGAAGTATGATATGGAGAGTCAATCAAAAGTAGCCTAATGACAAGGTCAATCGGTAGCAATCAGAAGTGACCTAAAGGATAAGTTCATTTCATTGGCTAGGAAATGGATCAGTTTCCTAAGGATTAAAGTGAGTATTTGTACATCTTATTCTGTAGTCTAGTACATTTTCTTCCTCAAGTAGTCAGTTGGGGATGGGCGGTTAGCGCATAGCATATCGTGTATCAGTATTAGATTTCGGACACTGCTCGTCACAACAAAGTATTAATCACTTATTCAAAAGTAAACAAATGAGTGAAACTATGTCTTATTGATTGAAGAAATTAAATTTAACTACTATCCAGTGGTAGGCTAAGATCCTGTCTGAGCTATGACTGTAAACGTTGTTTAGTATTACAACTGAACCTTGAAGTTTAGCCTAAAGTCAAGTCGTTAGTTGGTTAAGTAGAACTGAACTAACATGAAGTGAGTATGATTCAAGAGCATAATTTTAATTTCCTGACTACATTAGTGATCATTGTGTTCAATTGCTTTAGTATTCAAAAAAATGGTCAGACTTATTATTAACACAGATCCAGTATTAAAATGACATTTCACATTGAAATCAGAAGAGAATTTAGCGTTTGATGAAGACTGTTAATAAATGAAGTGATGACAGTAAGACATACAGTTGACCTATGTAATAAGTGATGAAAATCGGTAAAAGCGGAGTTAGTCAGTTAAAAACTATCCATCAAAAATGATGATATTTAAAGATGATCACGACGTTCAACTACTTTATTCGTTGTTTTAATACTAGAGCATTGATGTAGACCAGTCCTAAAGGCATATGATTCACACTCAGAGGAAGAGAAATACATCTCGTAACTAGTAACCCGCTTAAACCCATAAGTACTAAATTATATCAGTCAAAAAATCCGAAACCGAAAAATATATCATTTAACAAGTCATTACCTGCGGGTTTGTTCATTTAAAATTTTAGTTAACATACTGCGTAAATTAGAATCCCATATCACCTCAGGGTTTTCATGATCAGCTGAAAAATGTTAAAATAAAATAATAAATGAGCGAATAATGATCTAAATGGAAGTAGTGAAAAAGAACATGTCTAATGAATATGGATGCCCAAACTACGGCACAACATAGCCCATGGAATCAGTGATTGTTGGTGCGACTTATGGTAATAGATGGAGATGTTACATGAAATAGTTCAGAACCTTTCATAACGGTGCTAATGCATTCAATTATAATCTTTATTTCGATCTTCAATAGCGGTATCCCTTCATATATAACTTTCTACTGCCTTTTCAAGCCATATTCACATAGTTTAGTCTTTCACATCAACACTGGACGAACCAATCATATTTGAGATAACAGGTCTTGAATTATAGCGTGAAATTCATTCATTCACTTTGGCATTATAGCTAACATCAGTTCATGATAAAAATCCTAACCCTAACGTTCATGTGCAAAACAAAATCCCGATTCCTCATACTAATTTATAACCCTCATTTAACCCAAGTTGGAGGACATTTCCAAGGTCATTTTAGGGTCACCCAAAGGCCAGTTACAAATAGTGGAGCATAGGTCGTCAACCAGGATTCCAATCAACTCTATTCTGGGTTCTCATCTGGAATTGTTTCCAATTGCTATTTATTCATTTGATGACTGCCTCCAATTCTTGGCGTAATGTGTTCTTTAGCCTTTTTTGTTCGTTTCTCTTCAGTATTTCACGTTAGAGCTTCCCTAATGGTGTCGTTTGATAACTTCTACAATATATTTATGCTTACTAGACTATATCAATAATATTTGCCTCTCTAGGCAATAAAGTAAAGAAAAACATGCACACATATATGCATACATGCCCCCCAAAACCCTGGTACGACCGAGAGTGGGGAAAGTCCGCTCTCTCCTTCGAAATGCTCACATATGGTCACGCATATATAGCCTCTGCCAGGGAAGTCCTACTGACTGCCTTCTCGTACCACGAGTGTTGTTTACGAAAATAAGAGGGTGAAAACCGAATGTTCGGCGCTTAAAACAGATCCCAAACCAATGGTGCACATGGGTTGGCTCCAGGATCCTGATGGAACAAATGACGTATGAACCAATCGTTGGTCACCGGCTGGCTACCATGGGACTGCATCTCCTTACGATGCTCCACTGCCTTGTGGGTCAGACGTTCAGGTCGAAGGTTCGGGGTGTGGTCCCCTAAGAAAACCACCTGCTTCGGTCTGGGCATCCGAGCAGTATCACAGCCCTCACACATATCCAATGAGATTTATGTGGCGTATATGTATTTGATGCCTCCTTGTACCAATATTTATGTGGTAAAATAAATAAATAAATAAATAATATGCATACACATTCTGTATAATTTACCATCGAATAATGCTAAGAATGTTTCCGGTTGATCTTTTAATGTATCCACAAATACATTTGGTAAATATTGATTCATAATGGCTTGTATACGTCGACCAAATTGTTTATTAATTAAACAATGTGATATTAAATCTATCGTTGCATGACGTATTTGTTGTTGTGATGATTGACAGATTATTTCCATTAAATAAATTAAACCACCAGCATAAATAAATTCTTTTAATAATAATGATGATGATATTAAATGTTCCATGGTTTGTATAAGTATAAGATGAGCTAAATAAAAGGAATTCATATTATGGAGAAAATAAATAAAATAATAAGAGTAAATTTGATAAGAAGGATATATATATATATATATATATATATATATATATATATATAGCTCAAGTCTTGTTTAGTTCCTAGAGATCAATAATCTAATTATGAAACATTTATTATTGTTCTGGAAGTAAAAGTAGGCACTGATGACCTTGATTAAATCGTCAAGTGGGATTGTAGATACATAACGTTGAAGAGGTTCATACAAAGACGAAACAGTTATTCAGTGCTTTCAAGTTTTCAATTGTTGTCTTAGATTAGCTTGTCATCTAAATAAACCATCTATTTCAGAGAACTTAACAACATTAGAAATAAAAAAATATTTTGGGAGTAAAAAAATAATAAATTTAAATTTCCAAAATAAAATTACGAAATTAAGGTGTTGACCAAGTAAGTTCTGGGGATCTAACATACCCAACACCTCCCCTTTTTAACAACGTACGTTTCTGAGGTCCACTTGCATTTTGACCGTTTGTCGCCGTTGTCGGAGTGACCACCATCTGGGTCGTAGATCGACCTGTCAATGTAGCTTCTTCCTGTGTCGGGACTGCAGGTAGACTAAAGGATGTCAAGAGGGAGATTCTCTTCTGTCAATGGGCGAACTGGGGCTAACAGCTTGCGTAGCTGGTTCCAATATCGAGTCTATCTGTCTCTTCCTACCTCTACCTCGTACATGACATGGCCTAATTTCCCGACCATATGTGCTTCTGTCCAGGGACCATGATTTGGTCTGGAGTCCCGAGCGAACACCGGACATCCAAACTCGTATGTTGGCAGCTTCTGGGACTTGGTCGGTGATGGCGATGGTGTGGTTTTCGGAAGCGTCAGATTGTGGACCGTCCTCAATTTTCTTCCCATGAGGATTTCTGCTGGGGACTTCTGCTCGGGTAATACATCACTAGGTGTCGCTTGTAAACAAATAAGAAGTTTTGCAGTGTTTCCACCGGCGTCCCCTTCCCTTTCAACTTGATTAGAGCTCTTACATGTATCTATAAATCTTTCTGCTTGGCCGTTTGATTGCGGGTGGTAGGGTGGAGATGCTTGATGGATAACCGTTGGTAGAAGTCTTGGAACTGCGCGTAGATGAACTGAGAACCGTTATCTGATACAATTACATCCGGTAACCCGTTGCAAGCAAACATCTCCGACAAGAGTTGTATCGTTTTCGTAGTAGTCGGTGGCATAATGGGGACAATTTCTGGCCATTTTAAAAAGGCGTCAACCACAACTAGATAGGTAGTCCCATTGATTGGACCAGTAAAGTCGACATGTATCCTGGACCAGGGATACTCAGGCCGTGGCCATGGGACCGGCGTCACTTTCGCATTACATCTCGCTGCTTGCTGACATTGTGTGCACTTGCCTACTAAATCCATGATGTGTTGGTCCATGAGGGGCCAATAAGCATAGTTTCTGGTGATGGATTTCATTCGTTTTATACCAGGATGACCAGTGTGGAACTGCTTTAGCACCCTTGATCTTAGGGACTCTGGCACCACTACACTATCTTCAAACATCAAGCACTCATTCACGACGCATAATGAGTCCCAACGGTGGTACAGCTACTTTAAGTCACCATCGAGTCCAGTTGACGGCCAGCCATTGGCGACGTATTTCATCGCTCTCTTAATGATGGAGTCGTTCCTGAAGGTAGATCGCATTTGCGCTGCTGAGACTGGTAAAGCACGAACAGCAGATGTCAGGTAACATTGCGCGTGGTCCTCTGTCATTAGGGAGCCAATAACTGCATCTTTGTGTTCGTTGATAAGTCGTGACATGGTGTCTGTCTGACCAAATTGTTGGGTGCTGAATCTCAAAATCATAACTCAACAGTTTCTAATTGACAACTATTAGCAGAGCAAACATGCTTTGCTAATAGTTGTCAAGGAAGGAGAAACAAGAAAGCAGCAATCAATATTAGCCAAACAAGAGGAGAGAAAGCCAAGGCACAAACCGAATACACAGAGGCAAACCAGCAAGTGAAAAGGAGCAGCAGAACCGACAATGACGGTGGAAAAGACTGCGAGAAGAAAACATGAGACAATTGTATGATACAATAAAGAAACTCGCTGGAAATTATCGTAAACCAGAACGACTAGTGAAAAGCAAGGAAGGCAAAGTAATTATCAGCATTGAAGAACAGCGAAATAGGTGGGTAGAACACTTCAAGAAACTGTTGAATCGATCAACCCCATCAAACCCACCCAACATCGAAGCAGCACCCACGGACCTCCCAATCAATGTTGGCCCACTGACAATTGAAGAGATCAGCGTGGCCATAAGACAAACCAAGAGAGGAAAGGCAGCGGGACCAGATAACATTCCAACAGAGGCATTGAAAGCGAATGTAGCATTAACTGTGAAGGTACTCCACATTCTCTTCAGCAAGATTTGGAATGAAGAACAAGTACCAACAGACTAGAAAAAAGGACACCTGATCAAGATACTCTAAAAAAATATCTGGAAATGTTTAGAAGACATGCATTTGTTGTTTTCTTGATGAATACTTATTTAAAAGAGGATTCTGAGAGAAAGATTTTGTCATTATTCAAGTTCAATGATGAATGTATTTTCATACATTCGGTCAATATCAATAAGCTGATAGAATTGTGATGTACGCTACTTATGTCGACAGATATAAGTAGTATGTAATAACCAAAGGTGGAATGCCTGGCAGCAGAAGGTTGAAATAACCGAATTGAAGAGAACAGAAATGTAAACAGAGGGTAATTGTAATAACAATGAGGGAACGATGAAGTTTGAGGCATTTGATGGAAGATTTGCAAATGAAGTATTTAATGTATAGTTTTTTTTCACATTTTATGACAGAACTCTGTAATTTCGCATTGAATAATAATTTGGTTCCCCCCCATCGAGTTCTTATTTACTACAGAATAATTAGATCTTAAGGAATACTGATTATTTGATGTAAATGAGATTGATGATTTTCTGTTAGTGAACAGATTGATAAAATGCAATACAATAGCGAATATCTAGTCTAAGTCAGATAATGTACCAAGGTTACAATACAGTAAATCAGATGCATGTAGAAGTGTGAGTAGAGTACTAAATACTACTTACCACCAATATGTTATTATCTACTATCATAGTTTGAGTATGATTGTTATTCTATAGTACAGCTTGTCACATAAATTGATCTTGTCCATTTGAATCAATTGGATTAGTCGACTAATAAGAGCATGAATTATGAGTTAGACCGAGGATAGTAGATTATAATGTGAAAAGGTAATACATCAATCAGAATTTAATGGTTATTACAAAAAAATGATTAGTTAAAGAGAGAAAATAAAAGCATACAGCGGTTAAACACTAATGTTAAGCCAGTTTGGTTAACAACAACAACATACCTTTTGGAAGGACTAAGAACAACATAACTAATGAAGTTAATAAATGAGATGCAGCCATATCTTCAAGACATTGTGGATTTGTAGAAACAGCTTGAATCACCTATGAAATATATAAATCATATCATACAGTTAAATGAGATATCCCATAAGCATTCAATTTAATAAGGTGAAATGAATTCACTTAAAAAACATAAAACATTGTTTAATATTTGTAAGACTATCCTAGTGGGAAAGCTTATTTTCTTTTCTAACTGTATCCAAAATGGATCACCACGTCCTATACTTAGTTACAACTGTAAACCATTGTGGAGGAGCGTAGGCCATCCACCAGGATTTGAGATAGTGGATCATCTTTGAATATATGTTGATGGAGTTTTGTTCACTGAGCTGGATGGTTTAGTCATGGAGCTTTCATTGTCCCTGTGAACGACTAAATTCAAGTGTTTTATACATTTAGTTGTAACCAGTTGCGGTTGAAAGGGTTTTGCATGGGAGATTGGTTTTTAATTTGTAGACAGTATTCATCACCAAACGACATCGATCAGTTTACCATTAAAAGTTACTAGATCGCTACAAGATGAGAAGTGTTTTATTCTCATATCACCTGTTGAGACGTAATGAAAGGTTTCCTCTATTTTAAACTAAGATTTATGCTCTTAGAGTGTTTGTCGGTTTATTTATTTTATTGGACTATTCATTCTGAATTACTCCATCATTTTTTCATTGTAATTTCAGATTATAATTAGTAAACAGGATTTGCGGACAATGTATAATTTCCTGTTTGAATCACCAACTAATCTTGGCTGAAACAACAATGAAAGCCTAGAAGCACTGAACGGTCATCTTTTCGTAGTATGTGACTGCTCAGCAGTGCACGTGAACGGCCATGGAACCGAGAATCGAATTTAAGACCTCTAGTCACGCCTAACCTATACACCACAGAGCTGGGACACAACGATGTTAATGTCTAACTTTAATCAATTAACGATACAGTAAAACCCTAATCCACTGCCTGCGAAGGATACCTGTCTCACACCTAACATGGATTAAAATTTACCGGGTACATCTTAATAAAACTCCAGGAGTCAGATTAATTAAAAATACGATATACGGAGTTGTATTATTGTGACTGATGCAACTCAGCCATGTTAGAAATGAAATAGTTGTAACCAATAACATTAGATGATCTTCAGTTTATAAAAGAAATGGATAGAATTTGGAAGTCTGTTCTAACGTATGTCACCTTAATGGTCTAACAGTTAAGTGGTCACAGAGAGGCCTATAAGTTCAAGGTCTGACCCCTGAAGGGGCCGCAGGTGCTTCAACTTATGAGGAGTTTTACACCAGGATGAGATAGATACATAGTACTTACTGGTTTTGGAAAGATACCAGAATGCTATGAAAATCAATCCGTAAAGAATATCACCTACACTAATAATTAATGTTGATATATAACAAGTGTTTATATCATAATAATAGTAATAATAAATAATATTTACATCTAACGCCCGTAGTTGAACTTCAGGATGATCGTGTAAATCAAGTATAGAGAATAGTAAGGGGAAATGTCCAATACATTGAATTTCTAAACCTGATTTCAAATAAAACATAAAAGAGACAGAGTAAAGAGGACACATATTGATTAAACAAGAAAATAATAAATAAATAAATGAGAAAACATACTTGAACAAGAACGTAAAAAAACATGATGTTAAGAATTAAAGTGTTTTCGCACAAAAATACAAGCATAGACTTGACATGATCAATGTCAGGTTTGTCTAGTCCATTAGTACTAATCGAGTTCTATTGATCAACGTACAAATAAGTCACCAGCCAAAGTGACTTACAATAGTATATACTGTTAAATGATTGATAGTAATAGACATAAAACTCTGCATAATGACCTGGATTCCCTGCTATAGTTGGCATTTGTTACCATGGTGCATCTGTAGTTTTAAGGAAACTAATGGTCTCGGAGGGATTCAAAACAGTCTCATTTTATCGTCATTTTCATTTTATTTGTGTGTGAGCTGTGATACTACCCGGGTGCCCAGACCGAACCACGTGATTTTCTTAGGGGGCCACACCCTGAGCTTTCGACCTGAAGATCTGATCCACAAGGCAGTGGAGCATCATGAAGAGATGCAGTCCCATGGTAGCCAGCCGGTGACCAACGATTGGTTCATACGCCATTTGTTCACTAGACACTCTTGATTCCGCAATGAATGACATCAAGTACTTTAACATACAATCTGCTACAGGAGCATGTATATTTCATAAATTAGCTAAAGTACCATTTAAAATTGATTTAAAGCATTTTAAGATCAAAATATTTCCAATTTTCACTTGATTAATCATAACATCCATGTTATATATATGACAACACTTTAAACTCCGCTTAAAATACATTAGGTGTTACCCTGGATCTGATTGATTAACTGATGAAGGCATTCAACAAATTGTCATTCTAAACTTTTCATTCATTAATCTTAGTTGTTAAGCGCATTTTCCAATTACCATTAAAGTATAATCTGCTTTAGTAATTTAAGTAATTAACTACATTTCAACATAAACACAAAACAGTTGACTATGTTGAACTAATCTGTATAAAGTGAGCATATAGACATCGTAGTTTCACTCAGTGATTTCATCATACCCTTTATGACAGTAAACTTCCTTATCATATTCTTATTCTTTAAGAATATAACATCAATTTAAGAGATATCATTGTAAAACAGGTTGTATTGAGCAATCGGCTTCTACTCTAGTTTGCAAATCCTCACCAATACTTATTTATTTATTTTTTATTATAACACATAGATATTGGTACAAGGTGGCACCAAATACATATGCGCCACACAGATCTCATTTGATATGTGTGAGGGCTGTGATACTACCCAGGTGCCCAAACCGAGCCAGGTGGTTTTCTTAGGGGGTCACACCCCTAGCCTTTGACCTGAAGATCTGACCCACAAGGCAGTGGAGCATCATAAGGAGATGCAGTCCCATGGTAGCCAGCCGGTGACCAACGATTGGTTCATACGCCATTTGTTCCATCAGGATACTGGAGCCAGCCCATGTGCACCATTGGCTTGGGATCTGTTTTAAGCGCCGAACATTCGCTTTCGTCCTCTCAATTTCAAAAACAACACCACCGCCACGAGAAGGCAGTGAGTAGGACTTCACTGTCACAGGCTGTATACGCGTGGCCGTGTGACACCATTTCGAGAGGGAGGGCGGGCCCACCCCGCTCTCGGCCATACCAGGACATTTCGGGCCAAATAAATATATGTAAGATGAATCAATTCCAATGTACCTATCTACTAATTTTTCAAAGGATAGATGAGAAAAACATATGAACTGTAGCCCTTCCAGTTAGTATGTAAATCTTATATCAGAGCATGGGTACATATTATTAGCATTCCCGACTATTTACCTCAAATAAATTTAGGTCAAAAAGACTAATCTCAATGTTTTAAATGTTGGAAAATATATCCATCAAAATATTTGAGCAGGTCAAGTAAACAGGAGAATTGTCAATAGCAACGATCAGAAATAGTTAAATATAGAAGTTATTTAGTTGAAAACTAAAAAAAATAGTGTGCAAATCAGCATCGTTTTTATTCGAGTTCGGGGCTCCTCAATAATAATCTGCACCTATGAATAATATCTTGTACTGCCAGTCAGTTAGTCACCTACAAATTAAGACCAGGCACATATGGGCATCGGTTCAAGTTGTCATACCTCACTCACTGGCACAACAAAATGAACACCGGATTCATAAAAGTAGTTAATTCAGTGGTGGTAATACATAAAAAAAGATTGTGTATAAGGAAATAGTACAGGAAGAAAGAATTAGTTCGTAGAAAGAAAGATATGAGGCGATTTTAATCTCATAGTTTAAAAGAAGACAGAGAATGTATACACCTACATCATTGTGATCGATTCTCAGACATGTCATCACACAGAGTCTCCAACATTTGGTTAAGGTAGGCACACGGACCCTAACCAAGTAGTACGCATCTACCAACATGGTTAAGATTAGAAGTTAATGACTTCAAGCACTGATGCCACGTTTTAGTACTAAGTCCAGTTGGACACATCTTTTTTTAAACAAATGAAATCAGAGTTCGATGATGATGTCAAAAGTGTGACAAATGTTATATGTCCATAATGGATGATGGTTACTATATAACAGTAATCTAAAGGAATAGTATAACTTATGAAAGGTGTTTTTTGCTTCCAGGCTAAAAATTAGATATGAAAAATACAGACATACTTATTCATAACTACCAGATTTACCTATAAAAAGTGTTTGACTTTTCATGCTTGAGGGATGGTAAAACGTAAAAGGAACTAGTGTTCTAATAAATATAGCTAGCTCGACAGTGTATACCCGACCACCAAGTGAAGTTAGCAGCTACTACTCACTTAATTACTTACTTAACATGTACATAAATACAATGATAATAATTACTTACCAGTATTATGACGTATAACATTAGTTAATGCTTCTAAAGCTGAACTAACATTTGCAACACATTGATTTGTAATATTATTTGCTTCAACACCCCAATCAATTTCATCATCTAAATTGATTGTATCACCTACGGATAGATAATCTTCATCATCATCATTAGGTTGTTCTTTTATGTTATTAATAAATTGTAATTCTGAATCAACTCGATTTGTTCGATTTAATTGTTGATTAGTATCATAAACTTTTTCTGAATTAAGATTTTGTAATTCATTTGTAAGAAATTGAAATAGATCAATGATGAAACCTTTAGGATCCTGATGAATTAGTTCCATGAAAGGAAATAAAAAGTTTTAAAAAAAATCAATAAAATTATTTATCTTTAGAATAGTTTATAGATATGTTATGTTATGTACTTGAACGAGATTAAACATTGAATTCGTAATTGATCTCTCGTAATCTCGGAAGGTTTTTAATATAAGTATTAGGGTTGTGGAGATTATTAAGTTCTCGATTGAGATCATGAATGGACTGATGTTAGACCACCGTTGGAAACCTGGAAGCACTGGACGGCCGTTTCGTCCCAGTATGGGACTCCTCAACAGTACAGTAGAAGGTGGTCGCGCAATTTCGAGGATTGATTGGTGTTAGACACTAACACTATTGGATGCCAGCTTGCTCAGTGGTCCAGTAGGTTAAGCGTTCGCGCGCGAGACTGAAGGTCCTGTGTTCGAATACCGCGGGCGGGGTCGTGGATGCGCACTGCCGAGGGGTCCCACGATAAGACGAAACGGCCGTCCAGTGCTTCCAGGTTTCCAACTGGGGTTTTTAATACTTTAATTCCAAATAGAAATCAGAAAAGGTAGAACTATGGAAGGAATTTTACTTAGAAGATGACTTTTTATAAAAAAAAAGGAGTATCTGTAAGATTATGTGTGTGAATCGAAGATTTAAAAAAGCTTTTAGAAAAGAGACTAAAAATTGGCAACTGCAATGGGAACATAATCAGTTGTTTCCTAGACTTTTAAAAAACTTTTGATAGTGTTGATCAGGAGAAGCGTTTTTGTCGATTCCTTACTTCTGAAGTCCTTTGTCTGCAACCATTCCTTTCTTCTAAAGCTTTAGGTCGCTGCTAAAACTCACCTATAATACCTCAAGAAATGTTTATTCGGGGGATCGAAATAAGCGTTGAGATTGATTTAAACGATCAGTGATCTTGGAAACTACCAGGAAAAGATCCAGTAAGCAATTCATTATCGTAATCAAGGTGAACAAAAGAAAATTCATTAGATTTTGTAGTAACTGTCAGAATGACGCACCTGAGATCTATCTGAGTCAGAAGACCATGTTAATTACTCGAATATATATATATTGAAAACATGAACCGACTTAAGTGACACCACTATTGAAAACCTCTAAGCAATGAACAACCATTTCATCTTAGTATGGGACTTCTAGTGAGAAGTCATAACTAGTGAAGGTGAACCATTTTGGGTGTGAGACAGTTTTATAAACTGAAAACCGTTGAAGATAGTCGTGCAATGTAGTGGGTTGATTGAAGTTAAACATTAACACCAATGAATACAGGCTCAGTGTTCTGGAGGCTGAACGTTCCCACGACAGATCGGAGATTTCTACTTCTATTCAGGCGTGCGGAGTCATCATTGAGCAGTGCTGGTGGTGTTATGACTGAGATGTTAATCGATATCGTTCAGTAGATTCTCCAATCAGAATTCCAACTTAAATTTTCTTAACTCGTGTATGCAATTCAATTTTTAGTCTGGCGTCCTTGTGAATGATATGTTCCGATCAATACGATTAATCTTGAGCTGAGACTAAAGTAAGCTTGAGTATTGTTCGTCCGCTAATTTCCATCTTTGAATTTAAAAGCAGAATACAGCAACCTAAACTTCTATGATCATATTTCAAGCACCCAGCACAAGATCTACTTTGAACACTCATTAACGTATATTCATTGATGATCAGACCACAACGTTCCCCAAATTTGAATTCATACTTTGGATAAAGTCACACGATAACTGGTAGAGGGCAAAACAAACAGTAACAACTAACCAGCAATAACAGAGGAATGGTAAGATGTATAACAATAGTCAGTAGGTTCATTGCAAGCATGTAATGGGGGGATAATATAGATACAAAAATACAGTTATCTATTAGTTATACAATAAAAATATCAATAAGATTAGTTCCACCAGTTATACTTTCCTCATTATTCACTCTACCACAACAGAAAGCATGAAACTCATTTCCAATTTTAAAAAAAGCATTCGAAGACAGCTTCTTCGTCATCGTATTAGAGACTCTTTTCAGAATATAATCAAATATACGAGAAGAAGAATATGTTTAGAACAATCAAGCTACCATTCAATAGACTATATTTTCATATTTAATTAGTCATCTGGAAAGATAATCATCCCATTATGTATTTAATGGATAACTGTCTGATTCCTATCATGATTAGATTTCATCAGACATAGATTCTCCTGAAAATATCGTGAATCTACTACTTAACAAGTGATTATTTTACGGCATATACATTATGAGCGCATCATCGTTCAAAAGGTCATTAAAAACCAAGAAACATTAAGTAACTGTTTCTTTACAGTATAGGATTCCTTGTCATCACTCTATACACTACTACACTATATCAGTAATTGAAAATTATACCATTAGGTCTCTTAGAGAGCGTCGTACCCTTAAATCACTAGATCGACATTCAATGGTTTATATTTCTAACTTCGAACAACTCGCGATTATACACAACTACTATGTCATGCCATTGATAGATAATTGCTATATTCTTAATATGGTTGGTCTCCCATTAATTAACACATAGTCATACCAATGATTTTACAATGGTTGTTTATTTGAATCCAGTCGACCAAAGCGTCTATATTACCACAGTTATATATGAACAATGTTTTAAAAAATGTAGATTAAAAACGTTTACTTACATCCAATGTATAAGCTGGTTGTTTATTATATAATCTGACAAACACTTCACCAATTAATAATTCTTGAGCATACGATTCATGAGTAAATGATAGTACAGAGTTTAAATTACATTCACCCTAATGATCATTTTTTTAAATAAAAAAGGATGGTGAGTGATTAAGCAAAATGATTAGATAAAAGTAATTTTACATAGAATAGATAAAAGGTGGTCTGCAGTGAAATCCTAGACGCATGTCATTTTGTTCTATTTGGGCCTCGTTAGGTGGATCTACTTGTATGTCAGAATTACTGTCCATTAGAACTCCGGAGCGGCTGTGAGTTAATCAGTTGATGTTACGTTTTGGTTTGTCAAACCTTGGCTTTCTTACAATTCAATCTTATATCGGTAATGATTGCACATGGAGACAGATGGTAGTTGGGCATGTGTAACACATAACCCAATCAACTCAGTTAATGAAGATTTATCATTTAATTAACCGATTTGCCATCCTTACCTAATACTCGGCATCTAAACTCAGCATTACCCTAATCAGTAGTTTCAATACACACAAATTATATCCACTTTTAAAGGTTACATTTCACAAACAGATTAGGATAGACTGAACTGTTGAGTGGTATCCTCCATCTTTTGACTGATTACATTATGTCATTTGAATTGGATGAATTGAATTGTAAGACTTTTTTTATTGTCCCAAAATAAATCAGATAAAGACAGTGTTGGGCAAAATAACAATACAAGTTAAGAAAATGGAGAACCGTGAAAATCGTTCCCTTTTCACCACAAATATTCTTCATTCCTTAACAATATTTCCGAATAAGTTAAAATATGAAATTCGATCAATCTGTTTAGTGTTTTGAGTGAGATAAAGAAACTGAATTATAATGGATAACCTTTACGATCTGATAACATAACCATGTTGTATGATGAAACAAGTTTTTTGAGTCAGTTGTATACACACACAACTTTCTTATGTTCAGTTATTTTCACAGTGTAAGTGCTCAGGAGATCCAGAATATTCCTCAAAGAATGCTAAGAGAGACTCTGAAAAAGCTAGGAAACATTTTGTCCAATTAGCACTGAACAGACGTTTCTCAGAAGCATCTAGGAAGTGAAGTCACGGGTTACATTTCTAATTGGATGATCACCTTTATGCTACTATATTTAGTAGGGTTCCAGAATCTTCCAGAAGTCACATGCACTCTGAAATGCTATGGATACGCTCGATTTTTCGTAGTGTTCCTTTCACATTTCGCGCCTTTTCTCTCGTGTTCAAGTTGTCCTGTAGATCGAGCCTGGGGTTATTAAGAGAGCTTAAGAAACCGATTCAAGCATTTAGTCAGTTTTACCAGCAAGTTTCGTCGTTTTAAAGTTTACCATTGGTACAGAAAAAACTAACCATCAACGGATATTAGATATTTTAGAAAAAAACGTTTTCAACCTCACTTTTTGCTTATGATAAAAATGAGAATCCTGATCATTCATGGGGAACACTTTATTATCATATCACACCATTAAAACATCCCACACTTAGAATTTGCCCACAGACCACTTGGTAATCGACTTTCTTGAGATGGTAAAAGGTCAAGAAATGAGTTTCTCAACGTCGAATTCTACATGTATAAATATTAACATGAAACTTCCGTCATACAAAAAATTCCACATCAACTTGTAAACCTTCCGCTTCAGAATACAGATAATACGAATAATAATAATACACTACTCATTGCCTTCAAGCAGCAGGGTGTCCTTTAAGAAATTGAGAGGACGAAAAGTAAATGACTGACAGGGGCTTTAACTGGGTTGGTGGACACGGAGATTGCCACCTAGGGGAGTTGAAAAACCCTCATTCCAAACCAATGGTGCATATAGTCTCCAGTATCCTGAAGGAACAAATGGTGTGTGAATTTATTATTTATTTATTTATTTAACACATAGGTATTGGTACAAGGAGGCACCAAGTACATATGCGCCACACGAATCTCAATTGATTTGTGTGAGGGCTGTGATACTGCTCGGGTGCCCAAACCGAAGCAGGTGGTTTTCTTAGGGAGCCACACCCCGAGCCTTTGACCTGAACGTCTGATCCACAAGGCAGTGGAGCATCGTAAGGAGATGCAGTCCCATAGTAGCCGGTGACCAACGATGGGTTCATACGCCATTTGTTCCATCAGGATACTGGAGCCCATGTGCACCATTGGTTTGGGGTCCGGTTAAAGCGCCGGACATTCGCTTTTCGTCCTCTCATTTTCGTAAACAACACCCCCGCCACGTGAAGGCAGTGAGTAGGACTTCTCTGGCAGGGGCTATGTACGCGTGGTCATGTGAGAGTATTTCGAGAGGGAGAGCGGACTCTCCCCACTCTCGGCCGTACCAGGGCATTTGGGGGCGGGTAGTACCACAGCGTACACACAAATCCAGTGACTTGTGTGGAACATTTGTATTCAGTTCCCCTATGTATCGATAATTATGTGTACAAATAATAATAATAATAATTGTACGAATAGAATACTTACAGTTTTAATTAAACGTACAACTTGTAGATCAATTAATGCTTCTAATTCTGCTCTACAACGATTATCCCATATTAAATATGGTGTTACAGAATTGGTAGTTAATAATTTTGCTAATGAACGTAAATACTTCCCTCTAGATGTATCTAATGGGAAATCATGTAAAATTTGTGAATCATTATTTCCATTACTTAATCGACCAATTTGACTTGAATCATATATATTTAATTCAAAAATTTTTCTAGCTAAATGTGGTGTTAATAAACGACTTAATGCTTCCATGACATCTGGTCCTTCACGCATTAAATAACCATCTTCTGTTATTTCACGACCAGTTGTATAACCATTTACCATTCGACCAATAGCCCATAATGATAATAAAGCTAAACGATTTGCTAAAACCTTTAAACAAAAAACAAAAAAACAAGTAATCTACATGGTAAATTTAATGTTTATTTAAAAACTTAAATAATAGTTCATTTTTATTTGATAAATAAATGACAATGAAATCTATTGTATTCAAGTTTTGTCCTATCTGACACTTATCAGCTTAATGTATCTAAATCCCAGTGTTGATATTCAACATAGTATGACGCGAACCTAATACTTTTTCGCTTGAAACATCAATGTATTTCCGATGAGTCTAAATAGACACTAGCTTATTCAACGGGGGGTAGGTAGGTAGGGATATTAGTAAAAGTTTGTAATTGTCCTGAAAAAGAAAATGTGTTAGTGGTAGTCTTAGTGAACTGGGAGAATGATAGCAGAGCCTAAGGGACAAGTATTTAGAACGGTTACATATAGTCTTTTGGTGGGAGGCTTTTGATGCTTTGGATTGGTATTTTAAAAGGCTTTACCTTCAGGGACGGAAATCTGTGAGGTTAGGTGTGGTGCAGCATCGTCACACATCATAGTTGTCTTAGGTGAACGCTTTACCTCCGTTACACCTCTCCACAGTCAGCAGTGTGACTTAGTCTTCGGATCTAAGCTACTGCTCTTTTAGACTTATCGTTTACCAACCAACCTGCTTGGGGGTGATAGGATCTAAAGGAACAACTGTTCTGGGTAATAAAGCTCGACTACAAAGTTCACACGATGGGCAAGCCGGACTACCGGATTAAGGTAACAGCTACGGTTGATCATTATTGTTCACTTTAATTTAACTATTTGTTTTAAGGACAAAACGGTGTTGTCAACTATAATGACGAGTGATGACGGTAAGATGAGTCCTACTGATAAATAGCATTAACAACTACGCTGTCTTCAAAATAGGAGTGGTATTAAAGACGGTTGACTCTAGATATTGCACATTTCACATTTAAGCATACAGTACCTAGTGCCAGGGTATCGTCTGAAAAATATTGAGGTAACACACCGAGAACACCTCACAAAATATTCGTGCGTTATCAGCCTTAAGGAGTCAACCCTATAGTCTCTTATAATCAGACTTCCATGTCAAGAAAGACCTTCAATGCTAACACAGTTTTATGTTAATATCAATAAAGAAATTTTTCTTCAATAGTGTTATCGATAGAGAAGTAAAAACAACCAACAAACATCTCGAACACAGTTCGAAAATTTGATCTACAAAGCATCCGTTATACAACAAACTTCCGCATAGTTTCGATATTGCCAATCGTTAATTAATGAATAAACATAACAGCATTAAAATCAAAACCATTTAACAATTAACTTACTTGTGAATTAGTTTCTTCATTAATTTCAACACCCGCTTCTTCCAGTGTGAAATCGTAGTTCAATACATGTTGAAGAAGAAGAAACAATCCGCCATATTCATAACATGTTACACATAGCCAATAATCAATACAAAATGATGCTATACAAGTTGCAGTTAAACAACAAAGTTTCGGTAAATTCTATCAAGAAAAATAAAGAAAAGAGAACTGAAATAAAAAGAAATATTGAATGTTATTGTTATTTTGTTTAACTATATTGATGACGTAATGATGTAATGAATTGTGTTGATAGACAAATATTGTAAATGGTTAATAAGTACTAGTGAAACTGTATCTTCAGATATCATTTACAATCTTTACCAAGTACTTGAATCCATAGCTGAACTTATTAACAAAGAACAAGTTCATATGCTTAAATGTAAACCAACATCATTTAACTATGAAAGCTTATGATCAGTAGTACTGAATTGTTGAAATCAAACGACTGTAGAGAGGATGGTTTTAAAATACTAATTCAGTGATGAAATATAATTCACAATGATAAGATATTAATTTCAAATGTAAACTACATAGTGGTTAGCAAACTATGTGCTATGTGGAGCTAAAATATGAAGAACTACTACTGTGGCGTGTACTACTTATCTAGACATAAGTAATATATGACATGAGTACTGAACAGAATGTCTGGCAGCAGAGAGACGAGAAGATCGAACAACAAAGAATGAAGAAAGAATGCAATTTGTATGGAAATGCAAGAACAAAGGGATTCTGAGTTATTTGAGACAATTGATGAACAATTTGCAAATTAACGATTTAATAGATGGTTCTCAGATTTTATTCAGATGCTGTGTAATTTTTTGTTAAATACATTTGGTTGTCCCCCCCACCTGTGTTCTGTTCACTACACTACTATCATAATTATTTATAAACAATTGTCTATACAAGATACTGGATATCCGTTGACTGGATACTATAGGCGAAGATCTACTGTGGGATAAATCAAACCAGTGTCCAGTTCAAGATGATATTAGGAAACAACGCTGGAAATCATCAAACTCCATTACCAAACTAGCTCTAACGTGAAATCCTGAAAGGAAACGGGAAAGAGGAAGACGAAAGAACACACCGCGTCGCGAATCAAAAGCAGGGATTAAAAGAAGGAATAGCAACTGGAAACAACTGGGAAGGATTAACCAGGAAAGAGTTGGATGGAGAATACTGGTGGGCGGCATATGCTCCTCTACGAGGGATAAACAGGCGTAAGTAGCAAACTATGAAATTACACTAATGAAGAATTCTACCTTTTGCAGTTATTACTAAAGTTATTAAGACCTTATTCTTAAAATGATTACAGCTAGAATTTAAAATATACATTGATCTTATAAAGATGAAAATATACCAAGGTATTTTAGTCACATTTTCATAGTTTGAACTAAACACGTTCCAGTTAGGTAGATTTTGCAGAATATTTCTTTGTTATGAAACCAGCTAGCTACAAAAACTGGAGATATTCGTTTTCGGCCCAGTATGAAGCTACTAGTGTGCATAGCTGGAGAATCGTAACATAGGATGAGACAGTTTTCTAACGTTCCATGGACATTAACTAATTAGTCCTTGACGAAACCAAAATTTGGAGAGAAAAAACTCACTTTATAATATAATAATCTTAATGTATCCTTCAACAATTGTGGTGTTTCTTGAATACATTGACGTGAAGAAGGAAATAGAGATGCAGCCGCCAACACTGATACAATATGTCCGCATACTTCAACTACAATATGTCCAGGTCGACTTGATGTACGTGATAAAAAATTAGAACATTGTGAAAATGCTTTTTGTAACACGGGTATACCATTTTCACGGCGTAATTCTTCTGCATTCAATACACTAGTAACCACAGTTTCATAAGTTAATTCTGTTGCAGCAACAAGTAGAACAGCATTCTCTACAGTTTCATTGGATCGATTTTTGTTATTTGATGTTGAAGATTGTGAATTATTAGTAGTAGTATCAGTATTTTCAGTTTGATCATCAGATTTTTGTGTTCCATATGAGAATAACTTATCATCAGATATTTCAGCGAGTATAGTCGCTACAAGCATTGGATAACCAGCGTATTTCTCTGAAATAAGTACTATATTATATACAATGAATGGAAATATAAAAACAGAAAAATTATCATCATCCTCATCAATATTGTCATTATGATGGACAATCAAATGTATTACTTTGCAATTTACTGATTAAAATCCTGGAACTTGTAATGGCTGGTACTTTGCTAAACCCAAATAAGTTATTTGTTCTTCTCAAGCTACATTTGGACCCTCTCGATTGCTCGCTTTTTAACCTTAACTGTAATTTTAATGATCGTATGTGTGTTAATTGTTTACCATATTCACTACGTGTCTATAATTTATTTTTGTCTGAATAAAGATATTGAGGCAAGCTTGATTAAATCGCGTTGATTCACTTGCCTTCTCTACTGCACGTCTCTTCGTTTGTCAAATTGCCTGTTCGGATATGTATTCATAATTCATTCCGTTATTCACTAACGCGATTTAAGTCGATAATTATATACGAGAATTGAGGGTATGTATACTTCAATGACAATCATCATACGATCTAACTGGAGTCAGATATAGGCGCACTAAAAAATTGTATCATAGTTTATAGGTCTCTATACTTGATGTCGGGCCGAAACTTCTATGTGTTAAGGTCGGTTAACTAAACTGAAGCATATGAAACTAATCCGGTTCCAGTCCGTGACCTGTTTTGTATCATGTAGACAACGTTGCAAATAAAAAGTTAATAAATTATTTTAAGAATTTGTAATCAAAGGAAGAAGTTTGAAATATTTCAGTTAGTCATATTGTGAATCAGATAAAGTTAACACGATAGTTATGTACATTTGCCTAGGTTGATACGATACATTAGAACATCATGATGAAACTATTGAACGGATCTGAGTCATACAGGCATCAATCATATTACACAAAACGTGTAAGCAAAACGAATATAATAATCTCGAAACTGAAATTAGCACTGTAGTCTATGCTACTCATGTCGACAGACATACGTAGTATGTAACACCAATCAGAAGTCAAAAACCTTGCAGCAGAAGGTTGTGAAGATTGAATTGAAGAGGATGGGAATGTAAATGAAGGGTAAAAACAATGAAGGAACGATGAGGAATGAGACGATTGTTGGAAGATTTCCAAATAAAGCATCCAATATATGGTTCTCGTTCATCATAGTGTGAGTGGTTTTCCGGACTGTCACCTAAAGTCACCAACCACCGCGACTATGGTTATCAAATGAACCTCAACCAAGTAGATGACATCTACTAATATAGACTACCTTACATTTTGATTTGGTCACTCCTTAGCTTTCTTTCAACTAGTATTATCCATTGAAGTAGGAGACGAATGATAAAATATTTACATAAGTTTAAGACATCGAAATTTGAAATAGGTCAACATAAACTTATCTATAGTTTACATTCAAATTCATACAGCAATAGGGGAAGGAGATTCAATAAATAAAAATTTCAATAATTAATCGAAGTAAAAGAGCTTACAAGAACGATAACGTTTGTACACGATACTTTGAGCTCTAAGCATTAATTGAATATGTAGACGATTTGGACCACGTGATAATTTACTACGATTACATAGAAATTGATAAGCTTTGGTTAATGATTGAAATTTATCCTGAGAAAAGTACAAAAGAAATGGATAAACGCGGATGATAGATGATAATATTCACATATAATAATTTACATTTCATAGACTATAGACTTTAATGTGTTTACAATTGATTGAACAGTGGGTGGTGATAAATGTCATGTGTGTTAGGTCCTTCCTGGTGCAGATCGAATCCTATCAATCAAGTTGAAATGTGGCCACCAGTCTAAGTGACTCGACATTACGTGCACTATGTTGAAATAAGATGGTGGTTGGAGGTATTCAACAGGAAGCTTTGAACCTAGGTTTCATGCTGTTTGATACTTGGGTGGTGAACAATCAATTTTAAATACATCTCAATCCTATAGGAAGTCAGTCGCGGCCCGGATAGCTCAGTGGTAACGTTTGTGACTGTGAAGCTGGGTGACACGGATTGGATCCGTTAGGGAGCATCGGTTCCCTTAAGATTACAGGTACACTTTGCTGATGAGTGCGAAGTAGCACGAAACCCAGGTCCTGGATTCCACTACTAGCCACTATCTATCTCTGTTTATATAGCTTGTGACTGAAGGCAATATCGAGGCAATTCGCACAGGATGCCAACAAGAGACTGATCAACTGCAGTCCTAAACCACAATGGGAAGATATAAGCAAGCAACACCAAATGAATGTTCCCCATAAATTGTAAATCTAACTGAAGTGGACTTTTGTTTTTCCATGGACAGCCAGCTTTGTTTCAACTTAAATTGATGGACTGTAAACCAGGAACTGAGTACTGATTTACATACTCTAGTAAGACTCCCCCGCTAATAAAATTTATGTTCGTTTTAAAAATAAAACTACTTGAAAAGAAAACCTTCACTACTGATCATTAGAACAACTTACTCGACCATTTGGATTCTTATCCGGATGATATTTCATTGACATTTGATAATAAGCTCGGCGAATAAATGACTCTTCATTTGACCTACATAAGTTGTGTGTGTGTGTGTGTGTGTGTGAAAACGAACAAAATAAACTGATCAAAATTGAAACCAATTAATTCGAGGGAAAAAAAGGATGATATAAGTAGAAACTGGTCAAATACTGTTCAAGTTTAAAACAGATACATTTTTTTGAAGGGACACTTCAACAATGACTGATATGTTGAGACTCTTCAACAGTGTGTGCAGAGAAGAGCACATATAGAATTGAATATATTTTGAATCGAGTCAGTTATCGTTTAAACTACAGCTAGTTAACTTGTAATACTGAAACAATCAAACAATCTAACTGTTTTGCAACTAATATAATCCTGACTTTTTTCGCACTACAGTTGAATGAATTTAATTACAAGATTAAGTGGAACAAGTCCAGTTCACCAGCAAGGAAATAGTTACCAAGTCATAAGCTATACATGATATTATGCACATTGTGAGACACAAATGTCACATGATACAATCACATGTGATGTTGTGGGTATAGATTAAGTTATCCAGTCAGTCAATGATCAGGAATGAGGAACCTGGAAATTGTATTAAACGATTAAGGCATCAAACCACATCAGAACAGCGAATTGAACTGTGCCATAGAAACCGATTGTAAATTATGTTACCAGACTTATACAACCACTGATTGGAGTTATTAAGATGACTGTGATCGAGTAGTTTGCACATGTCCACACAGCTCAGTCTAGAATGGATTGAGAGTTAGTTCCTAGCTTTCTTCCAACATGGTACTAAATTATGTATAGTAGCGTGTCATGACAGACAATCGATGGACATATGGAATACATGTCCGGACCACCTCAGTCAGTGAATATCTAAAACCTCATTGACCAACTTGCCATTTTCATATAGCAACTGATATTTAACTTCACTCAATGGTCTCAAAAATAATCGTTTAGTGATTCGAAGGCATCTATCATCAAATACTAGTAATCTAAAAATATCTATTTTTTGAGGATACATTTCACAGTCAAAGTAGGACAGAACGAGCTGTTACAAAGTATCCTCCTCCTTTGGTTCAACCGACAGATGCTTACAACACAGAGGAAACAAGTTATCAATAGTTAAGAAGTGGAATAACATTCCATCATCTTGTAATCTTCGACTTCAGTTGGCATCAGTTTAAAACTATACTAAAATTAAATTAAACATTTAAGATCTCAAATCGATTAGTAACAGAATCGTAACATTCTTAACTATGTGGAAGTGAACGTGGATTAAGCAAACATTAAAAAAGAAAACAAGATTAATTTAATTTACTTACGAATTTAACAGAGTTGGATCTAATCCAAGTTCACTTAATGCTTCTTCATAAGACATATTCACTGGTTTCTTTTGTAATTCGTCACGCCATGTTTTTAATATATCACGTAATAATGCTACCTAAAATGAAACGATGAAAAGAAGTATATAAGGAAAAGTATGTTTACATTTTTAAAAAAAAGTTCGGAAAAGTTACATCTACATTCCTACAAGAACATATATGATGAAGTAAAACATACACAAATGTGGACATCTTTTTCAAAGTAAATGAATTATGAACCGATTGATGTTAGACCACCATTGAAAACCTGGAAGCACTGGATTGGTTGAGGTTAGACATTGACACCATTGGATGCCGGCTCAGTGGTCCAGTAGGTTAAGAGTTCGCGCGCGAGACTGAAGGCTCTATGTTCGAATCCTGCGAGCGGGATCGTGGATGCGCACTCCTGAGAAGTCCCACAATAGGAAGAAACAGCCGCCCAGGTTTTCAATGGTGGTCTAACATCAATCAGTTCATGATCCCAATCAAAAACTTGGCAATCTCCACAACACCTAAATTGATAAATGAATTATCCACGACTAGTCAAGGTGATCATCATCATTTCTCTATCAGTATCACTCCGGATACATCTAAATAAGAAAGAGATGAAAAAGTTATTATTTCGTGTTTTACAATTCACATCGCTTCTCTGTCCACAGTAATTAAGTCAAAAGTTCGTTGAAGAATATACAAGTCAGATTCCAAAACAAAATATGTGTGATTCAGTTTAATCAAGACATTGGAAGATTCTAAGCCCCACTACACCTAATCTGATTTAAGTGAACGGATTGTGTCCCTAAGGCTTTATACGAAGGAAAATTGTAACTGAAAAACCAAGCATATACATGTGTCTTTGGTAAATAATTTCCATCGCGTTGATTAAATAGTCAGACGTTCAAAGTTTTAGTATGTAAACTCGTAGATAGTAGATTTTATTGTTGATAGTCAAGTTAAACGAATGAAACTCCCGTTTAGGTGTTAGTTTGTGTGTACAATAAGCGAAATCACGTACACTGAAACAAAAGAGCGAATCAAATAACGTGCAACTAAAAAAGTCGCGAACACAAAACGTAGTTAGATGACTAGCAAGTAGAGTTGGTAGATATGCTCAGAAGACAGCATAAACAAGGAACTAGAGTTTATTCATAATATGTCGACTGAAATGTGTAACCTAAAAGGCTTTTTTAGAGAATTACATCCATATTGCAAATAGGAAAGTGTAGTGATAACAGTTGCTAAGAAGCCTCTCTGCCCGGAGATACAATTCAACGAATATACATTTTGTGATGCACTACGAGTTAGACTGACTAAAGCAATGAACAGGATGTATCGTTTTATAACTGATCTATGGTGGTTTCTCAATCAAACGATAAGTCAACTCCTTTAGCACATGCATGTGCATACACGTAATCAGCTGCTCCTATGAAGAACGAAATAATGAGAGTGCAATTAAACAACAGAACCAACGTGTTAATGAACACCTCCGTACTTGTTTGGTAAAGCTTTTGACCAAAACACTACATAGCTCCATTCTATTACACTAAACGGATAGCAGTCATGAAATGGACAGAAACAAATAATTTCAAATGAATTCTAGTTTACTTACCACCTTTCTTTAACGGATTCAATCTTGTTTATTACATATGGCAGAAGCTACAAGGGTACTCTAACTAACAAGTCTTTATATTCATAAGATATCTGTAACATTCTTATCTCTTCTGTGACCGCTGCTTCTTCATCTAATTATTTGAACATTTCTTACTACGTAACACTAATAATCTACGATAAATGTTCTTTCAATGTCGTTTATTTTTTAAAGGTTTTGAACTTATCTCCAATTATGAACTATTGATTTATTCTTCTTAACACAATTAGTACACTTGTCAAGTACACTATCAGTTCGTACATCTTGTATACATACATACATTACTGTTTATTGTAGTACAGTCTAATGACAATCTAACTGTAAACAAATATGTATATACATATCATAGACAATTAGTATACATGGTTAAAACAAAAGGTATACTAAAACAAAAAAATATGCAAAGCAACAACATATAAGATGGTAAGTGAAAATTTACCGGGTCACGTATAGGCCAATCAGGGAAACGTTGTAGATCACATAAATGACGTAAATAATAATTATGACAAAATAATTCATTTTCCAATTGTGGATAAATGATAATTGGCATACCGATAAATCGATAAATAGCACGTATATTACTATGTAAACGTGGTGAGAAATCTGCTAAATGTGATGTAATTCGACTGATCATATAACGTCTATATTACAATAATATGTAAGAAAAAAGGAATGAATGAATAGAGATATATAAAACAAACCAGTGATGATTGAGATCATGAACCGATTGATGTTAGACCACTATTGAAAACCTGGAAGCATTGGACGGTCGTTTTTTTTTGTATTGTGGGACTTCTCAGCAGTGCGCATCCACGATCCCGCCCTCCGTGGGATTCAAACCCACGGCCTTCAGTCTCGCGCGCGAACTCTTAACCTACTGGACCACTGAACCAGCTGGCATCCAATGGTGTTAATGTCTAACCTCAACCAATCCACAAAGTTGCGCGACCATCTTCCCTTGTACTGAAGTAGACACCTGTTTCTAGCCGACAAGGATTAGCTCCATTGGTCACGGTTTCTCACCAGAACTCGGTTCATGATCTCAATCAAAAACTTGACAATCTCCAAAACCCCTTGACTGATAAACAGTGATGAATTTAAAATGAACTGGATGATACATGAATGTAAGTAGAGTAGGTTCAAGGCAAGAATAAACTGCTTTTAAATATAAAAAGTAAGGTTTGAATATTCATTTGCTTAAGGATTTAACAATACACCTTAGTATATGTTTCTGTATACTCATATGCAACTCGAGAAAAGCTATTTTAACATCTATCCTGATTACATGTTAGTAATGATCAATGTCATATTTGTTTGGTCCTTGTCTACTATTATTGAAATCGTACTGATCAGGTTGTTAGTTTAAGTGACGCAAAATCATATGAGTCGCATTTGGACGTTCTATGATTGATTAGAATCTACAGGAAACAATGTACTAACAAGCTTAAGAGCAATAGAGTTCATTATTAGATTCCAGATACGTTTTAGTAATGGCTAACAATTAATAAAAATTTAGGTCAACTACCTACAATCACACCAAGCATGTCAAACCTGTTGTACAATAAAATCATATGCCTAACATTGAACTCAATAGATCAATGAATCAACTAAGAAATAATTGAAAATAATCAACGATAATTGAAAAGGATAAAATGTTATTAAATAATGGTCTACAATATTGACAAAATGAATATCAGTATGGGTAGTTTGTGGAGATTATAGTATATTCATTGTTGAGCCAATCTACGCTAGACCAGTAGAGTCGGATCCATGTCAAGTGTGAGACAGTGATCCATCACAGGTAATGGATGTTCGGTTGCGCAAGATCATGAATTTATTCAAGTTAGACAGTAATGCTGTTAGATGCCGGTTCAGTAGTCCAAAGGTTAAGTGTCTTGGGTTCGATCACAACATGCAGGACGGTGGATGTGCACTCCCAAGGAGCCCCATGCTAGAACGAACACAGCCGTCCAATGGTTCCAGGCTTTCAATGGTAGTCTAACTTAGATCAGCTCGTGAACTCAATTTTGCAAATGAATATTATCAATAATTGTCAAGAGAGACAAAACACAATTTGAAGAACTGATAAATTTTCAGACGTTTATTTTGAGTAGGTTAAACAATTCAGGAGGCAGCATATGAAAACTTAGAGAGAAGATAATCTTTAATAATAAAAACAGTGATTTTCGTTTCAAATCTTCCTTTCTAAGAACTAATTCTTTCGTCCTGTATTATGTCCTTATATACGATCTTTCTTTTATATATTACCACCATCGACATATCTACTCCTATGAATCCAGTGTTTATCTTGTTGTGTTAATGAGGTATGGTAAGTGGACCGATGCCCATATGTGCCTGGTCCTACGTTGTAGCTGACTGACTGACCGAATAATATAAACACCATCGAATAAACATAATATTCGTTGAACAAGTTAGCAACTAAATGGATACAGTATCTTAACGGATAATACACCGACTTCCAACTGCGGGTCTCAGTGTAAACAATCAACACGGGGAAGTGTACATTCGACTTGAAGTTACTTAGGTTAGATATATAAAAATGTGTGTGTAAAAATCAGCTAAGTGATTGCGCAATCAAACAGTTTAAGATATTCGTTTACAAATAGAAACTGATTATATATATACAACAAGACATAAAAAAACACTAGACATGATAGTAACATAATGAAAGGAAGCCTACCTCATATCTGAATTCCATATCGCCTCAGGTGAATCAAAATCACCAAGAAAAATCTCTGCAAATTTCTCTGGTGGATGATTTTCTAAGTAGGCAATCATAGCATCAGGTAACATATTACCCAGAATTGATCGTGAAGTTAAATCCATTCCTGATGAACCAGTGAACTAAAATGATTTAAGAATAATAAAGTTACAGACGAATGCAATTAGGTATTTGCAATTTAATTACACTGTGGTGAGCATCGGAAAACTTAGATACGGTTGAGTATGATTCATACTTTGTCCAATCTGAAACTAATCAGTCGGGTGTGCATATATATCTGAGTATTGATTTTTACAGGTATAAACAACCTGTGCCAAATGGAACGAAACACAAATTTTGGATTATACAGTTAGCTATTACTAATTTATGAATAAACACAGGGTTTCATTCGAACACAAACATACTGAATAAATTCAATCGCTAGTTTTGTTCAACAAACAGAAAATGGACTAGGGATAAACTTCACGTCGTCAAATTAGCTAAGTGTATTGTAGTCAAATAATTACGGTTATGTATTCGTTCATTTAATCATTCAATTGAAAATATCTTGGAATAATTTCCATTCTCTAATTATACCTTTTCCTGTGTTGTAAATTTTCTTCCATCATGACCGACTGCGCTACACTTGACGGGTCCATAGCATGATGAAGTGATCATTTTGTAGTAGAAAACTTTAAGATTTTCATGTAGACCAGCAAGACGATAGGGACTACGGTAGTGCAAATAATAATACCCGCCTCATTTTGGTTGGTTGTCAGGTGAAAGGTCATAATTGTAAAAGAGAGTGGAATTTATCCTTACTGCAGAAATTGTAGTTCCTTGTATGAAGATTCGTCAAAATTTTATAGAAATTAGGTAACGAGTATGCAAAAGATATTATAAGTATAAATTGTATTTGAATAATCGTCAAGACTTAAGAAAGATTCGCTGTGTTTACGTATTACTTGACGAGTCATGGTTTTCATCTATGCAGTTGTTCAGAATGTTGTACATGAAGTGAGATTCTGTTATAACTTGTGACCTGCGTGTTCTGTTGATGTATATGTAATGATACTGCCAATTAGAAAGCAGTGAATTATCAATCGGACCAATGACACATAAAACCCGTACGAGCAGTCTAGAGTACTTATCGGTTTCGCTACCTGACTACCCCAGCCAGTTAAGTCCACAACACCAATCTCAGCCTCTGCGATATGATTCATGTATTTCAAACATACTGGGTTTATATACCAACCAGACAGATCACATCGTACCATAAAATAGGAAACAACATATGTACAAGATTTAGCCAAATGTGGCTTTGAATGAGGGAGATACTAATTGATAGACAGGGCATAACTTAAGAATGGTAAATCGTATGATAATAGTCTATGGGTCAAAATAAAGCGCATAATAAGAGAAACATGAGTACGTATAGTTTAGTTATTTAGCAATTATACGATAAAAATATACGTACAGTATTGGTCCATATATGGATTCCAAAAGTTACCATTCATTATGCTTATCGGGACCTAACAGGTTCAAAGCTACAAAACAATGATTACTAATTAAGTCTATCCACACTAGTAAGCGGTGTTAACTACTTCTAAGACAATTTATTATAACCACCCTGTTTGTGTGTATGAGTGTTTATTGTGATACTACAAGAACTGACTTTTAGAACCTATGATCAACCTGCTAATTGTATGTAAATAGACAGAAAATTCCCATGGTAATTATATTCGTTTTAAAAAAAAGAGATCGAAAATCTCAACATCTTCCTGAAATAGGAATACATCGACAATAGATATAGACATACATACACATTAAGTACCAACACACAATATACTACTAATTACTAATTATATTACTAATTATAATTCAGTTTTAGATCATATGATAAGATACTCAATAACAAGTGTTCTTCTAAAGCAAAAAAAAATACTTGTGAATCATGAAAATAACAAAGTAATGTATGTATGGTTGATTGAGATGCATAACGAGAGAAAATTAACATACTGATTTTTGGTCAATCTATGTTGGTGACTACCTAATTTCAGTAAAGTAATGCATAATACATTGCATTTGAAGTGACAGATTTCGCGTTTATGTATATATCAATAATAGAATGAAGATGCATCGAATAGACGAATATCAAAGAGGAGGAAACGCGCATTTCAGATTTCACTGATAATTAAAATATGGATACTAAAACAATCATATCTTATCAAGAACTAACTTTTTATCGATGGATGGATATTGCTTCGTAGGAGTAAGTCAATTTGTAAGCGATACACACTAATGTGATCCATAGTCAGTGTATTAGAAGTAGTCTAGAAATAGCAACCTAAAGCTTGTCAGAATGAAGTATCATCTATTTGCTAAGTGATTGGATAACCAGGATGTTGAGGACTCAACACTTATCTCTGAAAGCACTCGAGTTCATCGACATTATGATTGACTGAAGTTAAAAATCCACACACGAGTATACACATACATAAATACATATTGTTGAGAGTCAACAAACATACTAATTCTTTAGAGGCATAGAAAAAGGTAGTAAAAGTTTTAACCAATTAGCATTGAATAGAAGTTGCTTGGAAACATCTTTAAAACAAAAGGATCATGTGTCACATTTTGATTGGATAATTACTTATATTGTTGCTATATACAGTATATTTCTTGAATTTCCTAGAAGATTTATGAAGATTTTCTGAACGTTGATTAACCTTGGAACAATGCATTTAGTCATATTTTGTATCTCTTCTCTATTGCTCTAGTTATAGTGAAAATGTAATTTGTGCATATAAGATGTATCTATAGAGTCATCAGCAAGTGTTTAAGCAAAAGATACCTATTATATACGTTACTTACTTACGCTTATTGAACCTCGTGTATCATAAACCGCTAATTAGGATTCTCCACCGAACCCTGTCATGTGCTATCTTTTCCACTTGTTGCAAAGCGCTATACATTATTTTGATTTCTGCCTCTAATTCCTAGTACAATGAATTCTGTGATCTTCCTCTTTTCCTTCTGCCTTGACGCTTTCAAGTTAGGGGTTGCGTTCTCTATGCCAGAGTAACTTTTTGACGATAGTGTCCGATCAACGGTACCTTGCTTAGATATCTGGTTGTAGATACGTGTGTTTTATTGACGATGGTTGTAGTAGTAAGGTCACTACTCATTGCTTTGTATTTCAGGATCTTCTTTTTCCCTTGTGTACGACGAGGCCTACGGCTACAGAGGCTACTGCTACACTAATTTTCTTCATCTGCACTTTTTGATGTGCATAAGATCGAAGGGCTAAGTCATCTGAGAAGTCCAAACCGTCCAGTTACACCCAAACTGTCCATTATATTCTGTACTTCCCCTACGATGTCGAGGTTTTCATAATCCAGTCAACCATCAGAAAAAAAGAGAAAGGAGGAGAGTAAACAGTCTTGCTCTAAACCGGTCCTCACTTGAAATGCGCCTGTCAGTTGTCCTCCATGCACGACTTTGCAGTGTAGTCTGTCGTATGAATTCCGGATGATGTTGACCATTTTCTCAGGTACATCATAGTGTCGAAGAAGTTTCCATAATATTCTCCTATACACACTGTCGAATGCTTTCTCATAGTCAAGGATGTTGATGTATAGTGACGAGTTCCATTTAATTGATTGTTCAACGGTGATCCGTAGTGTCGCGATGTAGTCTGTATACGACCGATTCTTACGTAATCTTTCATCCGGTTCAACAACACTGTTGAAAATGTTTTCTGGTACCGATAGTAGTGTGATGCCTTTGTAGTTGTCATAATTACTAAGATCATTTTGATTAAGTATCCTTCTTTCCAGTCTATCGGCACTTGTCCTTCCGCCTAAATCTTCCTGAATAGAACGTGTAGCATTTCCATTTACTTCTATGTCTGAATTCAGTGCTTCAGCTGGTGTGTTGCCTGGTTCTGTTGATTTCCCACTCTTGATTTGTTTGATGGCCATGTTGATTTCTTCGGTTGATGGTGAGGTAATTCGGTAGGAAGGTCTGTCGGTGCTGCTTCGATTTTATATATATATATATATAACACTTGCATGGAAATTTCAAGACAAAACCAATCAATACAACAATGAACATCAATACAGTACAACTTACTTCATCTAAGCGTAATGCTTGTAATAAGTGAACATCTTTTAAAAACTTTGCAATTGGCAAAACATTACTACCGGTGTATAATAATATGAAATAAAATATTCCAGTTAAGTAAAGTCGTGGTAGAAAAGGATTTTGATCCATAACAGCATGTAGAAGAGAGACAACACGTTCAACCAATGGTGGGTCGAAGGTTAGTAGTAGCTAAATATGATAGTTAAATAAAATAATAGAAATAGTAATCATAAATTAGAACAGTAGATTAGTTGTTAGACTTTGTTAATATAATGAAAACATTGAAATAATAGACAAGAGAGAATCAGTTCTTTTAAACTATCAGATATACCTTCTTGATGGATGTTGAAGAGAATGGAATATAACCTAAGATTTCACTGCTGACTAAGTCCGACCACCTAACACCTTAGCAAGGTGCATACAACGTCGAGTCACTTAGGCTAGTAGTGATATTACAGCCTGACCGATAAAATTCGACCTGAACACAGGATTAGGTGAATATGACATTGTACACAAACCAGCGATCAATAAATGGTAAACAGCTCAGTTCTACAAAAGGTAATTTGAAGGCTCCATATGGTTAATGGTAACGTCTCAGAGTATCAGACTTGGTGACCTGAGTTCGACTCCTACAGAGACCACATCATTCCCCTCATGATTTCATGTACCGATAAATGCCAACTACTGCCAAATTTAGGCTTATAGTTTTCTATCAACTGACTCCAGCCACTTCACTAACTGTAAAACAACTGCTTCGTTCTAGTTTGAAACTTTTAGTGAGTAGTGCGGAAAACTAACTTCTAAAAGCACAGGATCAAATGCTTGAACAACTTGAATTTCAACTCAATAGCTAAAATGAATAGAATAGAAGTAAACTGGAAAATTGAAGATAGGAACAGTAATAAAGACAAAGACAATATATTAGTTTGGAAAGTTGCTTAACATTAAGGATTAACAGATATGAGTCGTCGTATAGTTGCAATCACGTAGTATATATCGTAATTTAATAACCTTTATAGTGTGATGCATATTCATTTGCAATTTACAGTTTTAATGTTATTTCATACCATTTATCATTACAGGTCGTGCTAAGTCACTCAGTCAGTCAGTCGGCTGCAACGTAGGATCAGGCACATATATGCATCGGTCCAAGTTGCCATACCGCATCAGCGCAACAAGATGACCACCGGATTCATAGAAGTAGTTAATTCAGTGGTGGTAATATATAGAAGAAAGAGTGTGTATAAGGAGATAGAATTAGTTCTTAGAATGAAAGATTTGAAGTGATTTTAATCTCTTAGTTCAAAGGAAGACAGAGAGTGTATACACCGACGCCATTGTGATCGATTCTGAGCCATGTCACCAAGAGTCTCCAACCATTGGTTACGATAGTCACGCGGACCCCAACCATGTAGTCTGCATCTACCAGCATGGCTCAGACTAGAAGTTAGTGACTTCAAGTATTGATGTCACGTTTTGATTTGGCCGGTCGTGCTAAGTGGTTATCGGTTTCTAGTTACCTAAAACTGAAGTGTAATAAATTAATCTGAGATAATTAAGTACCATATGAGGAAGAACATTATAAATGAAGTAATATATATTTCATATTTATATCTGAAATATAATCAACATAATAAAATTCTTACTTGAATTACATGCGGTAGACAATTCATATCTGAGATAGAACGACGTGGTTTCGGTAATGGACGTACAACACCACCATGTTGATCACGTGATGAACAACTATCACATAATCGACGTAAAATATCTATACATTTTATAGCTAAACTAGTATAATTTGTAAACATTCCACCAGTATAACTTAATTTATCAATTAAACAACCAACGTTTATTTCATGATTTCCAATAATTGAATTATTTGTATTACTACTGTTATTACTACTACTCATAATAGTTGGATTAGAACGAGTAGACATATTAGATGAATTTGATATTTTTATATTTGATGTATCAGAAAGTGTCCAACGTATTTGTACAATACGTTTAGCTGGCATCCAACCATACATTCCACAAGCAATAGTTTTTTCATTCATTTGTTCAGAATGATCTAATGATATACTATCATGATTGAAATGATTTTCTTGTGATTGATTAAATGATTTGTTAAAGTTATGATTATCCTCTTTGATATCAATAAAATCATCTTCAGCTAAATAACCATCTGGACGACAACGAGGTGTTGCATCTAAACCTTGAGCATATACTTTTGTAGTATTATTAATACGTCCATCTTTAATCAATTGTTGTAGCTATATAGGAAAGTTTGTTTTTTTTGATTTAAAAGAATAAAGCATGAGTTACATTGAGTTGTTATGATAATAATCTAATTGAATTTGAAGTTTTATATCATGGATTGAATTTGGTTAGACAATCAATGGAAACTAACAGAAACCAAAGAACTGTTTCGCTTTAATATGAAACTTGCACGCATCGAGGACTCCATCAAGTATTGAACCTATAATCCCCAGACATCACAGTGAGCACTTAACTTTCATACTACTCAGTTGCTTTCCAGTAGTTTACATTTCTAGTTTAAGTCATTTAGCAATATTGAATGGCCATCATCCATTTTGCCATTGATGATAATTACTTCACTTCCAACATGACTGAGCTCTTCTGGTCACGGATTTTCACTGGAACTCAAAGGATTGCATCGCGAAACTAGCCAATAGTGATCAGATAATTATTACTGTTATTGGATGTTGAGATCATTGAACTTAAAATTTCCCATAACGAACTAGCCATCATTAAAGTAAAGTGGCTAGCATTTATTAAAGTAGATAGTTTAAACTTCAAACGTGTAGTAAGCGTGAACCAACTATCCGTCATCTGGAAATTAGTTAAACTTCTATGACAGTATGGTTAACTTCAATGTTTATTATTCACTATTGACGAAACATTGAGTCATACATAACTAATAATAAGCTACAAAATTATGTTAGGCAGGGCTTACATCAGTGCCAGTATGAACAGTGATCGATCTACTTATTTAAATATTCATTGACGATCAAAATTAAGCGTGAGTTGGGATCTATGTACACTTCAAGGAATTTCTTTACCTACTGGATGTTTGTGTAAGTTCTTAAAACAGATATGGTGGCCGATACGAATATACTGTGTTAACTTCATAAGCACAGAATGAAAAGTGCTAAAGACATCTACATGAATACAGATTATCACGATCATGAAATCTCTGTTTGGCTAAAGTTGGAGTAATATTATGAGTTGAGGTATTTCAACTAAGTAATCGAAAGATAATGCGCCCATCATGAGGTATGAAGGTTCAAAGTTTGCAAATTAATCCTTAACTAGGGCAAAACGGTTATCAAATATCGCTTGATTTGGATAGGTTACTGATATGATGTTAATCTTTGACAAGATTAGTTTTAATTAATTAAGAATGATAAATGTACAGTACCGTTCTAACAAGAAAAATATATGTGAATATACATAGTCATCAACTGTAAATTATACATATTCATGTTCCTCTTATTATGAGCTTGATTTCGACCTATGAACTATTATTATACAATTTACCATTCTTGAATTATACCCTGTCTATTAATCACTACCTCCCACATTCACAGGCACATTTTAAGAAATCTTGTACAAATAATGTTTCCTATTTTATGGTATGATGCGATCTGTCTGATTGGTATATAAAGCCAGTGTGTTTGAAATACATGATTCATATTATAGAGGCTGAGATTGGAGTTCAGGACCCAACAGGCAGGAAGCAAGACTGATAAGTACTCTAGACTACTCGCACGGGATTTACGCGTCATTGGTCGGATCGATAATTCACTGCTCTCTAATTGGAGCTATCATTACGTATAAATTAACATGGCACACAGGCCACAAGTAATAACAAAATCGATTAATGTAAACTATTACATGAAACACAAATAGACATATACCTGTTTGTCATTAAACCATAGATGAGAATAAAATAATAATAACTTACATTGGTACAAATAAAAATTTACATTTAAATAAACAAAGTACCTACTTCATTAAAACTAACTGGACCTTGAATAGAATGAGATACAGATTCATTAGTTGTTTGTTCTGTTTGTGTTGTATTAATATACCACCATTCTCGTTGAGTATTCGCACCAGAACCAGAAAACTCTTGTTCAGAACTAGCTTTTAAAACATTGGATTGAAATGGGGTAGGTGCTCGATTTGTATGTAAATGTGCTAAACATGCTAAATCGATGAGAACACGTACACCATCAGCATCGACAAATGACATAACATTATTCTAGAAATTAAAATAGAGGAAAAATAATTGAAAGATATACATATATTCAGTTAGGTAAACAAAACTGGGACTACTGAAGATGGAGTCGTTTACTTGACTTACCACGTACTTAGCTAAAAGCCACAGTTCAATTATGAAGACTAGTGATATTATTTGGTTGCTAAAACAAAAAGGTCACGCATACATAGTCATTGTCAGGGAATTCCTACACACTATCTTCTCGAGACGAGGTGTTGTTTACGAAATCGGGACAATGAAAGGCAAACATTCGATGTGTAAACCAGGTTGAAGAATACGGAGTATTCAGATAGGACAGTTGGAAAACCCTGATTCCAAACTAATACTGTATGAACAATTCTCGTTCGACGCCAAACGTTGCTCCACTGCCTTGTAGGTTAGACCTCTGGCTCAAAGGCTCAAGAACTGAATTGTTAACTCCAACTCTTGTAGCTTCTGTCGTACGTAATAAACAAGATTGCACCCGTGAAAGAAAGGTGGCAAGTAAACCAGAATTCATTCTAAATTATTTGTTTCTGTCCACTGCATGACCGCTATCCGTTTAGTGTAATAGAACGGAGCTATGTAGTGTTTTGGTCAAAAGCTTTACGAAACAAGAATGGAAGTGTTCATTAACATGTTACTTACTTACTTACTTACTTACGCCTGTTACTCCCAATGGAGCATAGGACGCCGACCACCATTCTACAACCCCCTCTGTCCTGTGCCTTCTTTTCTAGTTCCATTCAATTCTTGTTCATTTTTCTCATGTTCATCTCCATTTCTCGGCGTAATGTATTCTTTGGTCTCCCTCTCCTCCTTCGACCTTGAGGATTCCATGTGAGGGCTTATCTTGTGACGCAGTTGGCTGCTCTCCTCAATGTGTGTCCTATCCACTTCCAGCGCTTCTTCCTGATTTCTTCCTCCACTGGGATCTGATTTGTTCTTTCTCACAGTAGCTTGTTGCTAATAGTGTCCGGCCAACGGATCTGAAGTATTTTGCGTAGACAACTGTTATTAAACACCTGTATCTTTTGGATTATGGATTTCGTAGTTTTCCAGGTTTCCGCCCCATACAGTAGAACTGTCTTGACATTTGTATTGAAAATTCTTACTTTGGTGTTGGTTGACAATTGTTTTGAGTTCCAGATATTCTTCAGTTGTAAATATGCTGCTCTTGCTTTGCCAATCCGTGCCTTCACATCTGCATCGGATCCACCGTGTTCATTAATGATGCTGCTCAGATATGTAAAGGTTTTTACATCTTCCAAAGCTTCTCCGTCAATTGTGATTGGATTGTTGCATGCTGTGTTGTATCGGAGAATCTTGCTTTTCCCTTTGTGTATATTGAGACTCATTAACATGGTTCAGTTGTTTAGTTGCACGCACAATATTTCCTTCGTCATAGGAGCAGCTGATTACGTGTATACACATGAGTGTGTTTAAGATGGTATTCAGTAAATATCCACTTCTCGAAAATGGACTTTGCTAACAAGACATAAATTCGTGTACTTAGAAATTGGAAAATATTACAATTTATACAAAAAGTATAGTTATTGAGTGAGTTACTTATATCCACATAAGTAGTATAGCACGATGATCAGGAATACAATGTATTTCAATAGAATATAGAGAAGGAAATAACGGGGATGGAAAACAATTAGTATGAAAATGCATGAACAGTGAAAACTGAAATGATCAACTGATATTTGCAAAAGGAACAGTCGAATTTGAGACAATTAATATTTTGCAAATGAACTATTCACTGTATGGTTCTCAGATTTTAGTGAGATATTCTGTATGTTCGTACTCAAACACATTCGATTGCCCTAACTGGTGTTCTTGTTCACTACATAGTATGTTGGGAACATGAAACATTGTCATCTCGATTGATTTTTCCCTAGGATATCATAAAACTTTAGGAATCTAAAACTATATGGAAAAGGATACTAAGGCTGGTATTAAAATCTTTCATTTGATCAATTAGATTGAGGAACCGTATAATGAATTTTGGTTCCTAAATTTTTATGGAAAATTCTAGGGAACGTTAATTGGATAAAAACGTAGTTACAGGTATTTGCTAAACAATAATACATGGATTTCTAAGAACAGATTAATTAAAAAAACACGATATATTGTCGTAGTTTATCTAAACTTTACACAAACTTAGTGGTTAAGACATCGGACTTTCATTCAGTGGGTTCGAATCCCACTCCTGACACTACACTTAGCCCCCAAATGCCCTAGTACGGCCGAGAGTGGAGAGAGTCCGCTCTCCCTCTCCAAATGCTCTCACATGGCCATGCGTATATAGCTTCTGCCAGTGAAGTCCTACTCACTGACTTCTCGCACCATGGGTGTTGTTCACAAAAATGAGAGGACGAAAAGCGAATGTCCGGCAGGGGCTTTAACCGGATCCCAAACCAATCGTGCACATGGGCTCCAGTATCCTGATGGAACAAATGGCGTATGAACCAATCGTTGGTCACCGACTACCATGGGACTACATCTCCTGATGTTGCTCCACTGCCTTGTGGGTCAGATCTTCAGGTCGAAGGCTCGGGAAGTGGCCCCCTAAGAAAACCACCTGCTTCGGTTTAGGCACCCGGGCAGTATCACAGCCCTCACACAAATCAATTGAGATTCGTGTGGCGCATATGTATTTGGTGCCTCCTTGTGCCAATATCTATGTGTTAGAATAAATAAATAAAATAAATCAGTGAGTTCAAGGTTCGAACTCCGTTTCACATAGGTTTGGACAACCAGATAGTATTATTAAACCTCATACTTAGAGTATAGTTCATATATGAGTAATTATTTACTATTATTTATAAATTCCTGGACCCAAACCTTTAAAAGAGAAGCATATTTACACGAATAACATACCTTATTCAACATTAATTTATCCAATAGTAAAAGAAGACAATCTCTTTCAGATGCAAATGTTGTACGATCTAATAAATAAGTAAGTAATGGAATATCAGTAATTGGACCAATCTCATGATGACATCGATGATACACAACTGACATAGCATGCAAGCATAAACAACGCATTGTAAGACGACGTAATGTATTAGGTGTTATATTATTACAATCAGTTGTACAACGTTTCATTGAATTATCATTAATAGAATAATATGGATCCGATGCAACATATTGAAGGTAACGTCGAAATAATTCATTGAAAAATGCAGTACTATTAAGTGAAAATAATATACACAAAACAAGGATATAGTAATAAATCATAAGCTTAAAATAGTAACTAATTAAACAAGATTAAATCATATCAATCAGTTTTATTAAAAAGATATATATAGAATATGGCTCTAATAAGTACACGTGCAAATCTACCATATTTCATTACATCACAGTGATATAAACATAAAAACTGCGCTAATCAACATAGTTTTGTTAAATATACAATGATTCCCTTGGTTATTGTTATATCATGTTTTGATCATCTCTAGACGATTATCTAGCCTACTCAAAAATTTGCTCTTATTGTATGTTAGATTAAGCGGTGACTAAAATTTTGAAAAATTCGTTAATTGATATACCGAGTTGTTTATTTGAGTTACAATTCTGTTAGTTGTGGTTAGGTTGGAGGTTTGGATTACTATATCAAGAGACTATATTAAAGTAGTTACTGTGACCTATGATCTGGCGAGATCACACACACCCCGAATTCCCTGGTATGGCCGAGAGTGGGGAGGGTCCGCTCTCCCTCTCCAAATGCTCTCACATGGCCACGCATATATAGCCTCTGCCAAATAAGCCCTACTCACTACCTTCTCGTGGTGAAAGTGTTGTTTATGGAGTTGAGAGGACGAAACGCAAATGTCCGGCAGGGGCTTTAACCGGGTTGGTGGACACGGAGATTCCACCTAGGGGAGTTGGAAAACCCTCACTCCAAACCAATGGAGCACATGGACTCTAATATCCAGAAGGAACAAATGGTGTATAAACTAATGGTTGATCACCGGCTACCATGGGACTGCATCTCCTCACGATGCTCCACTGCCTTGTGGGTCAGACTTTCAGGTCGAAGGCTCGGAGTGTGGCCCCTTAAGAAAACCACCTGCATCGGTTTGGGCACCCGGGCAGTATCACAGCCCTCACACAAATCAAATGAGATTTATGTGGCGCATATGTGTTTGGTGCCTCTTGTACCAGTATTTGTGTGTTCAAATAAATAAATGAGAATCAATGAGGTTAGGGTATTCGTCGAGAATGTAAAAATTTCATTAATCCCATTACGAACGATCTACCAAATGTCACAATTACTGCATACACAAACATTTAATGATATGTTGGATAGAAGTAATTTGAAAGAACGTTAGATGTGTGGTTATATCAAGATATGGAATCAATTTGATAAGTCATTGAGCGTTAGTGTGATTCATATCAAGACGTGTCAAGATATGAAGATCATCGGTTCAAGTCTCATGATGTTGTATAGTAGCGTAGTTGAAACTTTTCAAGCTAAGGTGAAATTGTTGTTGAACATTCCTTGTTTAATTTCAATTTTATGAATTATATTTATTTGAAAACAATTTATATCGAGAACTGACTTCAGTTCGACAATAACTGAAAACAAGGAGTAATTGGACAACTGTTTCGAAACTAATATCAGACTCTTTGGGAGAGATGCATACACATGTCAACTAGAGATCGAACCCCATTAGACTGTACGATTCCACGTTTCTAACTGTAATTAAACCCTGAATGTTACAGAACGATTATTCATTGTTATCGACGTCATCTATTTCATTCCTGACACAGTTGAACTCCAATAGTGGTGGTTTTACATTAGAACCTTGATCATTTTCTCTTAGGTTGATCTGTTGTGAGTACACGACTATGATTGGGTAACTCACTAAACACGAAGTCTGAATCTTTCAGAACGAATGATTGAGGGAGTCATGAATGGACATAGTTAAGATCTGAAATACGATGAAACTGTTATTTATTCCTCCTAGAGTTTCATTAGTTTTTGAGCTCAAGTTAGTCCATGATGTAAAAAAAATGTCTCCACTAATCTTTATAACCGTAATCATAAACATTTATTTACTTACCTATCACGAATACGTGATAAACCCATAGATAGTACATTAGTTGAATTTTCATTAGTCAATGTAGTTGCATCAACTACTTCATTCACATGTCGATCTTCTTCAAGCAATAAACGTAAAAAATAGTTGCCAACACGTGGTTCCTCGATTAAACTTGGATAATTCACTTTAAATTCTCTATAATTCCATGAAACAAGACTTGCCTATCATAAAATCATTAGTAGACAACAAAAAAGAGAAAATCAATTTACGTGAAATTATAGAATTTAAAAAAAAAAGAAATAGAAAGTATGAAAGTACAACTGTGTAAAATACTGTCAGCCCCTTTCATGAAGAGCATGGTAACAATTTTTACCTTCCCATTATAATATCAATAACTCCTATTAACAAGTTGGTAGAGATTATTGGGTTCCGGTAGCGTATATCAAATAAATATATGTACGGTAAATCAATTCAGTGAACTCGAAACACATGGTGAGCTAAGGTAATTTAAACGTGTGTTGATAAAGTTTATACAATGATTATGAACATTGATAGCGTATGATGTAAACGGTAAAGGCAATGAATAGCATTAGATAGTCACGTAAAAATCAATAAGTTGACAGGGTTTAAAAAGATATCCTACATAGTATAAAACAAAAATGAAATGAACCTTCATTTATGAAAGTGATCTACATATGCATGCTTCACCACTGTGAGTTCCACAATTTACTATTCTGGTTATCATCAAGGTAAACTAAATCAAAACAGTGCCAATTTATAAAGTATTCAACTGTTAAACTGATCTATGATCAAGTATAATGATAGAGATTTTACGATAGACGATGTCGATATGATCATAATCTGTATTAGAGCCTTGAATACATGATAAAGATTATTAGACTCCAGTCTTTTGATGCTTGTCAATATTATTTCTGTTATGTCCCGATAAACATAATGAATGGTAACTTTTGGGATCCATTTATAGATCAATACTATGAGTATATTTTTATCATATAATTGTTGAATAACTAAACTATACATATTCATGTCTCTCTTATTATGAGCTTCATTTTAACCTATGAACTGTTCTTATGCGATTTACCATTCTTGAATTATTCTCTATCTATTAATCACTACCTCCCACATTCACAGCTACATTTGGCCAAGTCTTGTACAAATGTTGTTTCCTATTCCATGATACAATGTGGTCTGTCTGATTGGTATATAAACCCCAGTATGTTTAAAATACATGATTCATATCACCGAGGCTGAGATTTGTGTTCTGGACTTAACTGGCTGGTTTAAGCAGAAAACAAGACCAATAAGTACTGTAGACTGTTCGTACGGGTTTTACGCGTCATTGGTCGGATCGATAATTCACTACTTTCTAATTGGCGGTATCGTCACGTTATACATTAACAGGGCACACAGGGTACAAGTTATAACAGACCCTCACTTCATGTACAACATTCTGAACAACTGCATAGACGAAATCCATGACTCCGAACAAATTTATATAAAATCTAAATCTACACACATATATATACAGATATACCTGATTAATTAAATGATCAGCTTGTATTCTAGTTGGACTAACTGTTGTTCGTGTTTTTCTATTAAGATTTGATGATCTTGATAAAGTTTGTGTATCATTATGATCATTAGAATTTTGAATATTCGATGAATTCAATTGAATATCTTTATCATTAAGTTTATCAAATTGATTATTTTCTATAGTAGATTGATGAGAATCCATTGTGGATAATTGTGAATGTTCATTGTTCACTGTCCCATTATTATTTTATTATTATTACAAATATTTGGTGTACTTTGTGCTTTACTAGTTAAACCAATTGGAACTATACGTTCAGGTTGACCAGTACCAACTGGTTCTGATCGATCAATATCTGGTAGATCTGATTCTTCTAAACGACTTTGTGCAAAATAATTACGTTCTTGTCGAAATTCTTGTAATTCTTTCTCCATTGATTCACGTAATTCATTTCTTGTCTAATTACAATAAGAATAATTACCATAAACTCATTCAATAAAACGGATGAATAAAGGAGTACAGATAGATGGAGTATAGATTATAATCTAAAACCATGTGAATAGACGTTAAACATTGTGAACACTTAGTTATTATTATTGAAAACGTATATTTAAACACATATACTTTGGTACAAAGAGGCACCAAACATATATGTGCCACATTTCGATTTGTGTGAGGCCCGGAATACTGTCCGGGTGCCCACACTGGAACATGTGGTTTACTTAAGCGGTCACATCTTGAACCTTTGACCTAAAGGTCTAATCCACAATGCAGTGAGGCAACGTTTGGAAATTCAATCCCATGGTAACCAGTGACCAACAACAGCTTCATACGCCATTTGTTCCTTCAGGATTTTGGAACTCATGTATGATACCATAGATTTGGAATCAGGGTTTTCCAACTCCCCTAGGTGGATCCTACATATCCATTCATTGAAAACGATAAAATATGATAACTATTTTTATTATTATCGATGGTGTATAAGTGGATTGTTTATTGTTTGATTATGAAGAGATATTCACAGAAGGCTTCAAGACAATCTTCAGAAGATATTCAAATCAGAAAACTTTAACTCCCACGTCAAGTATGGTAATTCTAATTCCTATCTACAGAAAATTTGCGATGATAATGTGAAGCACAACTAATGCTATCGTTGGGTGTTACAGTCCTACTCTGGAAGTGGTTAACATTTTCTCACTCGTTGTTTAAAAAAGCAATCACTAAACCATTCTTGACGGTCTTTTACAACATGTAAGGTAATTTAACACCTTTTTTTTAAGAATTAAGAAATGAAATTGTTCAAGCTTAAAAAATAATGAATGTGTAATGCATAACTGTTGTTATAATTTATATACCTTTGACTGGATAATATATTCTATTAAGTATGAGAACGCTAAAATCTTATCAGACTAATGATTTTGGCATAATCAATGACAAAACTTGACTGACAATAAATGATTTTGAACGTGAGGTGCTGACTGGTTTAATCATGAAGCTTTTCATCGCCTTACCCCGACAACAAACCCATTATCCTGATCTATTATTATTCTCCATCATCTTAAATGATTATGAGCAACGACTGAACAGAAATCCTATGTTAACAATAGCAGATCTTCTTGCAAAACATCCAAGTCTGTTCTAGAACAGGTTAGTGTGCTGCACGATCGGATAAGTGAACCGATGCTTCTTTCAAAACGTCATGTACCATTTTTTACACATTATTAATAAGACCAAATACCTAAACCAGCCCCCCCACAAAATTTAAAGAAAAATGGAATACCGATATAAGAAGCCACAAACACATTGTCGAAAGAATTTAAAATGGGACAATCAGTCATGGTGATGGATTTTCAATGTCCGAAGCCGACATAGGTATTCATAATCACTGATCCACTTTTAACATGTAATTCATGTAGTTCATGATATTTTCATACTGGGTTATTATTTATACGCTTTGATTTAATGTATAAATCTTTTATAAACGTTTTACCATTCCTGTATTATTGTTGATTAATTATGGATCCATTCAAGTGTAATCTAAAACGTAGGTGAAAGTAAGTGACAATATCAATTCTAGTCTTTGAGTTTTGGTAATTAAAAGTGATTAGCAGAAAACTCTGGAACTCTTGATTTTCTACTGCTTTGGATTCGCCAGAAAGGTATTATCTGTCTGTCATCAGATGTGACTCGTGAAACGAATAGTGGATCATTTCTCATATTACGTCACTGGTTGAAGCTTGCTACAATTTACGCACAGTATCAGTTACCTCTGCCAATAACCGTCAGTCAGAGCAAAATTAAAAACCGTTGGTTCTTCACAAATGCCTCTGGCCGTCCATCATCAAATAAGTAGCACTATTGAAATCAAGAACCCATATAAGTTAGACAACGATTAAAAATCTCCAATTAATGGGACGGCTGATTCATATGAATATAGGATTCCTCAGCAGTGCGTACCCACGATCCTACAACCCAGGACTTTCGGTATAGTGCCTCTATACTACTAAGACGGGATCCATTGTTGTCCAAGTCTAACTTTAATCAATTCACAACATTTCCCGTTAGACTTAAACACCACTGGATACTTAGATCAATGGTATAAAGGTCAAGCATTCGCACACAAGACCGGAGATCACGGATTCGACTTCCGGTTGAGGGATCATGGTTGTACAATTATGAGGAGTCCCATGCTAGTATGAAACAACTGTACAAAGCTTTCAAGTTTTCAATGGTTGTTCAAGTTAGATCGTTCCATGATTTCAATAAAATTCAATAATCTCCATAACCCATTCCCGACTTATAAATCGCACTATGATGTCTTCTGGTAATATTGGCCAAAACACAGTTTAGTTTGTATAATTTAGCTCACTCAAACAAAATATTAACAGAAGATAAAGATAGAAGGTATATTGAAAACTCGTTCTCCATCATAGTAATAAAAACTTACTCGTATAGTCCAAATTAAATCAGCTTTAGCATGATCCTGCTGAAATTGATAGAAAAATAAACGCCAATTAGTTGTCGGTTTACAATTAACCGAATCACCGCGTAATGATTGAAGTAGATGACGAGGTCGACGAAGTACAACAGGACGTTCTTCAGCTTCTTTTATATGATTTTGTTTTCCAATCTATCAGAAAATAAATCGATCATGTTCAATTGAAGTAAACAAGACTAAATTAATTAAAACGATAAGTGTTTTTTTTTTAAAGTGTATCATATGAAGTGAATAAACATACAGAAGATTGTTGTAACGAATTTTAGATATATATTGTCGTAATTTGTTAAACAATCAGTAAATCTTCACAAAAACAAAATAATCAATATGATCAGTATCAATGAAAATGGTAATGATCAACAGATAGCACTGCATGAAGCACGTTGATAAAAAATACCAGTGTTAATCACCCAGATTCTTATAGACTTAATAAAGACCTGAGAGCTGTGATTGTTAATGATAGGTCCTGGGTTCGAATCTAGCGGGGGGCGGGATTGTGAAAGCACACTGCTGAGGAGTCCCATACTAAGACGAAACGGCCGTTTAGTGCTTCCAGGTTTTCCATGGTGGTCTAGCTTCGACTGACAGATTTCAACTATTGAAGTTACTAAATTCTCCACAGAACCTCTTCTGATTAATTGGTTATTAAGAATGGAACTTGTGATACACAAATTTTAAAATATTTAAGTGGTGGCTAACAGTAGGATCTCAGATGCATGTTTTGTCCAATGCGGAGATCTTTAATTGTATATGTCTTTACTTTTGTTTTGATGTCAATACTGACACTCAAACTCAGTATTTACAGCTTTGAATAATAACACAGAAGAAGAGATAAAACATCAAAGATGGAAAGACTATAATTTATGGACGAATTTATCAGATTTAGGATAACAAGTTTTGGATATTGGCGCGAAATTCATCCACTTATTTGACGAAATAGCGTTTTGACATTTTAGCTGATGTCAATTCGCGATGAAAACAGTAAATCTAATTCCTAATCTAAACCATCAATTGTAAACCATTGGGTTTATAACCCTCCTTTAGCCCCAGTAAGTAGGCGGATATTTTCAAGGTCACTTTAGTGTCGTCCATAAATTCTAGTCTCAACGTAACCATACATATATGACTATAAACAATATCATTTAGCATTTAGACATCGTTGGAGATATAATTCATAGAAATTTAATAACTTACTACTTTAGGAATAGGAAGACCAACACGTAGACGCCAATGTGTTAATAAATCATCAATTTTCGATTCTAATTGATATGAAATAGTTTGTTTACGTTCTTCTATACGCATCATATGTTCCTGAATAATAATATTAGAGAAATAGAAAAAAAAAAAGAGAAAGAAAGAAAAAAAATGAACAAACATGATAGACGAATTCAACATGTACTTGGATAGTGATAATCGAACAGAATATAAAAGGAACTAATATGTTATGATGAAAATTATCTTTTCAGATAAACACTCAATTTGTATGACTTCAATAAACATTTCTAGTATATTCATTACAAGAATTGTGGTCACCAAAAACTATCTGGTTATTATAAGCAAAGATGGATAGTGGCTAGCAATGGAATCCAGGATGCGTGTTTTGTCGAGCTGACGAATTCCAAATAAGACAAAACGCGCGTCCTGGATTACATTGCTAGCCACTATCCATCTTTGCTTATAATGCTTGTAAATTAAGGCAACATCGAGGCGATCAGTATAGGATGCACATATACCAATAAGAGACTGATCAACTACAGTGCTAAACATCAATGGGAAGATTCAAGTGAATCAAATAGTAATTGGTTTTACACCATGAACTAATGATATAAACTGATATCATTATTAGAAATAAGGAAGAGTTATGAGCAGCATTAATTTTATTTGCAAAACCTAATGGAGAGAGTAACGATGGTCTTCTACATGAAATAAAACTCAATACGTTAATGTGTCGTAACAATTCCATTCGTAGGTGCAGATATATAGTACTCAATAGTTTCGAAATAGGATTTAATCTCTGCTAGGCATTTTCTTATTTTCAATGTGTTTTTGCGGTTGAACGTCCGTATCGAGAACTTCTGTTACGTAGAACAAAGAAATTGGGGGTTAGCAGTGAATTAAAGAATGAGCACTTAGTCATATTTGGGACTCATGAGGTAGAAATACTTAGATTCTAGTGTTGACGTTCACACAGAGACTCAAACCCAACACCTTTCTTTTTAAACCCCCAACGTAGTAACTCGGTACATAGTACATTCAGAGTTTGACAAAAAAAAATTTTACTGGGTTTGAGTCGCGTTGTGGACGTCAACTCTGAGATGGAAATATACCAAGTCGATCAGTTCGAAAGAGGACGAGACTGCACGCGTTATGGATTCTAGTATTAGTCACAAATCCGTCTTTTGCATAACAAGTTGTCAAAGATGGCTATATCAAGACAATTTGCACAGGATGCGCATATGTCAACAAAAACTGATTAAAATTCACTAAACATAATCAGCAATTGGATGGTTTACAATCCTTTCAATAATGATATATAAATAGAACAGTTTCTAATGTCTTGTTAAATCCATCTCTATAGGGGTGTATTTAGTTACACTGTCAGTAAATTATTAACTTACAGGTAGGTGATAAAATGACGATAAACTTATCGATTTGACTTTTGGATGAAAGTGAACGAACAAACCAGTAATTCAAGTTTAACTAAATAATGAAAATTAAATATTGTGAAATCGATACTTTGTTGCCAGCTTGAAATTTTCTCCATCAGTAAATAGGTGTGTACTTTTTCGGGTTTGTAAATAAAGACATTTCCCTACCAAATATCCTTACACGGTAGACGATAGAAAGAGTTCAGTCATTTTATGAAAATGTTCTCAAATGTTTGCGTATTTATAATCTTATCCTGTTAGGTCCTACAAACTATTTCTAAACATAATATAGGTGTATCTGTAAAAGTCAGGAAGAGAAGAAGAAGAAAGCCGATCGTCATGGCTGGAATAGGATTGAAGGGGTTAGACATTTAAACAATAGGAGTTATAAAACTTTGACGGGGTATATATACCAATATATGTAACGACAGTCAATCATGACTTCTTCACAGAGTTATCGCATAATATCATCTCATTGGTAAAACTGTGAATTCACTAATAACGATTTCGTAGGCGATGATAAGTATCATATAGTGGTCAAGATTTGAGACTCAAATGGATGATTTGGGTGGAATTTCATTCTCTGAGCCCAGTGGTTTACCCTTGAAGCTTTGATTATTTTCCACCATAAGCACAAACATCATGCTGAAGTGGGTTATTCGAATTTCTACATGTATGACTGACAACTTGTCCTGTAGACCATGATGTTGATTGATTACTGACTGACTACATGTTATCCAAAAGGACAATGAAGAATACACGATTAAATTATTCAGTTTGGATTACGAAACTTCACCAAAAACAAGAAAGACGAAATACACTTACATGAGCTAATTGTAAATTATCACGATCTGGTAACATATTGACAAGCTTTACAGGGGGTTCCTCAGTTGACTCTAGGAATGACAGTAAACCTAATGGCTGAAATTAAAAAAAGGAATTATATCAAACTACTTGAGAAGTGTACGTAAGTCGTTTGTAAACCAATAGACTAAGTGTAGTGCTGTAGTTTGATCACACTTTGACGCTTAATACGACATTGGGTTACATATAGCCTATCATTTTGATGCAAGTGATGAATAAAAGGAGAAAGAGCGAACAACTTATAAACTAGGTTCCATGCTAGTTGGGACTAATCAGCGATCATAGGAAAGCTGATTCTCCTAGGTGGATTTAAACTCGATTCACTTAGTCTCAATGATCGATAAGTGTGAATAAATATTCTATAGGAAGTTAGTCAACTGTAGCTTGAGTAACTCAGTGATAGCGGCTCAGACTTTGTAACTGGTTGATGCAGGTTTGAATCTATCAGAGAGGATTAGTATCCATAGGAATGTGGTTGCTCTTTGCTGATAAGTGCAAAATGCCCCGAAATATGAGTCCAAGGTTTCGTGTCAATCATTTCCGACCGTCTGAAAACAAGAAACTGTCCACTCAATGTGAGTTCACTTACATTATTGACCACAATTTCAACTGGCCAATCAACATTAAGATGCAGGAAAATAGGACATTGCTCACAACTCAGTGATCAATCAATGAAAATACATAAAGCAAAATGATTATCTCAAATTTGATAACAACCCTTCAAAAATACGTTTGTTATTATAAAACGGAATGCATATTATGTCGACTGGATACTGATCTTAATAGATAATAAAATACAGTGAATGATGATCGTTAGTTGGCAAGTAATCAAAAGAATTCGCCCCCGAATGCCCTTGTTTAGTCGAAGATGGGGAGATTCAACTCTCCCTCTCTAAACGTTATCATATGACCACGTAGATACAGTCATTGCCAGGGAAGTCCTACTCACTGCCTTCTCGTGGCGGGAATAATTGTTTACGAAATTGAGAAGACCTGAGTTGGTGGACACCAAGAGTACACCTAGAGAATTTGGAAAACCTTGATTCGAAACCTACGGCACATATGGGCTCCAGTATCTTGAAGGGACAAATGCCGTATGAACCTATTGTTGGTTATCAGCTACCATGAAACTGAATCTCCAAATAGGTATCACTACCAAATTTTGATTTGATAATCTCGAATAAATTGGTTATTTATTCTCTGAAGAAGTGACTTACACTAAGTCACAAAACTTCAGAAAATCTAGGTTTTCTACTCATTAGGATATTACAAATATATTATTTATGAATCTCCAAAAGTTGCTTCACTGCATTGTGGATTAGACTTTCAGGTCAAAGGCTCGGGATGTGGCCCACCTGCTTCGTTTTGGGTACCCGGACAGTATTACATCCCTCACACAAATCGATTGACGAAATGTGGCACATATATATTTGGTGCTTCATTGTACTAAAGTTTATGTATTTAAAATGAATATAATTCGCTCGCGTAGGCGATAGCACCAACAAATAGGTAACGTTGATAATGAGGTTTACATATCGTTTACTTTCAACAAAACAAAGATTAAAGCAATCCATGAAATGATGAGCTTGTATGTGAATGATAACACATATTACAGAACTGTATGACCAAATAAGTGATCCCGATTGATGTTAAAGTAAATTGGACTTTTGTCGCTAGTCTATTCTAAAGGCTATAAACCATCGTTTGATGTATGATTCACTACCATACCCTTTACTTTTCTAAAGTTATTATAATTTAAACGTAATCTTCTGTACTCTATTTTCTTCTCTAATCCCCAGTTTTGGACATAATTGTATTTTCCTAATTGTTTGTGCATTGTGGTCTGGCTAGTCATCTAAATTATTCATGTATCTTTTTGTACTAATCTGAATTGGAATTGAGAACCGGGAATAAATCGAGTAGTGTTTCAGTCGACTCGTCTTCTCTCTCTCTCTCTCTCTCTCACTTGTAAACCAATCAAGTGATAGACTAGTTTTCGTCTTTCTACTCAATGCAGTTAGTCTCGATTCAGAATCACGCATTTCCAGTCTTAACGTCAAACCAGATAAACTATCGTGTCAAGGCCTTAAACTAAATCGAGAAAAATTCTCTCCCATACATTATTGGTTAAACAGATAAAAGATGTAACATTTTCTGTTTATGTCTTGTTCTAATCACATATTGAGAATAAAAGATCTTAATTAACAAGTCAGCCAGTCAGTAACAACGTGGAACTTCGTACGTACGTACATCAGTCCGAGTTGCCATCCCCCATTAGCACAGAGATTCAGTTATCGATTCAAACCCCGTAGTGATAGAGGTAGTGAAAGTATAAGTAGTGACATCTTAATTAACAATGAAGTCAATTATAAATAGTTTACTGATAAGACCTAGCAATTGAACACAAAGACCCTAATTTAATGTTGTCAGATTTTCTTCAAGTTAATTCTCCGCTAAACCTATTCTTCAAGCCCCCAAATGCCCTGGTACGAACGATAGTGGGGAGAGTTCGCTCTCTCCCTCGAAATGCTCTCACATGGCCACGCGTATATAACCTCTGCCAGGGAAGTCCTACTCACTGCCTTCTCGCACCACGGGTGTTGTTTACGGAAATGAGAGGACGAAAAGCGAATGTCCGGCAGGGGCTTTAACCGGATCCCAAACCAATGGTGCACATGGGCTGGCTCCAGGATCCTGAGGGAACAAATGGCGTATGAACCAATCGTTGATCACCGGCTGGCTACCATGGGACTGCAACTCTTTACGATGCTCCACTGCCTTGTGGATCACATCTTCAGGTCGAAGGCTCCGGGTGTGGTCCCCTAAGAAAACCACCTGCTTCGGTCTTGGCACCCGGGTAGTATAACAGCCCTCACACATATCAAATGAGATCTGTGCAGCGCATATGTATTTGGTGCCTCCTTGTGCCAATATCTATGTGTTAAAATAAATAAATAAATTCTCCATAGTTTCAAATGAAATTATATAAATGCTTGTAAATAATTATAATCACAATTTGTAATAAGACATAATCACTTACAAGCATTCTTTTAAATAAATCCCATGCATCTTGATTATTTTCAGACCATAATGCAACTAATTGACGACTAAGCTGTCTTGTTCACCACCCATCCAACCCAATCGAATACAATGCAGTGACATATTAAGATAAAAAAAGAAAAGAGAATTGAAAAGAAAACAAAAATTTTTATCAGTAGTATTAAGTAATATCAATCATGTTAGATAGATTAAAAGACATACGGTAAATGGTCAAATGTTAGAAAATGTTATATCAGGTATGATTGTTTAGTTAGTTAAGCCTGAAAATATTGAATTGGAGGGGGGAAAAAAGTCTTTAAATTGTTTTTTGTTGAAATTTAAGACTGCCATTGATACATCTATGTTATGATGTGTTCCCCTGTTTAGCAGATTACATTGACATAAGTTTTAATGTATTTTCATTGTGAATAAGAGTGGAATCGAAAGATCAACATTTCAAACTGCTTGTAACTCATCGCCTATAATTCATACATATTCAAGTGATGTTCCCACTATGACGGTGCTTGTGATTGAGTATCTTTCACTTAACTGTCAATACGTTTGGCTATCTAAACTCGGTAGCTCAGTACATAATAAGTTGTTGTTTGAAGTGAAAGATATCAGTTTCGAGTGCCAACGAGAAGATGCACACTAAGATCCGTACTTATTGGTTTTTTGAAAAGTCTTCATCTTCAAACTACAATTTGCATAAAACCTAGACGAATCTATTTATATAATACTAAGTTATAAAGTAGCTGTTAACTTAAGACGCCTTTCCCATACATTAGGATTTCTTTAACAATCACAGAAATTTCAGCATGAAAAGAATTATAATGTAACCCTGTTAGGTAGCATTTTGTTTGAGTAATCCTACATTGAACTTGATATTATTCAACAACAAAGACAAGTTGTCTACATGCTTTTTCACACTGATACAGACTGTCGAATACTAAGACAAGGTTATACAGTATCATCAGAAGATCGATAGAGAAAAGGAATCGATAGTAAGCCATAGATAACTTTGTACCAATGTACCAGTTGGGGTCCGCGCAACTATCGTTACCAATGGATGCAGACTCTGAGTGATATGAATCAGAATCGATCACACTGGCTTCAGTGAATACATTCTTCGCCTGTCCTTCAACCGTGAGATTAAAATCGCTTTATACCTTTATTTCTACCAACTAATATATATATATATATATATATATATATCCTTATACATAATCTTTCTTTTATATATTACTATCATTGAAGTAACTACTTCTATGAACTTGTCGTTCATCTTGTTATGCTAATGAGGTGTGTGAACTGAGACATGTTGATAGGTGTAGACTACTTGGTTGGGGACCGCGAGATGATAGCAACCGATGGTTAGAGACCTTGTATGACATGGCTCAAAATCATTTGCAATAGAGCACTTGCATCCACTCTTTGTGTTCTCCCGAATTCTAATCTTCTGAATTCTTCATGTGCTTTTCTCTTTTTTTTCTTTCCAAATTTATTTCACTGGACTATACTCCTTGAATAACATCTTCAAACCCTAATCTTCCAGACTACTGCTTAAACTCTTACTACCTCTACCACTACGGGATTCGAATCGACAACTGTATATCTGTGCTAATGTGGTGTGGCAACTCGAACTGATGTATGTAAATACGAAGTTCTACGTTGTTACTGACTGACTGAATGAGGTGTGATAACTTGGATCGATGCATATATGTGCGTGGTCCTACGTTGTGACTGACTGACTGACTGACTGACTGACCAATATACCAATTACATACAGCCTGTGTAATAAATCTTCTATAAAATTTTCGACAATCCGGTGTATAATTTGAAGCAGTGGCTTGTTAAATTAGCAACTTGACTTTGACTAACGAAGACCATAAAGCACAAATTAACATGTTATTTATATCGTAAACTTTATGAAAAATCGTGTGGTTAAAGGCTAAAATACCACGAATTTACAAAGTTGCATCACATATAACTTAAATATTGTCAGTAACCTTCTCTACAGATTACCATCATAACCCATAGCGAATTGAATAGCTGTTTCGTCTTAGCTAGGAACTCTTCAGCATAATGCACTTACAATCTCACAAAGAAACAGATCCATGATCTTCAAGTCTTGAAGTGAATGATTAATTGTTTTTCAAACAAATCATTGAACTTATTAGACAAGAATGTTCTAATTTAGTAAATTCTGTATAATTCAGTGATCATTACAATATAATCATAAAGAAAAAACAAAAACATATTGGCCAATATATATACTTAGCAACTTAAGAATAATCGATAAGTTATGTAATATATGTGTAACAAGTTGGTTACATACAGGTTCATAGTATATCTTTAATGTAAGCATACTGATGTATGATTGTTATGATTACAGTGATGATAGGTAATTTAATGCTCTTATCTAATCTCTAACACATATTACATAATAAATGTGATAACATTATTATGTAAGGGGAGTTGTAACAAATTAATGAATTTATCTATTGATAAGTTGTTGAGTAGAATTAAAAAAGCTTAGTGACAATTACTAAAATTTATCAGTTAATAATTGAAAAACACAGGCCAATTAGTAGTCTGTCTGTCAGTTAGTCCGTCAGTCAGTCAGTAATCAGTCACCATGTATAACCTGGCACGTGTATACATCAGATCAAGTTGACATACACCATTAACACAACCAGATAAAACAGCAGAATACTATAGATAGTAACAGTATCAGTGATAATACTAACATACGATTCACGAAAATATTAATTAGTCGAATGAAAGGAATGATGAGGGATTCGGAAGTCCGGAAATTGGGGACGACAGAGAACTGATTAACTCGCACTATTACAAATGATTTCAACTCACATCATTCAACCTCTCAAAACATTGGTTACGATAATCATGTGAACTACAACAAGATAGTCTATACTTTTTAACATGACTCAGTCCATTTGTCAGGGACTTTATGGACTGGTGTCGTATTTTCTTTTGGCCTCTTCCAGTTATCTTCTCTCATACTCTTACCATCACCAGACAACATCGAACGTCGAAGTAGTTGGTGGTTAGGCATACGTAATACACATCCCAACCAACTCAGTTGATGATGATTTACCACATTGTCAATTGATTTAACATAATTGCCTAATCTTCTATTCCTAAACCAGATATTGATTACTCAGTGGTCTCAGAATACATAGGTAATGGTCCGAAGACATCTATGATCGAATACTTATAATGCATGAATATCATCTAATCTTAATAACGATGTTTCACACTTATACAGTAGAAAGGAGCAAACTGCTGTGCAGCAGACCTGTCGTTTGTCTGGCAGACAAGTATCTCACCTACGCCACAAGTGACACTTCCTGAATCCGTGTCGATAATTCATCAGACACTATATCTTCAGGATTGATGAGACTCACAAGATCAGTGAAGAGATCGACACACTCAACTACTTCATTCCCTATCATTAATCCAGATGCTGACGCAAACCAATCAATACTCTAGCTAGATTTTACATTTAGAGGGAGCGAATCACATCCCAAACATACTTGAATTGTTGCTTAAGATGGTCTGAATACTCTACATTTTGTCAGCGACTTCACAAACCACAACTACATTATCTGCGTATTCCAAGTGAACAAGTGGATCTCCTGTTGGGAGAACAACCTCTCAAATGTCAGATCGTAGTAGTGTTAACTCTAGAAATATATTTTATGACGGTTAAATAAGAATGGGTGAAGTGGACAGTTGTGACTTGACCAGTAGTGTTGAAGTAGATAACCTGGACAACTTTAATATAACTTTTGGTAGACATTTCAATAAAAGACATTACCACAGAACTTCAGGATCAACGAAGTTCAATGCTAGCTATCAAGAAATAAAACTAATGTCGAACATCGGAAAGTATTTTGATTTTCCAGAACCTGCCGAAGGGTGAATATTTGGTCTATACATTCATTGCTACGTCTAAAACCAGCCTAAACATTTTGAAGATCGCTCTTTACGAGCTTTAGTTAGACGTCGAAGTATTATTCAAGCTAAGTATAGTTTTATTGTACTTGAGTTTGAGGGTAATACCGTTTTATGTACGAAGGTTGTTGATATTAACAGGCTTTCTGATATTAAATAGAGCGGCATTCAAAAAGTGAGACCTAAGTTTTACAAAAACTATTTAGTAAATCATCAAATATGTGCAAATTGAGACTCTCCGTTAGATGTAAACCAGTTCAACACGATCATCTGATTGTTGAAGAAGTTATCGCTCAGCTATAGACCTTTTTGAACGACCGAAGTTATTTATATTGATGGATTGCGATGTATTAGACAATGACATGTTTGCCTAGTCCTCATACCTGTTACGTTGGAAAGTGGATGGCTACTAGTCTAAGTGACTCAACGTTTCGTACACTATAATTTGATATTAAATGCCTTGAAGTATTCATTAGGGAGATTTACATAGAGGTTTTGTGTGAATTATCACACATTGTTAACAAATTGTGACATTAAGAGTAAAGGATAAGTTATATGAAACCAGAAAAGAATATATGTGAGTGAATGGTAAGAGATGACATAGGTTATCGGGGACATTGACAATAGACATTTTTCCTCAGGTATCCAACACTCAGAAACTTATAAACAGGGATAGAGACCATACTGATTGGTTCGATGTAAGATTACCACTATACTAATATTGTATTATTATGATTTCAAACATTTATTACTCACGAATAATTCTGTTCCTACTGACTATCATTCGTAAGCGTAAAACAAACGTGATAAAAATGTATTAGGCGGCTAAAAATTCAGGAGTAAACGCTGGATCAAGGTCTCGTATTAGTAAGGCCTATCTGTAATTAATATTGACATCTCACTTGTACCATCGATTAATTCCGATCAAAATGAATCAATAGTAATACCTGATTGAGGTATTCCAATCTTAAAAAGAGTATATATTCCCTCAAGGTTATAGGCACGCCTTGGTGACGAGTGCGAACTAGAGTTTGCTGACGAACATCCTCAACCACCTAACATTAAAATATAGTGTACATAATGCCTAGTTACTGAAACTAGTAGCCAAAAAGAACATTAATCGATCAATTTCGATCAGAACCAAGAATCAGACACATATGAACATTAGTTACTCATCAGTGATAAGTTAAAATTAATTGAATGTTAATATGTTCTTATTATCTCATCTACTTGATAAAAAGTGTAATTATTCAATAGAAAGATTGAAAATCTAATTAGAAAGCATAGATCAAATAAAAACTTACTGCACAGCTAAACTTCGTGGATCATTTCCTTGAGTAAAACAAGCAGTCCAAAAATGATGTAACAGTGCACCTTCAGTTAAAGCTAAACTACGTAATTCTTTAGCAACATCTGTTCCACCTTCTTCAATTAATGCACGCATTATCATACCTCCACCACGAACAATAGCTAAGCTTGGATGCTACAGTAAAGATTAAATATTGCATGAAACATACATATACAGGGAAATATGTGTTAATAACTATGATGATAAATTATATGTTATTGTAAGAATGCACAGTAAAAGAGAGATGTTGACCTAAACGCCTCATTTTTTAATGGACAAATGAGTGAGCACTGAAGAGTTTAGACTTAAGATAATAGCTAGAGCAGATGATGAAACTGTGATCACTGGTTGATTTGGATGAGAAAATTTGTGATTTATGCCCATCCAGAGACTACATCGATCTCCGAAGAACGCAGGTGTAGGGGTAAGTCAGAAAAAAACTAGAGGCAGTCAAACTAACATATGACAATAGTCCATAAAGTGATTGAATGTTGAACTGAACCATTCGATAAGGACTTCCTGATTCGAGTTGTGATCGATGGTTAGAGAATTTGAATAGTAACTCAAAATTCATCACAGTAACACAAACATTTCCATGATTGATATCCCGATTCTTTTGCTTCATTGCTTCCTCTCAAATGATATTCTCTGTTTAGTATTTCTCTACCAAGCATTATTTCAACTCTTTTGTTACGGTATCTTGTTGACTGTATCATGCTATAGTGCTGATATAGTGTAGCAACCTTAGTTAATGCCCATTTGAGTCGTATTCTTCATTGATTATGACTGATTAATAAGTATACCATGAATTCTAGTTTTAATTTGACGAAAATGACAGAACCATATGGTAAAAACATTCATTTGTTCACCATATCAATATCATCGCCTTGGTCGAATAGAACAACAGAAGAAATAGTATGAGACAAATTTTTCAGATGAAATTGAGTCCCCAAAGTATTTGATTCCAAATCTTACATTCTGGTCTCAGAGTCATTGACAAAACATCACTAATCAGATCGATATAAAACAAAAGTAATGTCAGAAAATCACAATGAATAAGTGAATTAAACAACAAGATTTCATCTATTGAGTTATAGGTTTGAACTACGACTCATTTACTTTAGCTTGAAGTCAAGCAGTATAACGAACCTTCACATTGATAAGTATGGAACGATGGCACACTAGTTAAGGGGTTCAATTCCAAACCAATGCCACAGGTTCGAACCCTGCTCCACTTACTTCAGTTCGGCCAACCGAATGGTATCAATATTTCTTATAATTAAAGTTTGGTTACATAGATGACCTAGCTTGTCTACCCCATACACAGCATCAAATGCAGCTGAAGACAGCCAGTATAATGGCAGTCTCTAGAGCACACAAAGGAAAAAGTAAGACCCTGCACATAGAAAGCACCAATCTAATCACACTTGACGGAGAAATTCTGGTTCCAGCTGAGGAGGAAATTAGGAAAAGACGTTAGAGGTGGGTAACACATAAATTACCGAAATCATCAGTATAAGGTTGTGAAGATTGTTGAGTTTAGACTGATATCCCTAATGGTTCAATGTTTGGCCACCATTGAAAACATGGAAGCATGGGAAGGTCGTTTCTCTAAAGTATGGGAGACTTCAATAGTGCACACACACCATCCTGCACGTGGGAATCGAATCCAAGATATTCGGTTTCGCGCGCGAACGCTTAATCTCCAAACCATTGAACCGACCAGCATCCAATTCACGATATTGCGCAACCATCCACCGCTGTCTTCAGTAAGTAACTGCTTCACAACAGATACGGTTGAACTCCACTGGTCACTATTTCTCACTAGAACTCAAAAAAATCCATCTTGAAGCTAGTCACTAGTGAGCACATGATGGATACCGGTTCAATGGTCTAAGGGTTAGGTGTTTGCACGCAAGACTGAAGGTCCTGAGTTCTGATTTAGCGTGCGGGGTCGTGGATGCGCACTGCTAAGGAGTCCCATATTACGGGAATCATCGAAATATGTCACGATGTAAGCCCTAACTTGAAAACCTGAAGGTGAAAGGAAAAGAGGCAGTCCAAAGAACACATTGTATCGAGACTCGGAAGCAAGCATCAAATGGATGAATAGTAACTGGTATAACTGGAAAGAAGAGCCGAGAAGAGAGCTGGTTGGAGAATCCAGATCAAATGCCTATGCTCCTCCACGAGGAGTAACAGGTGTAAGTAGGAAAGGAAGATATTATTATCATTATCAAGACTATGAAACAATTTCTATTAAAAAAAAACTTACAAGATATAATCGAAACAATGCACGACCACGATTAGCTAATAAACGTAGTAAATTATCGAATAATCCACCTTCAGATGTTTCAGAATATGGTAAACAAACACCATAAGTAAAGAAGTCTAGTAAAGCACAAAGAACTAGTGAACCACTTCCACGTAACTAGAAAAATTAAACACAGTAAAATCATCTAATTTATCTATGTATATGTATGAGAATGAATAGAAATCATAAAATCATTCAATAATTGAAATAATCCTATTTAATACCGACGAAGTAAGGAAAAATCTTTATCCCCGAGCTGTATTATATATGACCTTGAGGACCTAGAAGCTTCCAGAAAACACTCTAGATTTCTTAACCAAATCGATAGTTGTCTGATTGAGATAATGAAAACATAGTCCATTGTTTTCTAGATTTATCTTGAAGATCTTTAAACAATGCTGATCGGCTGAAGTATTTTTAGAAATCTTTTTTGCGTCTTTTGAAGACATTTTCGAGGAATTACGAAACGTTTTCAACAGTATCATATCACAATGATGTTTTAGATAGCGAATGTAGTAATTTTAAATAACATTAATTAAATTATAGAATAGATGGAATAATCATCACAATTGTACAAATACTATGTTGCCAAGACCGAATAGGGAAAATATCAAATAAAAACTAGTCTTTCTACACTCTTTGTGTTCTCTCTAACTCCAATCTTCTGAATTCTTCAGGTCCTTTATTTTCTTTCCAAATCTATTCCACTGGATTATACTCCTTAAATAACACCATCAAACCCTAATGTTCCCTATCACTACTTATACTTTCACTACCTCTACCACTATGGGATTTGAATCGATAACTGAATCTCTGTGCAAATGTGGTATGGCAACTCGAACTGATGTACGTATGTACGAAGTTCCACGTTGTTACTGACAGACTGACTTCTACACGAAAACATGTAGTGTTTAGATTAGTTTAGAATATAAAAAGGAGAATATGTGTACGATAAGTCAGTGAACTAGTGATAAACTTGCACTGGTTAAACTCAACTAATATTGACATTGAAAGATCTATCTCCAATCTCTAACGGATGATGATAGTGATCAGAAGTTTCTTAATACGAACAAAAAGCAGTCATTCACATTAAATTATGGTCAATAATGGTTGTCTAACTAAAGCCATTCCATGATGTTAACTATATTATAAAACAAACAATCACTGCAAATACTTCAGATTCTAATGAGTGAAACTGGTTAATCAGACTATTGATCTGTATGTAAATCAATGAAACATTAAAACAACTGTTTGTTTTAAAGTTAACAAAATGATAGTGTATTCTGTCTTTTATTAGAGGTAACAGACATTACGATGTATCTAAGATTCTTTCGTCTTTTTAGATTATCTCAAAGAAAAAACAGATCACTATTTCGAATGATTCATCATCTTATCCTGTATCAAAATGATACTGGGACTCAAGAACTGGAAGATCGAGTAAATACATAACAGTCATATCGTCTAACATCTTCATCGGTTAGTCATAATGATCGTGTGGATTCTAAATGGATGGTTTACATCTACAAACATGGTTCAAACTAACAGTTAATGACTTCATGAAATGATTTCATTATCGGCAACATCGAGCATCGATGTAAGCGAAGGTTAAGTATATGTAATACATGTTTCAACTGCTACAGTTGATGGAGATTGACTATCACATCAACCAATTTGTCATTTTTGTCCAGTAACCTATGTCTACGTTTAACATTGCCCACTTGATCGTAGTATGACATATGAGCAATGTTTAGAAGACATGTGTGATTAGCAACGTTGAGAATCGTGTGAATTGACGTTACACTTTTTAAAATATACCTACTAGTGAAAAAATTATGATTATAACAATATTATTTCAATATGTTGAATAAAATAAACGGTAAAGTCTTGATCCATTTTCAGATACCAAAACATTCTAAACGGAGAAAAATAAGAACAGATTCCAAGAGACTGTAATATCATTCCAAGGAGAGCAGGTAGGTAAGTCATTAGAACACTTTTCAACATATAAAAGATAAGGTTCCTTGTCAATCCTAGACAAACGACAATGATCTTAAGATAATATAGTCAATAGAATGGCATATGTAAAATGATTCCATTACACCTACGACTAAGTTCAAGTATAGATATTGCATGATAATCTTTGAAATGTATACAAACGTCAAGATAACTGATCCCGAATTGTTTACGACTTTCTAAAATTCCCCATCTTAGTAATTATTGGTTAGGTACTAGTGAGTATAGTTTCGAGATGAATCTACGAGTTCCCAGTGAGATTAAGTGGCCAGTTGACATTGAAAATATTAGATATGATAGGCTGTATGAGGATAGATAAATTACATGTTTAAATTTAAGAATCGTTTCAAGATCAAACGGTAGGCGAGACGTTAAAGAGATATATTATAGGAGGTAGTCGACCACGCACATGCTCACGGTTTCAATCAATATGGCCTAGACTGAGTCAGCATTATAATCGGATATCTATTCATGATTTATGCACGTTATGATTCAAGTTGTTAAATGAATCTTCCTACTCATTTTATGATTTGGATTTACACAATAGGTTTAACATTAGGAAGTATATATTGTAACTGCATCTGACTGCAAAACAAAACAAGAAATGAAGATGTCATCATGGTATACCTCTAAGTAACTGATAATTCAGAGCAGCATTATTAAACATTTACTAGTTAAAATGATCATGTGGATCCTAACCAAGTAGTTTGCAACTATAAACATGGTTTAGACCGACAGTCCATCACTTAATGAACTCATGTCAAATTCTGATTTCGCTACCGCTAGCTTTAATCACACTTGCTTCGACGTCGTGCCTTGAGACAAGTGGTTGTTGTGGATAAGTACAACATTTCCCAAACTTTACTTTTATATCTAGAAGGTTGATTACTTGATAGACCGCGTATAACGGAACACTAGAATGCCAAAACCCTTCCAAGTTGCAAGGAGAAGACAGAAGACTAGTGAAAGGAATGACATTCCTTACAGTGTCAATTATGGTACAAATTGTCAGGTATTTATAGTTTTTAGTAAGAACAAAAATCATCATTATAGTCCTCCAATCCGCATACAGGGGGTTATTAGCCTTGTCCAATAGGGAAGCTACACGTAGGAATTCAAGAATATTCTTCCTAACGGTGATTGGATGGAATATCTTCGGCTCATTCTGAGCCTCTTATAGCTTCCTCGAGTTCACCCGCGGTCCGTCGTCACATTTACAATCAATGAATATCCATAAACTTATCAACCAATTCACTTTTTTCGCTTATTACAATTACTCAATAGTAATAAATAAAACCAATTGATGAGAAACAACAATAACAATAGTAAAATACTTACAGCATGTAATGTGAATATATCAACAAGATGAGATAGAAATATTTCACTAGACATGATAGATGCTTTATTCAATTGTTCTTGTCTAATATCTGGTTGATCATGCATTGGATGCATTAAAGTATTAATAGCATCTAAGACAGAATGTGTGACAGCATCATCACGTAGTTTTAATGCATTCACTACAAGTTGACCTAATGTTACACGCATTCTATATGAATGTAGAAAAATGAACAAAAGAAATGATTTAAAAACTATCAACATTGTTATAATCGTTATATATTACATGTATGTAAATACAGCTATTAACTGAATGGTTAAAGAGTACGACTTTAAACTACTAAGTCATACCAACTATTTTGGCCCCAAATGCCCTGGTACGGCCGGGAGTGGGGAGAGTTCGCTCTCCCTCTCCAAGTGCTCTCACATTGCCACGCGTATATAGCTTCTGCCAGTGAAGTCCTACTCAATGCCTTCTCGCACCACGGGTGTTGTTTACAAAAATGAGAGGACGAAAAGCGAATGTCCGGAAGGGGCTTTAACCGGATCCCAAACCAATGGTGCACATGGGCTGGCTCCAGGATCCTGAAGGAACAAATGGCGTATGAACCAATCGTTGGTCACCGGTTACCATGAGACTGCATCTCCTTACGATGCTCCACTGCCTTGTGGGTCAGACGTTTAGGTCGAAGGCTCGGAGTGTGGCCCCCTAAGAAAACCACCTGCTTCGGTTTGGGTACCCGGGCATTATCATAGCCCTCACACATATCAAGTGAGATCTGTGCAGCGCATATGTATTTGGTGCTTCCTTGTATCAATATCTATGTGTTAAAATAAATAAATAAGTAAAACCGGATAGCATCGTTAGCTATGACAATTGCAGAGTGGCTCATACACAAGTAACTAGTGAATGAATTAACTTTCCAAAACAAAAAACGAAGCATAATCGCGCAATTCACAATGCTTCTTTGAAGTACAGTCAGTTACAATGTATAACCTGATACGTGTATACATCAAGCCTCTAGGTTTTGTAATCTATCCCTAACAAGGTCACAAGTAGGTACTGCTGAAGGGTCCAATATTGGGATGAAACAGCTATCTCGCATTGTACGACTATTCAACGATCGCTTCACTGAAAGTCCAGTCCATGATTTAGACCACATACTAAACAATTGCCAAAACATACCCAAATAAATAATACAGAAAATAAAAATAAATCAATAATTTAACGCTTTTATATCTTAACAACCAAAAACACATAAAACTAACCCCGGTAATTGAGTGAAAGCATTAAATCCTGCTTTTGATGCAACCAGTCGACGTAATGCATGAAATTGTGCTTCAATTAAAATTAATTCATAATTAGAATTAGTGGTATTATTATTAGTAGTAGTAGTATTATCAGTAGTATAATGTAAAGATGATGATGATGATCGTCTAATAGATGTTGAAGGATTTCCATCAATTATACGTGTATCTTGTGTAAGAATACTAACCAATGCATCTTTGATTAGTTTCTCTTTATTTTCTGCAAAAACACCCTGAAAATAAGTTAGAATAGGATGAAAAAAATAACAATAAATTTAGATAAAGAAAACTAGAACTTTGAGATATAATCTCTCAGTTACTATATCTAGCATAGAGATACTAGTAAATAAAACTTAAACAAATATGTAATATTCAGTACAGGATTGTGGAGATTGTTGAGTTTTTATTGAGATCATGAACTGATCAGTGCTAAGTCACTACTAAAAACCTGGAAGCACTAGATGGTTGGTTCGTCCAAGTATGGGACTCTTTAGCAGTACACAAGATCGAATCTCCTGGGTTCGTGTCCCGCGTGCAGGATTGTGGGTGTGCACTATTGAGGATTCTCATACTGGGACGAACAGGGCGTTCAGTGATTCAAGCTTTTCAATGGTTGTCTAACATTGTTCGGTTCATGAACTCAATAAAATGCGAAATAGATAGTTGTTTCCTTATAGTATGAGACAATTAAAAAAAATGAGCAAATAATGCTGATTATTGACTTAATTCCTAATACTGAAGATCTAGTGGGAATTGGTGGTTGCATAGAAGTTAAGACATGTACGGAGTGAAGCAATCGTCGCTAATAACACTGAATGAACGTCATGTTAATTCGTGAATTTATTAAACGTAAAAAATTACATCATCAGAGTGAGATTTGAATGTTGTACTTTCTATGACTAACGAGGTCGTGAGTATTACTGAGGACCTTTATTCCTATCACCGAAAGGCGTACCAAAAATTACATTAAACTTGTACAGGTTCTCTACTTCAACACTACTGGTCAAATCACAAATGTCATCCGAGTTGATTACTTCAAGTGGTGTTCGTCAGAACTGTACACCTTACACATTTTTATTTAACTTTCACATAAAATATAATTCTAGAGTCAACACTACTACGCTGCTTAAACCATCATATTTATCCAAAAACGTTAACACTACTACGATCTAACATTTGAGAGGTTGTTCTCCCAACAGGAGATCCACTTGTTCACTTGGAATACGCAGATAATGTAGTTGTGGTTTGTGAAGTCGCTGACAAAATGTAGAGTATTCAGACCATCTTAAGCAACAATTCAAGTATGTTTGGGATGTGATTTCCTCCCTCTAAATGTAAAATCTAGCTAGAGTATTGATTGGTTTGCGTCAGCATCTGGATTAATGATAGGGAATGAAGTAGTTGAGTGTGTCGATCTCTCCACTGATCTTGTGAGTCTCATCAATCCTGACGATCTAGTGTCTTATGAGATATCGACACAGATTAAGAAAGTATGCCGAACCACCAACTACTTCGACGTCCGGTTTTGTCTAGTGATGGTAAGAGTATGGTGGAAGAAGACTGGAAGAGGCCAAAACAAAATACGATAACATTGCATAAAGTCCCTGACAAATGAAATGAGTCATGTTATCAAGTATAGTCTATCTTTTTGTAGTTCACATGATTATCGTAACCAATGTTTTGAGAGTTTGAATGATGTGAGTTGAAATCGTTTGTAATGGTGTGAGTGTATCAGTTCTCTATCGTCCCCCAATTTCCGGACTTCCGGATTCTTCATCATTCCTTTCATTTGACTAATTAATATTTTCGTGAATCGTATGTTAGTGTTACCACTGATACTGTTACTATCTGTAGTATCTTGTTATTTTGTCTGAGAATTTTTTTCATCTGATTGTGTTATTGTTGTATGTCAACTTGAACTAGTGCGTACACATGTTCGGTTATACGTTATGACTGACTGCTTACTATATCTTAGTAGTAGTCAAATAGAGGTCCATTGAAGATGGATATCACCTACAAATTAAACTGATATCCACAAACTCCACAAAAGTCATTTGCTTGAACTCTTCCTTTGTTATAGCATTCACTGATAACTACTTAGAAATAGTAATCGTACTCTGTCGAACAAATGTGAATGTTATCATCAAGAGTCAGTTTAATGTTACAACTATTAAACTAACTAATAACATTACTGACATGGTTGAATAAGCAGAATCGATAATCCACTCATGTAGTGAATTACTGAAAATCACCTAACCGCTTAGTTACGAATTCTCTTATGATTGCAAATATACCGTACCGACGAAGAAATCTACATCTAGGGCTTTATGTTGATCGCTTTAACTACCTAAGCTCACGAGTATCTCCTCTATCGTCGAATCCAATGAACTAAAATACCGAAAAAAATATGAAGATGGATAAATACTATAAGAAAATATGTATGTTAACCATTTATTTCCTCTTACATCTTGAGTAACAGCATGCAATAAACCACTGTAGGCAATGTTAGCATTGAAACGTTGTACTACTTCCCAAAATGAAACACCCTCTATAAAAAGTCAAACGAAGAGAACTAACATAAATCACTGGAAGATAATGAAGAGAGATATTACTTAGTTAGGAAAGTTTATCATTATCGTATGAATTATGTCATAAAAGAAAACACTAAATGTTTTAGTACGGGTGAGCATTTATTGCCTGATCCAAAGGAGTCCTATTTACAGTCTTCATGTTCCCTAAAATGTTTCCAATAAGAATGATAGAACGAAAGTGATCGTTCGATACCTAGATTGCGTTGGTGGGTAGTAAGTAGTAGGGATTTAAAAAATTCTGATTCTAAATCAACAGTGTACATGAGTTTCAAGTTCTAGAAAAAATAAATGTCTCAAAAACTTACTCTGATCATCGGCTACAGTAGAATTGCCAGTGAACCTTGCCTCACTGTCTTATGGACTAGACTGCCCCCAAATGCCCTGGTACGGCCGAGAGTGGGGAGAGTCCGCTCTCCCTCTCAAAATGCTCTCACATGGCCATGCGTATATAGCTTCTGACAGGGAAGTCCTACTCAATGCCTTCTCGTGGCGGGGGTGTTGTTTACGAAAATGAGAGGACGAAAAGCGAATGTCCGGCAGGGGCTTTAACCGGATCCCAAATCAATGGTGCACATGGGCTGGCTCCAGTATCCTGCGAGAACAAATGGCGTATGAACCAATCGTTGGTCACCGGCTACCATGGGACTGCATCTCCTCACGATGCTCCACTGCCTTGTGGGTCAGACGTTCAGGTTGAAGGCTCGGGTTGTGGCCCTCTAAGAAAACCACCTGGTTCGGTTTGGGCACCCGAGCAGTATCACAGCCCTCACACAAATCAATTGAGATTCGTGTGGTGCATATGCACTTGGTGCCTCTCTGTACCTATACTTATGTGTTAAAATAAATAATAAATAAATAAATGGACTAGACTAAGTCAAAGGGTTAGGGATGATTTATCGTGCGGAAGTAGTGTCCCAGACCATATACATTTGATAAGGAATACTATTGAAGAAAACGAAGAACATGGACTACTAAGTCCATTACTTATCTAAAGAATAAGTGACTCAGATGGAATAGCTAATTACAATGCAAATAGACAATAATATGGTACACACAAAAAAAAAAGAATACGATCCTAAAAACATTTTTTTTGTATACAAACGGTAAATAAAGTAGTTGACTGTTAAATTCGACAATAATTAAAAATGAACTGTTAAATGCCTGAAAGTAGGTAGTAGGCAGAAAACTCTGCTTGACTAAGGTTTTATGCTCTTTTGAACTCGTTAGCAATGTGTGACCGTAATTACACAACAATCCATGGTTGTATTATCTAATTAAAAGATTATTCTTTCTGAATTAGATCTTAATGATGACATTATTGTCCCAAGAAGACAATATAATAACTTCATCAATATATTATCTAGCTTCATGAATAAAATACATTCAAAAAGACAATTATAGAAAAACATGTGAGATCTTTTACATGAAATATTACTACTATACTACGATAATAAGACTGGATAAGATGATCGAGTTCATAATACCACTAGATTGGAGATTTGAACAATCCTGTATACATAGACTAGATCATGTTATAACATATAATCGATTCACTACCAAGAATAGAGAACCAAAGTAAAGCTAACCAACACTTGATTTCATACAATTAGAATCAGTCACTCGCATTGAGTTCGTAGTAGAAATCAATAAAACGAAAAGAAATAACATATTTAATAGTCGATAATTTGAGTACTTGTTTGTGTTTACTCAGTGAACAATCATTTAGTTTCATTACCATAAAACTGATGGCTAAATGTAGTAGATAGAAAACTCTCATAATTGTAAGTATGCTTTGTGGATAAGTACCAACTAGCGTGAAACCTAGACAAGGTTTCCTATCGACTGATTTCAATCACCTAATATCAATACACATTACAGGCTATATCGAATTACTTAGATCAGTGACTAAATTACAACTTGATAGACAGGAATTTGATCAACATTAAAAAAAGAATTAGATAAATATAACATTAATCAATATTCATCAGTGATCAATTAATTGTTTACATATCATAGTATATGCATGCATATATATAGAGAGATATAGATATCATGTACCTGGACGTTGACGTAAAAATCTTAAATGTACTGATTCAACTTCTTCAGTTGCTGAATTCATTAATGGAATAAAACGTAAACTTCTATCAGAGAATGAACTGGACACATAAACATCACGATTACCACTGGCACGTACACCGTCTAACAATGATGCTAACAAAGCATCTCTAACACACACACGAAATAAAGGGGATTTAGAAGTAGAAGGATAAACAATTAATCATTTAAAAATAAAATAATATTTAAATTAGTCTGTTTATCAATATTTGAACTAAAAGGACCCCTAAATGTCCTAGTAAGGTAGAGGATGGAGAGAGCCCACTCTCTCTCTCCAATTGCTCTCACATGGCCACGCATATACAACCCATATCAGGGAAACCCTATTCACTGCCTTCTCGAGGTAGGGGTGTTGTTTACCAAATTGAGAGAACAAAAAGCAAATGTCCTGTACTTTACCCGGGTTGGTGGACACCAAGAGTCCACCTAGAGGAGTTGGAAAAACCTTGATTCCGAAACCTACGGTACATATGGGATCCAGGATCCTGAGGCAACAAATAGCGTATGAACTTACTGTTGGTTACCAGCTAACATGGGACTGTATCCACTAACTTGTGGATTAGAGTGATCCCTTAAGAAAACCATTTACTTCGGTTTGGGCACCTACCTGGGCAATATCACAACCCTCACACAAATTAGTGATAACCACTACTGACCTCATTGTTCTTGTGTGGCGTATATGCATTTGGTGCCCCCTTGTATCAATGTTTATGTGTCCAAATAAATAAATAGTAAATAGCGAAATGAACTACATACTTTCTAGGTATTGACGTTTACATAACTGAATTTATTCAATTTCTACATTATTACCAATTATAAATTGATTCTATATTATTATATAATGACGAGGAGTGAAATGTAAGACTCATGTTTCGTTTTGTTTAAAACTCATTATCTGAGATGTTACCTACATTCCAGTATTGATGTTTAAATTGAAATTTGAACTCCATAACTATCACTTTAAACATCGATGCATTATCCACTAAACTACTGAGTTCAAGTAGTCACTATCTTATTCAAAAGGTAAGAATTCATCTGTTAGGGGTATGAAGTTTCTCATAGTCAATGTTCAGAACTTCAATGGATATATTTTTTAAAATTTCTTTGAATGAACGTAAAAAGATAAAACTGATTACCTTGAAATTGAGGAAAGGATACATGTCTGAGAACTTATAGCGCATTCCAAACGAAACTATACACGCACTTAGTGGTTGATCCTCAAGGCCATATTATTAATCACTATGTATTTCACACTGTAATATATTTCTAGTTTATGATAGGTTACACCTGGTTAAAATAATTGACTCTAAGACTAATAAACCTTAAGTTCAAAGGTTCCTTTATCTACTTCAATTTCACATATATCTACATACTACTTATTACTAACGTTTACAGAAACAATCAAATATCAAGCAGGAATACAAAACCTTGAAATTGGTAAATGAGCTTGCCATTCATTCATCACTTCCATTATTGATGACTAGATGATAAAGGGGTTAAAATCTCTTTTTATGAAATAATTGCATTCGTTGAATTGTTCAATAGGATTAAATGTAAGTACCTGGTCAGTATTGTAACAGAAATAATAATAAAAGGCTGTGGTACAATTTACCTGTTAGTGGAAAAATATGTGGCAATTTGTCCACGAACATATTCAATAGAAAATCTTTGTGGTTGAAAACGATCACGAACAAGTAAATGTATCTATAGGATAAACAATAAATTATAACACAGTTAGTATAGTCAAAGATAAGTTTTAAAATATAAACATAAGTTTACTTAGTGACTAATTTCAAGATAAGTTATAGAGATTCTAGTTTATAGAATTGCTGGGGGACGTTAGATCCTCAGAACTCACTTGGAAAAGAACCTAAGTTTGTAATTTTATTTAGAAAATTTGAATTTCTTTGTTTTTGCGCCAAAAGCGCTCTTTTCACCTTCATGTCGTATTTCCCACTTAGGAGAATCTTAAACGCTATTGGTCCGTTGTGTCTTTTTTAGTATGCTATTTTGTAACCCTTCCCAAGGACGATTTTGTGCTGTATATATACGTTTTGATTTGCGTCTGTTGTTATGACTCGTGCTTCTGGCTTTTTGAGGAATATACTTCCCCGTTCGGAATTCGACTCCTATCTCTAGTTAGCGGGGCTGAGACGCAATAGAATAGCTCGTTTATTAGTCTTTGGTCACAAGTCTTTGTTCCGTTCACAGACTAAGTGAACTCGTAATCTCTTCAAACCTAGTAAAAATGTAACTAATGGAGTTCACAACTATGTTGTGAGACATTGATAGATGATGATCACGCTATATCACGAATCATTTAGATTTAGGAAATGAAGATCATCGAATGTAAATTTATTGGTTTAAAAAATAATCTATTCACTACAAAAGCTGATTGTAATGGATGGTGCTACATTTCAAGTGATACCATAGATGGACACGATTGAAGGAGTCAGTCACAAATTAGAATAAAACAACTGTCTAATTCTTCTTCAGTTGAAAATGGTTATATCCAAAAGGAGTTAGTCTGTTTTTGATGGAGTTATGTTCTCTGAGCTAGATGGTTTGGTCATGAAGCTCTCATCGTTCTTCTGAACGACATCATCAGCATAAACGGTAGGTAGAAATGAAGTGTTCGAGTTCGTTTGTGAAAAAAAGTTATCTCATAATTACATTAATATCATCAATTAGCCCATTAAACAACACTGAGTTTTATCTTATTAAGTACAAGTCAACTGTTTCTATTACAGCCTTCTAACAGTCTATTGTATATTTGAACAATCAATCAGAAACACACCATAACATATAGTACAAACGTAGGTTATTCCAAATTTCCACTCTTCGTATCCATACAGTGATGAAGGAAGTTAACAAGATGAGAATTAAACTATACAAAATAAGGATAATCTTGTTCAAAAGAAATGAATTTCATTGAAAAATGAAACACTTAGGAATGACAGTTGAATATTTGAAGAACTTACTTCACATAGTGGATGAGCAGAAACTGGACGATAACTAGTTGGATCTCTTTCTAATAACAATGATTCAGTTAAACACATTAGACGGGAAACTGTTTTCATTTGATTTGTAGCACCATAACGATTAGATAATTTTTGTACAGTAAATTCAGCTTGAGAAATTAAATGATCTTGACTGTATGAAGAATAGAAAATGAGTATTAAAGAATTTAACAAAACATTAACAAATAGTGAATGAGTAAAACCTGTTTCGAACACCACATTGAAGCATTACACGACATATTTGGAAGTTACTTATTTACTTAAGCCTGTTACTCCTAATGGAGTATAGGCCACCGAGAACCAATCTCCAGCTCACTATTTCCTCGGCCTTCCACTCCAGTTCTATCCAATTCTTGTTCATTCTTCTCATGTCTGTCTCCATTTCTAGGAGTAATGTGTTCTCTGGTATCCCACTTCTCTTTTAGTTTTGAGAATTCCAGGTGAGGGCTTGCCTTGTGACACAGTTCAGTGCTTTCCTCAATGTGTGTCCCATCCATTTCCAGCGGTTCTTCCTGATTCCTTCCTCCGCTGAAATCTGATTTGTTCTCTCCCACAGCATGTTGTTGCTAATAGTGTCTGGCCAATGAATCTGAAGTATTTTGCATAGACAACTGTTAATAAACACTTGTATCTTCTGGACGATGGCTTTCGTAGTTCTCCAGGTTTCCGCCTCATACAGTAGAACTGTCTTCACATTTGTATTGAAAATTCTGACTTTGGTATTGGTTGGCAGACAGTTTTTTTGAGTCTCATATCTTCTTCAATTGTAGATATATTGCACTTGTTTTGCCGATCCGCGCCTTCACATCTGTGTCAGATCAATGATGCTACCTAGGTATATAAAAGTTTTCACATCTTCCAAAGCTTCTCTGTCAAGTGTTATTCGATTAGTGCATGTTGCGTTGTATCGGAGAATCTTGCTTTTGTGTATGTTGAGACCTACTGTTCCTAAGGCTGCTCGTACACTAGTCGTCTTTTCCTGTAGTTGTTGTTGCGTGTGCGATAGAAGAGTCAGATCATCAGCGAAGTCTAGATTATCCAGCTGCATCCTAGCTGTTTGCTGTATCCCACGTTTCCCCCAGATGTTAACGTCTTCATAATTCAGTCGATCACCAGGAGAAAGAGAAAGGGTTAGAGTGAGCAACTTTGCCTGACACCGGTCTTTACTTTAAACGAGTCTGTGAGCTGTCCTCCGGGAAAAAAATATTTGGAAGTATTGTTTGATAATGATAACATTATGAAGTGAGAAATGTTGTAATTGTTTTACAAGACTAGATAAGTGAAAAGAATCAATTGGTAATTTTATTGATTAGGATCGGGTTTTATATGCTAATTGGCTATGAAGACATCTTAACATACTGTTACACTATCTCAAATCGCATATTTCCATTACTTATTTCTGTATGTGTTCATACACATAAACAGACGCTAACTGGTAGACATAATCAAATGTGACACACTGATTTGTTCAGAACCATTTGAAACGATTAGAAGCTTTCTCTCAATGATGGTCAACCGAGCAAAATGGGTCTTCTCGACGGATGTTTCTAGCCACCATTATGCGACTGAAGGTGGACTAACAATGTGTCACAATGATATTAAAGTTATTGAGCATAACAATTTCAGATAAGGGCGACAAGGTTGATAAGTAACAATTTTTTTACAAGGGTAATGAGATAACACTCGGAGTGAAAACTCGTGATTCTTTTGTATGTGACACTATAATACTTATCTTTTATTTAATTGACTGTCCTTAGTACTTAAGATAAACACACTTTGACTTGTAAAATGTAAGATCAGATTGTTATTTGAAGAATGTATGTTGGATAAATAAATTATATTGAGATCTCAGTTCCACTTATCCCTCAAGATTACAGGTACACTTTGCTGACGAGTGCCAAGTAGCATGAAACCTAGGTCCAGAATTTTCTGTTAACTACTTCAAACCACCATCTCATCTCAACATAGTGCACACAACGTCGAGTCACCTAAACTAGTGACCACATTGCAACTTGGTCGATAGGATCCGATCTGCACCAAGAAGGACCTGACATACATGGCATTTATCACCGCCCAGTGATTAAACAATTGCCAACAAACGTTTTCTAATCACCTTTGGTTTTATCAGGCGATCATCTAGTTAGATACCCATATAAGAAGCGCATATATAAGTAGCAGACTAGGTGGACCGTACCACATAACAGAAAACACATTTCAAAAACATGTAATGAAAGGAGTAAATAGTTTTATTATTAATACACCTACTTGACTTTACCCAGTCTATATTCTGTACAATAATCACGTGTCAATGGATTCGACGGTTGATTAAATGATACAGAGAGATTGGAATGAGCAGATTTATTGATCTCTTTGATTAAATTATCCGGTTCACGTGTAAGGAATATATGCTATGATGAAAAGATGAGTGAAACTATTACCAATGAAGAATGCTGATAAAAATAAAGTACTGAGTTTATCAAGTGTTTTGATGGATTATTAATTCGATCACTTAGTTTCTAACGTATAGATCGTAGGTTGGAACTCGGTATCTTTTAATTTGGTTTAGGCAATCGGACAGTGTCACTATGACCCCTTACATAAACGGAATGACTCAAAGTTGAGTTCACAAACTCGTTTTTAGTCTAAGAACAGTACTACAATGACAATAATAATATTGAATTTGAAATAGGTAGGAACTGAAATAAGGAACAGTGTAGGAACTGTTTTAACTTATATCTTGACAAGTGAAGGGGTCAACCATAACTCTTGAAGAAGAATTATTTTACAGTGTTATGTACACAAATTTAAAAGTGTAGACAGTGTTTTTGATGATGACAATGAATGATGTTCATTTGGATTTCATGATTCCTTTTTTGCTACAGATACTGTCAGTTGATGAATATCAGAGTCTATTAAACCAAAGTAAGAAGCTTCCAAACTGTTAGTTCGTGTACCCAGTTTGGAATCATACTTTATATGTATGGGGTTGGATTTTGGAGCAGTGCGATATCCGTCTGCTGACCAAAGAGTAAGTATACTGTGCAGTGGCTCGTTCTATATTATTCTGTTGTTGTGCAATATGATCTCTAATCGCATTAAGGGTATGTATGCTGCAGGTTTGTGATGCTGAGTGTCTTCCGAGCATCGCTGGAGCAAATGAGTGGCCAATAATAAAGTTAGGTATACGGTACCCAGTAAAAATGGCTAGTCGAAATACAAAGGTTTTGGTTAACTTAAATCAGACTTTGTTTAACAAATTCATCAAAGAGTAAGTCAGTTATTGTCAACAGAGAACCACGTCCAAATTCTCACATACCAATGCCAGTAAAGTAGAGAAGAATCGACAAACTGATGGTTGAAAGTATAAGAACTCGCTGCAAGACCCAAAGTTCATGAGATAGATTCTTTTTAAGAAGGTGGATGAGCACTGCCAGAGTTTCATACTAGGATAAAAATGTTGTTTAGTGCTTCCTATTCTTTAATAGTTTTCTGACTAACCCTAGTTAGTCATGTAAACAAAAAAAAATGAAATGTGCAATAAAGATTGACAAAGATTGACTTACAATATGTCCAAACCCACCGTGAATAATTGCTACTCCATTCGAAGTATCATTTATCTGTAATAAGCAGTATAAATAAGCAAACAAATGATTTGAATTTAATAATGAGCTCTCATTAATAGAATGTTGTTTTGAAAAACAGGAACTACGTCTTGATTGGACTCATGCGAAAATTATAAACTACTTTTATGGTTGAACAGATCAAATGAATCAAATCACTGACAGATATACAAATAATGTAGGGGAATTTGTGGAGGTAGCAGAATTTTCAGTTTAAATCACGAACTGATATTATCTAGACCACTATTAAAAACCTGTAAGCACTGGGTAGCCGTTTCGTCCTAGTATGAGACTCCTCAGTAGCGCGGATCCATGATCGAACGTTCTTGGGCTCGATTCCCGCGTGAAGGATTGTGGGTGGGCACTGTTGGGGAGATCCATACTAAGAGGAGACGGCCGTCCAGTGTTTAAAGGTTTTTAATGGTGGTCTAGCTAAGATCAATCCGTGATTTGAACTGAAAGACGTACAAATAATGGAAGTCACAAAATAAACCACTTTCAAATCATGATACCTTTTTGCACCGGTTTATTAAAAATATCATCAGGTCAAGATATGAACATGATCGACTTCCGTGACTGTCTTATTATATATTTATCTCAACAAAAACACTGGTACTAGACACCAAAATTCGATTTTCGTCCTTTCAATTCCATGAATAACACCACCGCTATGAGAAGGCAGTGGTTCATCTTGAACAGATAAGACTGTAATTGAAACGGTAGTTTAGTAGGTGAAGTTTACAATTTTCATTTACTTGTTTCCAAGTTTGATCATCACTCTATCTAATTTGATTTGGACATCAGTCATTAAATATAAAGAGGGGCTTGAAGATTAATGAAAGAACAATGCATTTGGGTTATATAACGGTGCTATATTCTATTTATTCTGTGAATCCATATCACTTTTCTTATTTTTCTCACATGGACACAACACTAGCAAGTAATGCTTGACATAAAAGCTTCTGGGATAAAATACACTAAATATGTTCAAACACTCATTTAATCATGATATCAACTGTACCGAAAAGAGATATTTCCAAATCTCATTATTATTTACTGTTGTCGAACTGGATGAAAACAGCTAGTCGGAGAAAATAATCACTAAACCTTAAAAGTTGTCAAAAATCACTAAGTTAAATATTACAAACATAAAGTACTCTGAGCACAATAGTGTTTCATACAACACCTTATATTAACCAAACTCACAACGTGAAGGTATCAAAGAAGATTATTCAAATAGAATTTTTATATATCTAGATTGAAAGTCTATATCACATTACCACTGGGATTCCTACAGATATATGAACATTTCAACTATTTCTAACGGTTTACAATACACAAACACACACATACAAACAAAAATAGAGTTATTAATTATAACTTACTTTACTAATGCATTCAATATCTTTAAAATCATAAGTTTTCCATAATTCACCAGTACGTGGATTACGTACATCAATTGAAATTGGACCAATATCCAAGATTACATCATATGTTGATTCTGACCAACTAACTTTAGTAGCATGTATTCGCTTTCAAATAAAGAATAATTTAAAATAACTGTTGTTAAATGGGAAATATTACACTTTAGTACTGTTTTATAACCAACTAATAGAAAGTGAAATAAATGAATATATTGACTAGTTTATATTAACTAGAAGATACTTGTAAGCTACTAGTACTTTAGAAACATTGCTGGCATCTGATGGGATCACCGGTTAAGTAATAGTGAGGTGAGACGCAGGGTATTAGGCAATGATGGTAAGTCAGTTGATGAGGTTGTGAATCACCATCGACTGAGATGGTTGGGTCACTTGCTACGTATGTCTGAACACCGATTACCAAGACGGGCAATGCTGACTAGTGTTGGGAATGGTTGGAAGAAAGTTAGGGGTGGCCAAACCAAAACGTGGCATCAGTGCTTGAAGTCACTAACTCCTAGTCTGAGCCATGTTGGTGGTACATGCAGAATACTTGGTTGGGGTCTGTGTGACTATCGTAATCAATGGTTGGAGACTCTTGATGACATGGCTCAGAATCGATCACAATGGTGTATGTGTATGCACTTTATGCCATCCCTTAAATCGTGAGATTGAAATCGTTTCATATCTTTCTTTCTACCTACTAAATCTTTCTTCCTGTAATATATCCTTATATGCAATCTTTCTTTTATATATTACCACCATTGACTTACCCAGGACAGAGTGGGTTGGAGAATGCTGGTCGGCGACCTATGCTCCATTAGGAGTAACAGGCGTAAGTAAGTAAGTACAATTGACTTAACCAATCCTAGGAATCCGGTGTTCATCTTACTGTGCTAATGTGGTATGGAAACTTGGACCGATGCATATATGTGCCTGGTCCTACGTTGTAGCTGACTGACTGACGGAATTCATTCTAAGACATTTTAATACAACTTGCTATTTTGATTAGAAATGTTATATTCGAACGACAAATAAATGAATGGTAATTTCCAAGACTAATTTTATGGACTACTGTTTATATATATTCTGGCTTTTGATTGACTTATTAACTACCGTTGTATGATTTACTATTCTTAATCTGTTGCCAGTTTATTATTCACAGGCTCCCCTACTCACACCTAGTTTTGGCACATTCATTTATCACTGTGATTTTTCATTTTATGGTATGATGTGGTTTGATATGCCTGTATATAAACTATGTTTTCTTGAAATATAATATAATATAGTGCAAGCTAGTTAATGAGTTCAAAACTCAAACGGGTAAGGCATAGAGAGAAAGATATCAAGTTGTAGATCAATAGAGACTTAATAGCTGACTCAAGGTTACTAGTGCTAATTGGAGGTGTAGTTGGTTTAATTCAGAGATACTAAGTTAGATCAATCGGTAGTCTGACTGGTGGTTTCATCACGTGATATAAGTCAGCAGCTATAAGTCACAATAAGGAAGATTACAATGAATGAAATAATATGATAATTATATCAAATCATCCATTTGCTTGTGTACATGAATTTGATAGTTATATGCTTAAAAATTTCAAGTAATTCAACTTGAAACTGAATATAAATGAAATTTATCTTTCCCTACAACACAATGATTCCCTTTTTATTTGTATTTTAACTTAATGTTTTTTCTTCTACCGTCACTTAAATTCTCACCGCCGTCCCCGTTCCCATCCCACTATTCTACATGGAAAACAATCTTTAACTATCCGTCAGTCAATTAGCTACAACGTAGGACCAGGCACATATATGCATCAGTCCAAGTTGCCATACCTCATTATCACAAGATAAACATCAAATATATAGAAGTAGTTACTTCAATGGTAGTAATATATAAAAGAAACATTATGCATAAGGATATATATAGTGCAGAAAGAAAGAATTAGTTGGTAGAAAGAAAGGTATAAAGCAATTTTAATCTCACCGTTTAGGGGAAGACAAAGAGTGTATACACCTACACCATTGTGGTCGATTCTCAGACATGTCACACAGAGTCACCAACCGTTGATTACGATAGTCACACAGACCCTAACCACGTAGTCTGCATCTACCAATATGGCTCAGACCAGAGGTTAGTGACTTCAAGCACTGATGCCACGTTTTGGTTTGGCCACCCCTAACTTTCTTTCAACCATTCCCAACACTAGTCAGCATTGCCCGTCTTGGTAATCGGTGTTCAGACATACGTAACACGTGACCCAACCATCTCAGTCGATGGTGATTTACAACCTCATCAACTGACTTACCATCATTGCCTAATACCCGGTGATCCCATCAGATGCCAGCAATGTTTCTAAAGTATCTGTGGTCAAGTACTAGTAGCTTACAAGTATCTTCTACTCTTAATGGTCACGTTTCACAGCCGTAAAATAAAACAGAACGAACTGCTGCGCAGTATACTCGTCCTTTTATTGATAAACGGATATCTCGACTTAGCCATAGGTGACGTAAGTTGGAAAAAGCCAAACGAGCTTTTCGAATCAGTGCTGAGATTTCGTCAGACACCAACCCATTTGGGCTGATCAGACTTCCAAGATAAGTGAAGTTGTCAACGCGTTCGACTGCTTCACTCGCTGTCCTTAGTTCAGGCGTTGACGAAGGTCATTTCTGAAGCACCGCCTTGCAATTAGAGGGAGAGAAGCGCGTAAGAACTCTGTAATTTATGCATTGAATAACAAAAATTGATTGTCCCCTACTTGAGTTCTTATTCATAACAAAACTATAAGATATAATTAAGATAATGATTTACAAGGAATTGATTAATCTACTCAAAATATACACATTTAGGGTTAATATTGAATAATGACTTTTAAAAAAATTAGCGCTTAACTAGTTATCAGCGTGAAATTCAGTTTCATAGTAATATAGACAGGTATTTCAGTCAGTCGGTCAGTCAGTAACAACGTAGAACTTCGTACGTACGTACATTAGTTCAAGTTGCCACACCACATTAGCACAGGGATGCAGTTGTCCTTTCAAATCCCATAGTTTTTTTATTTATTTATTTATTTATTTATTTATTTGAACACATAGATATTGGTACAAAGAGGCACCAAATATATATGCGCCACACAAAGTAGATAGTTCATCATGTTTTAGTGTGTGGGTTGAGATACTGCCCGGGTGCCCAGACCTAAACAGGTGGTTTTCTTAGGGGGTCACACCCCGAGCCTTCGACCTGAACGTCTGACCCACAAGGCAGTGGAGCATCGTGAGGAGATGCAGTACCATGGAAGCAGGTCACCGAGAAATTGGTTCATACGCCATCTGTTCCTTCAGGATCCTGGAGCCCATGTGCACCATTGGTTTGGGGTCCGGTTAAAGCGCCGGACGTTCGCTTTCCGTCCTCTCATTTTCGTAAACAACACCCGTGGTACGAGAAGGCAGTGATTAGGACTTCCCTGTCAGAGGCTGTATACGCGTGGCCGTGTGAGAGTATTTCGAGAGGGAGGGCGAACCCACCACATTCTCGGCCATACCAGGGCACACCACATTAGCACAAGGATGCAGTTGTCTTTTCAAATCCCATAGTGGTAGAGGTAGTAAGAGTATAAGCAGTAACCGGAAACATTAGGGTTTGAAGATGTTATTCAAGGAGTATAATCCAGTGAAATAAATTTGAAAAGAGAAAAAATAAAGGGATATGAAGAATTCAGAAGATTAGAATTTGGAAGAACACAAAGAATGGATGCACCTGCTCTATTGCAAATGATTTTGAGCCATGTCATACAAGATCTCTAAACATCGGTTGCTATCATCTCACGGACAGGTATTTACATAACTGAAAGTAACGTTTGTTTGTTTTTTTACTGTCATAGATGATAAACTAATAACAATAATACAATAAGATTGTATTTGCTAAGTATCTCTTCATAAAAAAGTCCTATAGTAGTTCTCTTGTCGAAATCTTACCATGAACATAGGATATGTATCCGTTTGAAATAAACATTGTCATTAGTTTATTGACTATCGTATTGTCTAATATGTTATTTTATGCAATAATTTACAAAACTAATTACGAATTAATGTATACATTAATGAAATGTAAAGGAATATTAACTCCCAAAATAATCATCAGTATCTTCTAAGATTTATTGTTCATGTTTGGAGTTTAGAACAATCAAAATATCATTGTTCAATATATCATTTTCTAGTATTACAATTACACAAACTATACAGTCATCACTTGCTCTCTATCACATTATTTGATATAAAACATATCATATAGGTTTATTGAAAACTATCTGATCGATAGAATTCGATTAGCACAGAGAAGGATTTAACATAAATAATATTGGTCACTACTCCATGATCAATCACAGGAAATCACAGATGGAGTAGTTTAATGGTAACATTTCTGACTATGAAATAGAATAATATGGGATCAAATTTGCCAAGGAATATTTGTTTAATATCAGATGAGGTTTGTGGATATTATAGTAATTTCAATGGTTAAGATCATGAGTCAGTTGAAGCCAGACCACCATGGAAAACCTGGAAGCACTGGATGGCCGTTTCGTCCTATTGTGGGACTCCTTAGCAGTGCACATTCACGACCTCGCCCCCTGTAAGGTTCCGACCCAGGACCTACTGGTTTCGCGCACGAGCACTTTACCACTAGACCACTGAGCCGGCCGACATCCAACGGTGTTAATGTCTAACTTCAACTAATCCACGAAATTAAGCGACACATCCACCATTGTCTTCAGTGAGTTACTATCTCACAACTGACCTGGTTGAACTCCACTGGTCACTACTTCTCATTAGAACTCCAGGATATACTTCTTGAAGTCAATCACTAGTGAGCATATATTGATTAATATCAGATAGATTTTGTGGATATTATGGTAATTTCAATGGTTTCAATGGCTTCTTAATCATTGGAATATTTGTTTCTTTAAGATTACAGATACACTTTACTGATATGTGTCAGCTACCCTCAACTACTACATTGTATCATATAGATATTTTGAATAATTGGTTTCTTAATATACAATAATAGTAAACTTACCACATTTGATTTCTTTTCTTTGATAAATTTATCACGAAAATGCTAAAAAGAAAAGTGTACGAATGAATGAAAAGTGAATATTATTCCAGTAATATGAGTTAACTGTGTAAATAATAATAATGATAATAATTTTTCGACATATAACTCAACAAACAACTACAGATTCATTATAAGGAATGGTCAATATACGAATTACCATAGTTACATCCTCTATTGATTATGTGAAACAGATTATTTGAGTGTATATCATTGTAATGATGAATGATATACTAACTAGGTAAAGCAGATTAGTTATGCAACACCTTTTAATCTATAAGTCATATGTTTGAACTCCACTTTACCTATTTTGATTTAAATAACCAAGTGATATCATTAATCTTCATGTAAACTGGATAACTTTTAAAGGGTGAGTATATAAACTTATACTTGGTAAATGAACAAGTTATTTCATATGATAAATTGAATGTTGTTTGGAAACTGTATACCAGCGATTGAAATACTAAGCCATTGTACTTCAAATTTACATAGACAATGCTGCATGTCTGAAAATGTTATCTTGAATAGAAAAATAAACGTATTTTCAAATTTGGAAGTTAGAGAGTTTAAGTACATTAAGAAGTCTTCATATTCAAATCATCTTTGATTAATATAAACTCTATATTTTAATAAAGATCACAAATTTTATCAGAAGGGGTTTTGTGGAGATTTTAGAAATTTCAATAATTGAAATCATGAGTCAATTGAAGCTAGAACACCATGGAAAACCTGAAAGCACTGGACGGCCGTTTCGTCCGATTATGGGACTCCTCATCAGTGCGCATTCACAATCCCGCCCCCCCCGCGAGATTCGAACCCAGGACCTATCAGTTTCGCGTGCGAGCGCCGGCATTCAACGATGTCAATGTTTAACTTCAATCAATCCACGAAATTGTGCCACGGTACACCATTGTCTTCAGTGAGCTGGTATCTCACAACAGATCCGGTTGAACTGCACTGGTCACGGCTTCTCATTAGAATTCCAGGAAATGTCTCTTGAAGTCAGTCACTAGTGAGCAGATGATTATTATCAGAAGGGGTTTGAATCTCGCGGGAGGCTGGATCGTGGATGCGCACTACTGAGGAGTCCCGTACTACGATGAAACGGCTGTCCAGTGCTTCCAGGTTTTCCATGGTGGTCTAGCTTCAATTGATCACAAATTTGTTCAGTTTGTGTTTGTCAACATCAACAAACAAATCAAACTAATTTAGATTATTTTATAGTTTACATTAAAGATTGATTATAGCTAGATAACTTTCTTTTATATATTACTGTCACTGAATTAATTACTTCTACGAATCCGGTATTTATCTTGTTGTACTTATGAAGTATGGCAACTTTAACCGATGCACATATGTGCTTAGTTCTATGTTGTAGCTGACTGACAGAGATAACTGTTGAAGACCAGAAAACAATGGATAATTATTTTGTTCTAGTATAGAACTCGTGATTTTTAATGATTACTTAGTTAAAGTTAACTCCGCCTGGAGTCCCTCCGGGGGCTACTGCCGGTCCCAAGCCTGGATAAAGGAGGAGGGTTGGGCATGGGGTTAGCGACTCCATCCCGTAGAAAACTAACTCGCTAAAAAAACGCTAACCAGTAAGTAAGTAGTTACGGTTAGTTTGTAATGTACAAATCTCCTTATACTCTAACTTGATTTAAAATGATCAATGTTACTAGTTATCGAGTTTGATGTGATATAAGTTCGATATTAAGAAAAACTTATTAACTCTCAAATAGAAGGTAAGACCTAAAGATAAGTAAAGAAGACTATATTTGTTGAATGAGTTACAGCCCATATTATCGAGACTGCTTCGGTTTGGACAGCCAGGCAGCATCCCAGCCCTCATGCGAATTGAATGATTTATTTGGTGCATATCTATTTGGTGCCTCCTATGTTATTGACACAGTTCATTTGTTATTCATTTCTTAAACAATAAGAATAATTAAGGTGTAACAACTACGAAGATATTAAATTTCTTGTTAGTTGATCTAACCAGTTTATCTAGTAGTATATTCATTACAAATACAGATGAAATTCAATTTTACAGAGTGATTAAATAAAATGCAGAGAGAAGTAACAGCACTCAATTATTAACCATCAGTTACTTAGTTACAATCCTGTTTCATTTAACTCAATTTACGAAGCTAACAATCACATATAAAGATTTTATTTATTTATTTACCTTTTAAACACATAAACATTGGTACAAGGAGGCACCAAACAGATATGCGCCAAATAAATCATTCATTTCATATGAGGGCTGAGATGCTCGAGTGCCTATGGTTTTCTTAGGGGGCCACACCCCAAGCCTTTGACATAAAGGTCTAATCCACAAGGCAGTGGAACAATGCCAGGAGATGCAGTGCCCCCAAATGCCCTGGTACGGCCGAGAGTGGGGAGAGTCCGCTCTCCCTCTCGAAATGCTCTCACATGGCCATGCGTATACAGACTCTGACAGGGAAGTCCTACTCACTGCCTTCTCGTGGCGAGGGTGTTGTTTACAAAAATGAGAGGACGAAAAGCGAATGTCTGGCGCTTTAACCGGACCCCAAGCCAATGGTGCACATGGGCTCCAGTATCCTGAGGGAACAAATGGCGTATGAACCAATCGTTGGTCACCGGCTACCATGGGACTGCATCTCCTTACGATGCTCCACTGCCTTGTGGGTCAGACGTTCAGGTCAAAGGCTTGGGGTGTGGCCCCCTAAGAAAACCACCTGCTTCGGTTTGGGCACCCGGGCAGTATCACAGCCCTCACACAAATCAATTGAGATTTGTGTGGCGCATATGTATTTGGTGCCTCCCTGTACCTATACTTATGTGTTAAAATAAATAAATAAAATAAATAAGGAGATGCAGTCCCATCGTAGCCGGTGACCAACAATAGATTCATACGCCATTTGTTTCCTTAGGATCCTGGAGGTCATGTGCACCACTAATTTGGAATCAGGGTTTTCCAATTCCTCTAGGTGGATCCTCCGTATTTACCAACCCGGTTTAAGCGCCAGACATTCTCTTTCCGTCTTCTCAATTTGGTTAACAACACCCTGGTCACGAGAAGGCAGTGAGTAGTACTTCTCTGGCAGTGGTTGCATGCACATGACCATGTGATAGCATTTGGAGAGGGATAGCTGACCCTCCTCACTCTCGGCCGTAACAGGGCATTCGGGGACATAAAAAAAGCATGACTTATAGCCGATAATCAACAAAAACAACAGGTACTTGATATGATATACATATATGTAAATTATTTACATTTATTACAACAGTAAATATGTAACAATGAATGTAAACAATAATAGAAAACAAAAAATGAATTCATACTTACCAATAAATCAGTTAATAATTCAACACGAAATTCTGTAGCAAATGTTAATTCATGACGTTTACGATTTATATCTAATATATCCAAAATGAAACGTTTAAGTTGTGGTTGATTTGATTTGATATTATGATCTATTTTAATCTCGTAGATTTCTTCATAGGTCCACTATTATATTTTGTTGTTGTTGTTGTTGTCGTCGTCGTCGTCGTTGTTGTTGTTGTTGTTGTTGTTGTTGTTGTTGTTGTTGTTGTTGTTGTTGGTTTACAAGTAGTAATGATAAGTTTAAAAGAGAAAGAGTATTTTTTTGTCTATATAAACTGATATTAACTGTGAATAAATCATTGAAAAATCAAAAAGTAATCATCATTTAATTCACTATGGTTTCAGACTTCATGGAAGATAATGCTTATTGATATAACTCATTTACTGAGCTAGTGATACTACTTAGTTCATCAAATCCAAGTAGATAGGATGGAACTCGATTCTGTAATCTAGTGATTGAAAGTTAAACTCTTAAGTTATTGACCCATTTTTTTTAAAACTCTAAATTCTCAGAATATCATGTACATATGAACTTGATTGAATTCAGGATTTTGGCAACTAAACAAAAGGTATATTGAAGACTAATAATTGGAGAATCTAATTTCAACCAATTCATGATGTTGTGCGTTGTTAAATACTAGTGATAATACGTATTTGACTACTGAGAAACAATTCAAGAACTATTGAGTATTTTGCACATGGTTATTCACTTTACTGAGTCTCTTGGAGATAGTGTGCTACAGAATTCCAAAAGTGACTAAACGTATATTCTTTTTTCAAACAAACCTTATGTTTTTCAATGCAAAACAGTTTAGTATGACTTAGCAATCAGCTACAGATTGATGAAATTAGTATTACGCTATATATTATTTAAAGATGAATAGCGGCTAGCAGTGGAATCCAGGACGCCCATTTCGTCCTATCCGGGACTCGTCAGCTGGATGCACCTGCATCCCAAAGTTAATATTCACTCCGGGACTCGAATCCAACCCAGTACCGTTCGCTTCAAACGTTATCGCGTTATCCACTTAGCTACTGAGTCATGATAGCCACCTCCTTGTACAATGAAGTGAAGTTCAAATTCACTTGGTGCTGTTTTACTTGTAACTTCCCATTATTACTTATGACTGCATCAACTCTGGGATGCAGGTACATCCAACTAACGAGTCCCAAATATGACGAAACGCGCGTCCTGGAGTCAACTGCTAGCCACTATCCATCTTTGCTTAAAAAGCTTATGACTTAAGGCTATATTGAGGCAATCCGCACAAGATACACATATTCCAACATGAGACTGATCAATTGCAGTCCTAAATAACAATGGGAAGATACAAGTAAAACAACACCAAGTGAATTTATATATTACTGAGTGTAGTTGTTAGAAGAGAAATGATGTTATGCTTGATAAATTAAACACTGTAAAAAGCATATCTATTGACGTTTATTAACAATCAGATTATCGCAGCAGCTTTTCCAAATTACGATGTTTCAGATGATGGAACAACACTTCAACGTAAATCATACCCACATATTTAGACAAACATGTTAAGGGAGAATATTTGTAATTCTCTTTGAAATACGTGCTGAGGTTCGAAAGAATAAAGGAAGCCTCACAAAAAATCTAAGCAATTCATATATTATAAAACCTCTAGTAAGTGTTAATGCTAAGTAATACATTTTCGTACTTGATATAAATGCATTATTCATCCCAAAAGGTTAGAAAGAAAGCTTGGCTACGTTTCATCTGTTAGACAGAATAGTTAATAGATGGTAAAAGTGATCTTTAGGATCAAGTAAAAATCATTGATAGCTTAAAATAGAATATTTGATAACAACAGAACATAAAACTCCATGAACTAACAGAAAATAGATTATACGTAAACTGATTACCTGGTTTGTAACTCTTAAAGTATCCTTGTTGTACGTTGTTACACCAAGAGTGCCGATTGTGAAAAGACGTTTGTAACTGGAAATGAAAAGGTTAAATTACGAAAAATAAAATGATTAACTTCATTTTACAAGTAATAGGAACTTCATTAGCATAGTCTGACCCACCAGAGCTATTCTATTATCAAGAAAGTATGAGAAATTTCAAACGTTCATATCATCAACTAAAGAAATACCGAACTGTGAATATTGCAATCAGCTATGTTTTGTACATAACCTTTCTAAACTAATTTAGAGCAGTACAAGCTCAAAGAAAACTAATTATTATGCAATTCATTTTCCAAATATTGCTCATTCACAAGGTACTTATGTATGAGTAACATTAAGTGACGAAGAATGATACTATCCAGTTTCCCAAATCAAAGTACTTGAATTATGGTTCGGAATCGCTTTTTATTGCTCGGAATTTGAGCACGTTAAAGACCAGGACACAAATGTACTATGAAAGCCAACACATTTTTAGCCCAAATGGTCCAAATGGAAATTCTAGTTCATTTTCAAAAGATAACAATATACTATGCATATGTTGTATACAATAATCATAAACTTATGACCACCAAACAATAAAAATACATGCATTCATGAATAAAATGTACGACTATAGTGGCGTAATGAAATACGATATCAGTTTCTGTAGTCAAAAACTAAACTTTCATGTACCTTCTGAGGCGTTAACTTCTACCAAGCAATTGTTTAATGGTTTAGGCTTTTGAATGTTAACTATTCGGTTAGATATTTCATACCCATAGTTTATATAAAATCAGGTACAACTACATAACCAAAATAATGTGCACTGCAGAAGATAAAATTTGGTTTGAGTAGCTTTTTAGCATCACTAGTCACCTATCACACATGATGTGATTTCAAGTAGACTACCTACAAGTCAGCTTAAAAAATAAGTTACTGGTAAAGCGTAATCAAATGTAGAGACTGCAACTTTGCGTTATACGTCTGAAGTGTAGATTTATGTGATAATGGCTATACTTGAGAAATGATTGCACCAAGTACACATCGCTCAAGTGGATTCCTATGTTGTTATTATTGTTTCCAAAAGATAAGTAACAATAAACGTGAATTCAGGCCGCAAAACTAAATCGTCACAGCTAGATGAGACAGTAGTACTTATGATCGTGGAAAAGATTAAATGCAAAGAAAATGGTTTAAAAATAAACAAAATTGCAGAATTAATGAATCAAGTGATATTGACACGCAAAATTTGGGAGAAAATAATGAATGAATAAATCTGAGTCGCCGAAACTAAATTTGATTTGTGTCACCTGGCGTTTTCAACCACAGAACATGATTATTAGGCTGAGAACAACCGCAATGTTCTAGCCTTCGACTGAATTAGAAAACGCAAACGGTATAGTTCTATTTGGTAAAGCTGACAAAATGTAGTTTTCTAGCTACTTTAAACAATAATACATGGATGTTCGAGATGGCATCTCCCTTTAAATGAAAATGTCACTTGCAGAATATGGAAGCTAGCCATTCGCTTACCGGAGAACGAGTATATTGTGCAGCAGTTCGTTTTGGCCCACCTTATGGATATGAAATGTGGTATTTGTAAGGGATATTTGCTAGTCACTAGTATTTGATCAGATATGCCATCGAAGGATTATTTTTATGTGTTGAGAACAGTGAGTTGGTCACTGGGAAGGAATTGCAAATCGGTTGATGATGCATTAAAGCTTTAACGACGGAGGCTGTTGAGACATGTAATACGTAAGAACATTCATCAATGACTCTAACGAGAGATAATGGTCGATGAAGAAGGTTGGAAGTTAGGGGCACCCAAACCAAGATATGCCATCAGCCCATAAGGACACTGATTCTTGAGCTGAACCCCCTGGTTGGGGTCTGATCGATTATTGTAACCAATTGTGATATGGCCCAGAATTCTTCGTGATATACAAATTCTAAAACTAATTTTCTCCACTAATCCATATTTTCTCGAATCATGTCTTCTATGCCATCTTTCAGATCACCACTATTACCGAAACCATCTCTACTACTTTACGATATCCTCTCACAATCTCATCTCGCTGTGCTAGTGGGTTGTAGCAACTTGAAGGGACTAAAACACAATGTGAATTTCACGCAGTTGAATTTAGACTGTTACTGCTGTAATTCATACCTACGCTTAATCTGACTGTAAGGAATGCAAAATTTGGATTCCAATAGAGTAAGTACTTATTTTACCAGATTACTGACGAAATCTTGACATAAAAGAAAAGAAGACGGCTCATATTGTACTCTTTAACCGATATTATAGATGGCAGTGTTAATGCACTCATTTTCCCCATTTAGAGTTAGATATATTGTATTTTTTCTGTTAAACAACATCGGAAATAAGTTATCTGCACAATCGTCGGGCATCATCATAAGTCAACAAATGCTAACTACATATAAGCCAGTTATCAATGATAAACCATAAAAACATGTTGTTTGGTCGGGAAGAGTGGAGGTCTTAAATCTATCGGGCCGAACCTTATATCAATTCACAAAGACAACTTTCTGTCTGATAATCTTAGAAGAGCATCTTGGTTAGATAATAACGTCATAAGACCTGAAAATAATATGAAATTTTCCAGCTCGTTTGATAATTTCTAGAACATCTATATCCAAAAAAAAATTTAACTACGATTATCTCCAAAACAATAACAATCTACTGTATTGACTTAACGAAATTTCCCAAGAAAGCAAAGTAAGCTAAGAAAGCTGAGCTTTGTCTGAACATACGATATGTTTGCAAAACCACAATTCCTTAGATGATCAGCTTATCCTGCGACGGAAGATTTTAAATGTTACTTTATTTTGTCTTTTACTAGGCAAGTTAACATACTAAAGATATCATGAGGAAAAAATGGTCTAAGAGACCTATTTATCTTTTTATTTAATTCATATTAGAACAGTCTGAAGGGTACAGAATAAATACTTGGGAGACAAGATAAAACTAAGTCATTTAGAATCGGTAGTTTCTTTGCGAATTGCTTGAGAACTGAACCTGCCGAAAATTTCTGGTCACCAAGTAATCAACCTAGGAGAAAACTGTACACAAATATCCTAAAAATCGACTTTTAAAGACACTCTATCCTCCTTAGTTCACTTATAATCAGAAAGGGATTTATGAGGAGTCTAAAGGAGTGCAAACGTGTGGGAGTTACAGGAGAAAACCAAAGCCGAATTGGTAAACTTACTTCCCCTTCCAAGACATCTTCGTCAAAAGATAACATGATACTTCACGGTTCTTACTCATACATGCTCGTCGCATATCGCTTGGCTAAATAGAATATTATGGAATTAGTTTTTTTTTAAAGGATAAAAGGAAAAAAGAGGCAACTGCGAAACTGACCATATTTCACTTGAATTCAGGTACAGACCAAACCAAAGGAGGTGTCGGAGCACTTGAAGGTCAGATCTCCGTAACTCAATTGGTGGGTCAAACTGATTAGTGAGATACATTTACAAAGCGGCCAAGTCAACATTTTTAGCTACAGGCGATTGCCGTCCTTGAAGTAACCAATCAGAATTCAGTGCGCTGTAATATGTTAGAAATGAACTGTATTAAACTGTGGTACGGATAATGGAACTACAACATCATGTAGGTAAGTGGTGTTGAAAGACTTCACAGAAAACTTTTACTAAAACCAGTGTCTTTTAATAGATTCATTTCCATACCATTCAGTATTTTTGATCTAATATATAAATATAACTTTAAGGACTGTTTGGTATCAGATTCGAAAACACCAAGTAAGTTCACAAACCATAATTTTGGCAGTTCGTGATATGTAATATAGAAATTAAAAAATAAGTTTATTGTGCTTCAGTCGAAGCCATACCCCAGTGACCACAAATAAAGTGCGTCGCTAAATACCATAAAGAATAAAATTGCTATGAAATACTTGCTAAACATAACCTGTCTTTGACTGAGTAATCAGATCAGTCCAGAGAGAAGTTTGATCACATTTTGGCTTCGTTTAATAATAGAAACAAGTATATCAGACTTGTTAATTTTCTAAAGTACTGAGACCCTTTTCTCCACTCATATAAGTATGCAGCGAATGGGGATGGGTTAAGTCATGTCCACTAATACCATGACACTTATGATAGGTGTAGTGACCTACTTTTGTCAACAGAACGCGATTGGTTCGATGAAAACAATTATTATTATAACCAATTGTACCAGTGACTGTTTTACTGTGCTCGTTTGTTTAACTGTGCTAATAACAGCCATTTTAGTCTTCCATTGTATTCCATTGCTTCTACGCGGTTTTCGACTACGCACGTATCTTTTCTTGCCGATCGCACCTGTACTCCTTTGGCACGATCTCGGTATTCTTTCGATACCACGAGATTGCCAACGAATATATTACGACTACTACTATCATCTGCCTTCTGATTTTTGGCCTACCGGAATCTTATTGGTTAATTGGCAAGTAGTCTGGTAGCGGTGTTCATAGTCAAGCTCAACTCGACACCACGCTACATTTGGTGAGCCAAATATTGGAACACGCCTCAACCTCGGTCAAATCTTCCAAAGAAGGCAATTCGGTGAGTCTATTATTTTATCTATCCACGTCTGTCGTATATTTTTATATTAATTTTTAATATATAATATACTCGACATGACGGATAACGATAAGAACAGTATTAATATAATAGATCCCGAAGTACGCGTACCGAATCCTCGGCACCTTTTATTCGCGTGACGATAAATTCCACGCCTTATTCGAGAAATTCCCCAGATTAGCTAAACCATTCGAGGAGATTTCATCGATGACCAATCGTGTGGTACACCACATAGTCATCCGCGGACCACCAGTCACGGCAAGACCACGCCGACTGGTACCGGACAAATTAGCCTTCGCTAAACGTGAGTTTGACAATTCACTATCTGCTGGTATTATTCGTCCTTCTCACAGTCCTTGGGCCTCTCATTTACACATGGTGCGCAAAAAGGATGGGGTTAGTTGGAGACCATGCGGCGACTACCGAGCATTAAACGTAGTTACGCGCTTTGATAGCTACCCCATCCCCCACATACACGACATCACGGCATCGCTCAAGGGCACGACTATCTTTTCTAAAATCGATCTGGTACGAGCATATCACCAGAACCCAGTCGCTCTTGAAGACATCGAGAAAACTGCTATCACGACTCCTTTCGGTCTGTTTGAGTTCCTACAAATGCCATTTGGATTACGGAGTGCTGCTCAAACTTTCCAAAGGTTTATCGATAGCATAGTACGAGACTTGGATTTTGTTCACGTCTATATTGATGACCTGCCAATCGCATCATCAAACGTAGATGAACATTATCAACATCTTACATTATTATTCCAACGCCTCTCGGATAACGGAATAGTAGTCAACCCAGACAAATGTGAATTGGGTAAATCAGAAATAATATTTCTGGGTCACATCATCAGACAAGAGGGTATTATGCCTTGCGAGGACAAAGTTCGAGCAATCAAGGAGTACAACGTGCCGTCCTCAATCAAGGAACTGAAGGCTTTTCTTGGTTTGGTTAACTTCTACCGACGTTTCATCCCTCACGCGGCAGAACGGTTACGACCATTAACCGATTTACTACGCGGTAATCCACGCAAATTAGAATTGAACGATACTGCACGTACTGCATTCTCAGAGATCAAAACGTCTCTCGCTGAAGTTACACTTCTCGCTCATCCTGACCCATCAGCCACGCTTAGTATAGCGGTTGATGCATCGGATTTTGCCATAGGAGCCGTTGTGCAACAGAATATCTCCGGTAGTTGGCAACCGCTCGAATTTTTCCCACGACGCCTTACTCCCACGGAGACGAGATATAGCGCTTTTGGTCGCGAGCTGCTTGCAGCCTACTGCGCCATCAAACATTTCCGGCACGCAGTAGAAGGACGCCAATTCATTTTATTCACCGACCATAAGCCCTTAACGTATGCCTTGCATACCAAGTCTGACCGCTACTCACCACGAGAGTGCAGACATTTGGACTATATCTCACAGTTCACGACAGACCTTCGTCACATTAAAGGCGAGTCGAAATATGTTGCCGATGCTCTTTCACGTATCCAGACGAATGCAGTTACCTTACCGGTGCTCGATCTTCCTGCTATGGCGGCCGCGCAAGCAAACGATCCTGTCTGTACAGAAGCACCACAATCTTCGTCCCTTCAGTGTCAGGAAGTACCCCTAGCTACTAGCTCAGGTACTATCCTGTGTGATATTTCTACCGGTCTTCCTCGACCCATCGTACCCTCTGCCTATCGCCGTCTCGTCTTCGATGCCCTTCATGGATTGTCTCATCCAGGTATCGCAGCCACATTACGCCTCATCGCTGCACGATACGTCTGGCCGTCCATGAATAAAGATGTTCGTATGTGGTTGAAGCAATGCTTACAGTGTCAACGATCAATAGTGCACAGGCACGTAGCTGCCGCCATTGGCACGTTCGCTACGCCTGATGCTCGCTTTGATCACGCTCACATAGACATTGTAGGACCATGGCCACCATCGCATGGGTATGATCACATACTCACGTGCATCGACCGTTTTACAAGATGGCCCGAAGCTATTCCCATCACGTCTATCACGGCGGAGACAGTTGCTCACCGCTTCGTAGAACGATGGATAGCATTGTACGGTTGTCCCTCGACTGTCACGACTGACCGAGGACAACAATTTGAGTCCGCATTATTCTTCTCACTGACCCGGCTGCTTGGTACGGAACGCATACGCACCACCGCCTACCATCCAGCATCGAATGGTTTAGTCGAACGGTTTCATCGCCAACTTAAAAGTGCTCTTCGAGCACACGAAAACGACAATTGGTACGAAACCTTACCGCTCGTTCTCTTAGGCATCAGAACGAGTTTGAAGGCAGATATTCAATGTTCCGCCGCTGAACTTGTATACGGCACGACATTGCGTCTGCCTGGGGAATTCTTCACACCACGGAGCAGTAATGATTCCGGTAAATCAGACTACGTCCATCGACTGTCTGCATTTATGCGAACGCCGTCTCCGGTGTCAACTCGAATACAACATCGACAGGTCGCTCTCCCTCGAGAGTTATCTACCTGTTCACATGTTTTCATACGAGTAGATTCGGTACGCAAACCTCTACAACAGCCTTACGAAGGCCCTTTTCACGTGATCTCCCGTCACGAAAAGACCTTCAAGGTTGATCGACACGGCCGCGTCGAGATCGTCAGCATTGATCGTCTCAAACCAGCACACGTCGATGACAGTGCCCTACCCGATAACTTGAGACTCAATGATAGACCTACCAAACCTTCTAGCGGGATCTCTCCGTCCACCTCGGATCCCACGCTAGATACATCAGAGAACTCGTTCTCACGTCCCGGTCAACAGCACGCGTCATCTGCACCATCTACGGACGAGACTTCCGTCTCACGTCCAGAGCGGCAGACCACGCCGCCCTTGACCTCGGATGAGATCGCAGGCTCACGATGTACGAACGAGACCACCGTCTCACGTTCCGGTCGCCTAGTACGATTACCCGTACGCTTTCGCGACTAAACGCACAGTCAATAACGGATACGGTGTAGGATTATTCCTATACTACACGCATGCTACACTTTTCTTTTTTTGATTTTTTTTTCTGTATCCTGAGCCCACGCCTCCGAACATCGCCCGTTTGATAACGTCGACTTCAGTCAACTTTGGCAAAAGCTTGTTTGGCCACCCATGCTCTAGTCAACGCACACAGTCGATTATCTGGTCTCGAATTCGCCTGGCATACGCTTGGTCGTTATGGTCGCGTCCGGTTTCTTGGCTCAACGTGGTTTCGTCCTACGTCTGCAGCGTTTCCTGGTTCACATCCCTACGAACGCAATCATCAGATTCTGGATACAAACCACTCTGGTGTGGTATGCTAATTCGACCAACAAATACAGCACACTTCTGGTACCGTTCTGCGCAAAAGACCTTCGTTGGCAACTCGAGGATCAACGATCACTTCCTGTTCCGCCAATTTCCTTCGTCCTACAACCGCACTACTTCTGATGAGTCCCACGAATCAAACCGCTAACTATCGAAAGTGTAAACCCTTTCTAGCGGGGGGCTCCTGTAGTGACCTACTTTTGTCAACAGAACGCGATTGGTTCGATGAAAACAATTATTATTATAACCAATTGTACCAGTGACTGTTTTACTGTGCTCGTTTGTTTAACTGTGCTAATAACAGCCATTTTAGTCTTCCATTGTATTCCATTGCTTCTACGCGGTTTTCGACTACGCACGTATCTTTTCTTGCCGATCGCACCTGTACTCCTTTGGCACGATCTCGGTATTCTTTCGATACCACGAGATTGCCAACGAATATATTACGAC